AATATAATCTTCCAAAACTCAATGAAGAAGCAGAAAGCCTGAACAGACCTATAATAGCTGATGAAATTGAAGCAGTAATCAAAAAACTCCCAACACACAAAAGCCCTGGGCCAAATGGTTTCACAGGAGAATTCTACAAAGCATTTAAGGAAGAGCTAACCCCTATCCTTCACAGACTATTCCAAAAAATCCAAAAAGATGGGAGACTCCCAAACTCTTTTTATGAGGCTAACATCATCCTAATCCCAAAACCAGATAAAGATACAACAAAGAAAGAAAACTTCAGGCCAATATCGCTGATGAACACAGATGCTAAAGACCTCAACAAAATATTGGCAAATTGTACCCAGCAATACATTAAAAAGATCATACACCATGACCAAGTGGGATTCATCCTAGGGATGCAAGGATGGTACAATATTTGCAAATAAATGAATGTAATACATCACATAAACAAAAGCAAAGACATGAAACAAAAATCACATGATCATATCAATAGATGTGGAAAAAGCATTTGATAAGGTACAGAACCCATTTATGATACAAACACTTAGCAAAGTGGGAATACAGGGAGCATTCTTCAACCTAATAAAGGCCATATATAAGAGATCTACAGCCAACATCATACTCAATGGGCAAAAACTAAAAACTTTCCCACTAAGGTCGGCAACAAAACAAGGATGCTCACTTTCACCACTTCTATTGAGCATAGTATTGGAAATCCTAGCCACAACAATAAGACAAGAAGAGTAAATAAAAGGCATCCAAATTGGAAAAGAGGAAACAAAACTGTCATTGTTTGCAGATGACATGTGTACACAGAAAATCCTATACATTCCACCAAAAAACTGCTCGACCTAAAAAATGAATTCAGCAAAACAGTGGGATACAAAGTCAATATTCAGAAATCAAAGGCATTTTTGTACACCAAAAATTAAATATCAGAAACAGGGATCAGAAAAAACATCCCATCTGATACAGCAACAAGAAAAATAAAATACCCACGAATAAACCTAACCAAGGAGGTAAAAGACCTGTACTCAGAAAACTACATGACACTGAAGAAAAAAATGAAGGAAGACAAAAACAAATGAAAACATATACTGTGTTCATAGATTAGAAGAATTAACATCATCAAAATGTCCGTACTACCCAAAGCAGTTTATAGATTCAATGGAATACTTATTAAAGTACCAATGGCATATTTTACAGATATAGAACACTTCAAAAATTTATATGGAACCATAAACAACCACGAATAGCTGCAGCAATTTTGAGAAAGAAGAGCAAAGTAGGAGGGATCACAATACCTGATAACACACTATATTACAAGGCCACTGTAATCAAAACCACCTGGTACCGGCATAAGAACAGACATATGGACCAACAGAACAGAATAGAGAGCGCAGAAATAAACCCAAGTCTCTATGGTCAATTAATATTTGACAAAGAGGGGCAGCAGCATTAAATGGAGCAAAAATCGCCTCTTCAACAAATGGTGTTAGGAGAGCTAGACAGCTACCTGCAAAAAAAAATGAAGCTTGACCACCAACTTACACCACACACAAAAATAAATTCAAGGTGGATAAAAGACTTAAATATAAGACATGACACCACAAGAGTCCTTCAGGAGAACACAGGCAGCAAAATCTCAGATATTCCAAGGAGCAATATTTTCACTGATATGTTCCCTAGAGCAAAGGACATAAAGGAAAGAATAAACAAGTGGGATCTCATCAAAATAAAAAGCTTCTGCATGGCTAAAGAAAACAGCATTAAAATGAAAAGAGAACCAACTATATGGGAAAACATATTTGCCAATGATACCTCAGACAAGGGTTTGATCTCCAAAATATATAAAGAACTCACACAACTCTACTCTGAGAAGACAAGCAACCCAACTGAAAAGTGGGCAAAGTACTTGAACCAACTTTCTCCAAGGAGGACATACAGAGGGCCCAGACACATATGAAAAGATGCTCAGCATCACTAGCCATCAGAGAGATGCAAATTAAAACCACAGTGATATCACTTCACACCCGTTAGAACGGCCAGCATAAACAAAGCAACAAACAAGTGTTGGAGAGTTTGTGGAGAAAAGGGAACCCCAGTGCACTGTTGGTGGGATGACAGACTGGTACAGCCACTATGGAAAACAGAATGGAGTTTCCTTAGAAAACTAAAAATGGAACCACATTTTGACCCAGCAATTCCAGTGCTAGGATTATATCCTAAGAACCCTGAAACACCAATCCAAAAGAACCTTTGCACCCCAGTGTTCATAGCAGCACAATTTACAACAGGCAAGTGCTGGAAGCAACATAAGTGCCCATCAAAAAACTACAGTACATTTCCACAATGGGATTCTAAGCAGCAGAAAGAAAGGAGCTCCTACCCTTTGTGACAGCATGGATGGAACTGGAAAGCATTATGCTGAGTGAAATAAGCCAGGCAGTGAAAGAGAAATACCATATGATCTCACCTTTAACAGGAACCTAAACAACAAAACAAGCAAGCAAGCAAAATATAACCAATGACTAGAAACTGGGAACAAGGTGACAGTAACCAGAAGGGAGAGGGGAGGGGATAATGAGGGAAAAGGGTGAAGGGTTTACAGGAACAACTATAAAGGTCACATGGACAGTAACAAGGGAGGGTGGAAACAGGGGAGGGAGGTGGGGAAGGCTGAGGTGGTGAAGGGGGGGAGGCAGAAAACTGTACTTGAACAACAATAAAAATCAAAAGTATTAGAAATAATAAATAAATATTTTTAAATGGGGAAAAAAGCAGTAAAATACCATTGGCAAAAAATTCAAATATATGTGTTGTATGTTTTAAAGCCTTGAAAAACAGCCAAATGTAACACAGTTTGGAGAATATCAGGGTAAATAAAAACAAAGTGTGTGTGTGTGTACATGCATAGAGAGATATGGATACAGATATGATATGGACGGGGATATAGATGTCGACATATGCATCTTTGACATGAATGCAGTGAGAAGCCAGCCACATCCCAGCCATATACGTAGTTTTACCTAACAGAGCACTCAAAATGTTAGAGAAAATTTATAAGGAATCATTTGTCAATGAAAATCTTTAAACTGTTTTTTATATGAAGTGGCATTATGAGTATTGTATTGTGGGTCACAGATTCAAAAAAGATATTACAGTAAATTATGCAGAATATATTTTGTTTCACATGTGAAGAATCAACAAAATACAAATTGCAATAAAATGCTTATAAAATCTCAAAAAAAATTATATATTTCAGAATCAAAAAAATTAGGTAAAGGAATATTTAAGACAGTCAAAACCATGATGTTAATATTTTTTGTTAGGAAATCTAAGTATTTAGTATTTTAAGTATTTGTAAGCTATAAGATAAACTGCCCTTATCAAATAACAGGTCAATTTTACACATATAATTCCAATTTAAAATATAGAATCCAGTTAATGACTAAGACTCACTTTTCAGTTGAAATCTTACTATTTATGTACACTATTTGGAACAAATAATGGATTATAAGATTTGCCATATTTATATGTTTGTCATTTTAGATTCATAAAACTTTACATTAAGTATTGAGGAAAGATTCTTCTGGTAACACCCTATGTAGTTCATAAGTGGAAAAAATCTAACACTCAATTTACAAGCATAGTTTGAAAGTGTCAAGGAAATTTAATGGTTATAAAAGCCCTTTTTAAAAGAGATTGTTGAAACCATTTAGACTATGTCAGGATCACCACTGGTTACTAAAACTATGCTCAACCCTGCCTGCACATCGGAATCAGACAGAATTAGAAGCAGATAGAATATAGACATACAACTTGTTTCTTAATCATTCTATGTAAGTTACAGATATGATACTCTTTTACTCCCCAATACTTCAACATGTAGTTCCTAAAAACACAGTTTAATAACCATTGTAGAATCATCAAAATCAGGAAACTGATACTGATATGATATTGTCTAATCCAAAACCTTATTTGAAATGTACCCATTGTCCCACTAATCAATTTTTTAAGTTTTTAATGATTTTTTCTAATCCCTGATTCAATCCATAAATTGTGGGTGGTTAGGATTTTCCTTTTTAAGTCCCTGTTATAAATACATATGTAATGAAAATGACATTGGGTTTGCTTTAAAATACACCAATACAAAAAAAAGTTGAGTGGGGAGATACATGAAAAGCACTATATTGGTGATAATTGTTGAAGCAGGCGTTGGGTCCAAGATGGAAATTCATTATACCTTGCTCTCTGCTTCCTTTGTTTGAATTTTTCCAGGATAAGCCCTGGCTGGTGTGGCTCAGTGGGTTGAGCGCCGGCCTGCAAACCAAAAGGTCACTGATTCCATTCCCAGTCAGGACACATGCCTAGGTTGTGAGCCACGTCCCCCATTGGGGGTGTGGGAGAAACCAGTCGGTGTCATATCTATGTTTCTCTCCCTCTCTTTCTCCCTCCCTTCCCCTCTCTCTAGAAATTAGTAAATAAAATACTTTAAAAATCTATTCCATGATAAAACTTAAATTAACTAAATACAAAAATATTTTACATATGAACCTTGCTGCTAGAAAACTGAAAATAACAGCTCTTACCTGTTTCTGTACAATGGTTATTAGCTCCGAAGTAACTTAGCTCACTTGTGCTCTAATATGAGCTCATTTAATGCTCCCAAAACTTTAAGTCTCTTAGTCTCACGTTACAGATACGGGGAATAAGGCTCAGATGCTCAATCGCTAGGTCTAAGTAAGTAGAACAAGAAGTTCCAACCCGTTTAGCTGCGCCCTCACTCTCTCTGCAGTGCCAACCCGGGTAGCAGGAGATCTGAGAGACCGGAGAAGAAAATGTACTTGCCCCACGCTGGTATCTCCGCAGACACAAACCAAAAAATATATTCCCTGGAACTGGAACTTGAACCAAATGCAATTCCGAACTGAGTAACAGACGCCTCAACCTCTTTGGTGCGGGGTGGGGTTAGAGCAGCTTCTCCCGGCTCCACCCCACACTAGCGAGGGCCAGACAGGGCTGTTATGTGGCCCGTCCGGGGTGTGGCCAGGGATCCCGGGAGGGAAGGGCGCTGTACGTCCTTGGGCGGAGAGGGTAGGTGACTCCGGCTGAAGAAGAGGACTCAGAATGAGGGCCTTGAAGGTGAGGGTCCACACACGCTGGGCCAGGACCCCCAACCCGAAAGCCTTTATCCCAATACGAGAGTCCCTAAATGTCCCGGAATCTGGGGCCTTGTAATGTGAGCCCCTTTCAGGGTTCCAGTCTCCCTCCTAACAATCTGGGCCATCCCCGCCCCCCCCCCCCACGCCCGTCACCTCCCTAACATGGGGGCCCCTACAGGGCCCAAAGCTCTGGGTTTGAACGTCTTCCCTTCGTTCAGGGTACCGGTCAGGACGCAGGCACTGGGAATGCAACACCCTTTCCCTTACTGTCTGGAAACCCCATGGAGTACCCCGGATCCGGTCACATTTCCGGGACCTGGGCTCCTACCATTAATCTAGGAAACCCTCCCCAACAACAACAACAAACATCTCAGGACTTGGACCTCCAGGTCATTAGCCTCCCTTTTGGGACCGCCCCTCTTCCAGCACCTTCTAGACAGCCTGGTAAACTCCAAGTCTAACCCTCTAGGCTCGAGTCCCCTTCTAGGTCTTTCTTGACAGGACACCCTCCCCCACTCGTGCTGCCAGTTCTGATCTCGCCTTTGGGAAGCTCCCAAAGCATAGGACTGTCCTGGTACCTCTGACTAGACCCACTTTGAGGTGCTTCTCCAGGTGCCTCTAACACCCACCCATCGATCCCTTCCCCCAGGTTTCCCAGGCATTGATTCGCTCCTTCAGTTCAACCGCCCGGAACCGCTTGGAGAACCGAGTGGCCGAGAAACAGAAACTCTTCCAGGTAGACAGAGTGGAGGCAGGGTAAGGGGAAGGCTGGGAGCCGGAAGTTCGACCCTGAGGGAGGCTGGGGGGTACCATCTTCGCAACCAACACACCTTTCCTATTGGACGGCCCCAATCTCAGGCGGACAATGACCTCCCGGTGCACTTGAAGGGCGGGGGAACCGACAACATTCTCTACCGACTCACCATGGCGCTGTGTCTTGGAGGTGAGTGCAAAGCTGGACTCAGCCTGAGCTGCAAGAGGCAGGCTCTAGCTGGAGTAGGGAAAGGGGCTAGTTCTCAGACTGGGGTTTAGAGAGGGGATTGGGCTGTGAGGTGGCCAGGTTTGGGGACGGTACTGGAGTGCAGACCAGCAAGTAGGGATGGAGCTCCCTGGGGATTGTGCTTCTGTCCCGAGAGGGCCTAGGGCCCTGGCACCCTGACAGGGGCTAGGTTGAAAGCCCAGGTAGGGCCTGGTCTGGATCAAGCACCAGGGATTCCCCACCTGAAATGCAGTTTTGGGATGGAACTTCACCCATAAACTGGGGGCTGGAATACAGACTGGTGACTGGCAAGTCTGCAGAGGGTCATAAAAGCCTAAGATAGGGTTCAGGGGAGTGATTAGGGTCTCACTATGTATCCCCCCACACTCCCTTCCTAGGCACCATCTACAGTCTGTATTGTCTTGGCTGGGCTTCCTTCCCCCATAAGAAGTGAGACCAAGAAACCTTCAGGACCTGAAGAGACATCAATAAATGTGCTGGCTTCTTGGGGAACCCAACCCAGCTCTGGCCTGTGTGTGTGCCCCTCTATCCATCCTCCCACTAACAAGCAAACTCTGTCCTATGGACTGCCCACTGCCCCAGCCCTGAGTTCCTCATTCTAGACCACATCTATTCTTAGGACGTTACTGCCTCTCAGCCCTTCCACAGGGGTTGAGGACTCCAAATGATGCCCCTGGGCTGCCCCTCAGGCTAGTATTCTCACGTGGGACAGAGATATATATCCTGTGATAGTAGCCCCTCTCCCTGCAGAGGCCCACAGGGTGGGAAGGAAGCTACTGAGTATGGTCATGACAAAACAGGCTGAGGCAAGTAAGGACAAATTCACTCATGCACAGATGAGAGTGGGACAAACATGAGCTTGGGAGACAAAACCAGGGGTGGCAGTGACACTTCCCACCAGCCCTGCTCTTGCAGCAGGAACAGAAAGTGCCCAGGTCTCTGAGTCCCAGTCTCAGTTTCCACAGAATCTCTGAAGCATCATAGAAAGAATGAGGCTACAGCTCATCTGGGATCCAGTATGAGAAAGGCATGCAGATCCAGCCTTGGGGATAGACACAAAGACCCACAAAACCACCCCCACTCCACCACCAGGATGCAGACAGGGCCTGAGCCACCCTTCAACTCTCAGAACAGGAGGCACATCTCAGCAATAACTGGGGTAAATTTATTTCCTACAGGGCCTGGCAGGCTGGGAGCAGAATACAAAGGCACTGGAGCATGTGGGCCTGTTATGGCCTGGAGTTCAGCTGTCTGGATAGTTAATTGAACAGGTGCGCCAGGGTGCACAGGGATGGGGGTGATCCTCCCAGAACTTAGAGAAGGGCCCTTGGGGAATGGAAGCAACACAACTTGGCACAGATATACAAGAAAGGTCATGGACAGGGTGAGAAGTGGGTGTGCAGAAGGTGGAGGACTCATGGGGCAGGGTGTGTTAGAATGTCTTAGAGCCAGGGGTAACTTGGGGCATGGCGTGTTGGGACATATTGGGCCCTAGCTGTTGCCTGAGAAGCAAGATGCCAACGGCTGGGAGAAAGGAAAAGCTGGTGAGTCAGCGCGCCCCACAAAGATGTGACTGCAGACAGGATTAGCCCTGGGAGAGACCAAAAAGTCCAAGGTGACACCTATAGTGAGGTGATGAGGGAAGAGGTCTGGGGTTCCCATTCAGGAATACATAGTCAGCTGCAGCCACTGGGGAGAGAAGGGCACAGAATGAGGAGGACGGCAATTGGGAATACCAGGAGCCCTCTGCCCTCACCCAGGGGTTGTTGCGGAAATTGGAGGGAGGGAACCCAGTGCAGGGCTATAGGGGAGGGGTCCCTCCCTAGAAACCCACATTCCAAAATGGGAGTTCTTACCTCCTGGATGTTCACCTGAATTTGTCCAGTGCCATCTTTGTCAAGAGATTTGAAGGCACCTAGAGAAAGGAAGGGTGGGGGTAACAAGCAGTTGGCTTTTAGGATAAAAACATACCAATATATGAGATGATGATAATGGCCAGTAGTTTATTGAATACTTCATGTCAAGCACTGTATAAAGTGCTTTACATGTATCAACTCATTTAATCCAATTCTGTGAGATAAGTGTCATTTTAAAATTTGGCACAGAGAAGTGATGTGCTGCAGGTCACACAGTGAGAAAGTGAGGAAATTAGGGTTGAAACCCAGGCTGTTACCCCCTTCAGTAATAATGGCCTCCATGGCGGGCGAAGGTGGAAGAGGGTATGGGGGGTTAAAATGGTAATGGAAAAAATACAATGAAAAAAATGTTAAATAAATAATGCCCTCTACATACCTGTGTGTGCTCCCATTACCCTCTGCCCAAGTCTCACCCTCCAACCAACCTCTAAGCCCTCCAGTTCTAGCCTAAAAACTAGTGAAACTGAGGCTCTGCAGGCTCCACTTCCTGCCTTACAGTCTGGCAGGGTTCCTACTCCTGCCCTGAAACAACCAAACCTGGGCAAACTGGTGCCCAAACTGCCTTTGCTTCCTCTCTCTGTCTCTGCACTCAGATACCATCCTCAGATGTCCATATAACCTGGTCTCCTGACACTGTACTGACTACAGTTACTATTGACCCTCTTGCTGGTAAATCCAGTGGGCATTTCTTAGTTTCTCATATGTGACTTTGACATCACCCGCCCTAGTGTGCACTCCCACCTTCCCCTCACATCCATGACATACCTGTCCCTTTGCTTCTTCCTATGATCTTAATGTACTGTCCTCCCTGGTCTCTTGGACAGCTGAGGGATCATAGCCAAACCTGCCCCTGCCCACTGCCCCCAAACCTGCTGTAGGTCTCAATTGTTTCCACTAGTGTCTGAGCACCCCAAAATTGGCATTCACAGCTCTACATACATGCCCATTGACCTTGCTTCCCTTCACTCAACTCTCTCAGGTCTGAGTTCAAATTCTGGCTTTGCAACTTCCTTGCTGAGTGGCTGTGAGCAAGCAATTTTGCCTCCTAGAACCCGAGGTACCTCCTCCATAAAATGGGGATAATTTCTACTTCTCAGAGCCATCTTAAGAATTAATTGCATTAATGTTCAGAACAGCCCTCCTGATCCAGACCCTGCTGACTTCCCCTCACAGCCTTATATAACACCATCCCACCCCATTCAGCACACTGAACAGGGATGTGAGTCCAACAAAAAATACCAAAAGCGCATTTTTTTCCTGTCTAGGCTTTCACACAGGCTGTTCCCACTGCAACACTCATCCTCACTCTTACCCCTATGGTCTCAGCTCATATGTGCCTTACTCCAGGAAGCCCTCCTTGACTCAGGATGCCTCTTAAGTTTGAAGTCCTTAGAGCTTCCCCCATTACAAATCCCACTATGCCCTGAATTTCCCCTCACAGCCCCCATCACTCTGCCCTGAGCTTTCCCTATCCCAGCAGTAACAGTTCTTTGTAGTCTCTGATGATTTGCCTTTCCTCCACTGCACTGTGAATGATTTGAGGGCAGGATCTGTGGCTGTTTTGGTCACTGCTGTGCCTCTACCATTGCCCACCTCAGGGTTAGGCTCAAAGACGTTGGCCAGTGGAGGCTCAACAAATAAAATCCTGACCCAGGAAGACAGCTAGGGTATCACTCACGGAACATGGCATCCAGCCTGACCAGGCAGCTGATGAAGTTGTCAAAATCCATGTTCCCTCCTTCATCAGAGTAACGTCGGATGATCATGTTGTAGAGATGTTCATTTAGGTGGAATCCTGACAATGGTTTAGTCTCTCAGGTGTGGAGGCCACATAGCCCAACCCACTCCCAGCCCCAGGATTCAGGCTCAGACCAGCTCAGTGGGGGCTGCCTCAGCAATCGCACCCCTGCCAGCCATACCTGCTGCCTCAAAGGCCCCCGGGAGTTCACTGCTGCCAATGGTCCCTGAACGGTCAACATCAAATTGTTTGTATATGGCCTGTGGGGACAGGGAGGACAGAGATCAACTGAGCATCAGGAGGCACAGCATCTCCATGGCTTAGGAGTCTTCATGCAAGGAGTGTCAGAGGTCACCACACACCTGCCACTTTTTGATATTGTTCCACAAATACTTGAATTCCTCGAAACCCAGCTTGCCTGTTGTGTCACTCTGGCGTAAGGATGTTAAGAATAGCTGTACCAAATGCGTGCATTTTATACCCTATCACGTGGTGATAAGAGCAAGGCAGGGAGGAATGGGCTAAAACCCCAGCTCCTGTCTCACCCTAGTCATGTCACCTTGGGTGTGGTGCTGTTTCTCATTATACCCATACATATTTTACTTTATTTTTTTCCAAGATTATTTATTTATTTATTTTTAGAGAGAGGAGAAGGGAAAGGAAGGAGAAAGAGAGGAACATCAATGTGTGGTTACTTCTCACATACCCCCTACTGGGAACCTGGCCCCCAACCCAGGCACGTGCCCTGACTGGGAATCAAACCAGCAACCCTTTGTTTCACTGGCCTGTGCTCAATCCACTGAGCTACACCATCCAGGGTCTATGTTTCTTAATTGATTTTAGAGGAGGGGAGAAACATCGATTTTATTGTTCCACTTATTTACACATTCCTTGGTTGCTTCTTGTATGTGCCCCGACCTATACAACTTTGGCTATCAGGACAATGCTATAATCGACTGAACTACTGGGCCAGGGTCACTTTATGTTACTAAATGGTAAGGGCTCTGTTTAAACATAACCATGTGGAATTAATAATAAACTTTTCCAAACTACAAATTTCTCACCAGAAAATAGTTGCTAATTCCTCATTTATCTTTTTTTTTCTTTTTTTAAATCCTAACCCAAGGATATATTCAATGACCTTAGAGAGGTATAGAAACATCGATTGGTTGCCTCCATATGCGCCCTGACTGAGCCCACAACCTAGGGATGTGCCCTTACCGGGAATCAAACCCATGACCTTTTGCTGTACAGGGCAATGCTTGAACTACTGAGCCACACTGATCAGGATGCTAATTCCTCACTCAAAAATCCTTGATAGTACAAGTAATTTGATTTCCTAAATGTTAGGACATGTAAAAAACAAGAGCAACTTGGGAGCTCTAAGAAAATGAGGTGACAGTAGTGAATACCTGCTGGGTTTGTGATCAGAGCAGAATGAGATATTAGCAGAAAGCCTTTAGCTCAGGAGCTGGCACTTGATAAATTCTCAATAACAATGATAGCTAAGACTTACCAGATTACCTAGTACACATCAGAGAGTTCTAAGCTTCTAGGGAATATCACTTTTCTCACTAAAGCCTCAAGATACCAGCCCCACCAGTGTTATTTCCAAGTCAGAGACAAAAACAGATTCAGAGCTGAAAAATCTACCTGTGTAAGATCATAGTTAACAACTAACCAGTACAGACTGTGCTAAACTTTTGGCATGTGACTCTAATGTGGTATCACCATCATCATTCAGCCCATTTTACAGATAGACAAATTGAAGCACAGAGGAGCTTAGTAACCTTGCTAAGGAACAGACCCAGAATTGTTTAACCCTGTGCCACACATATATGTGATCACATGACATGAGTATATATATGCATCTCTACTGACCTATGTGCTGAGTGTGGATGTATCTAAGATCAGCTAGGACTGGCCCATGTGCAAATAGACATGTGTTCCTGTGCATATGCCATCACATAGCTTCATGTATATGGGTGTGCCCTTGTGTGTGTATATGTGCACATGGGCATATCTATGGCAGTTATAAGCTTGGGTTCTTAAATCCAAAAGACCTGGAGTCCAAATTCCTATCCTGCCACTTTTCATTTATAACTTCAGACAAATGACTGTCTCAGTTTCTTTACTTATAGAATGGAATAACTGCATATGTCTAACAGGATGGCTGTGAAGTACATGTAAGTGCCAGCTATGACAGCTGATGTTATTATTGACTGCCCCATGTCCACAGGTGGGTATGTGTTCTAATGTAGTCCTGTCCACATCTGTGGGTATGAAAGCTGTACCCTGGCTCCCACTCATGCTCTCAAAAATTCCTTCTTCACCCAAGACCTCCCCTAAACTGCCCACAAGGATACATCCATCACGGCCACCATGCTGCGACATGTGTCAATGCCAAAACCATCAGTCTTCAGATCAGGATCTGTGGGGGACAGATTGAAAGTCAGACACCACAGGTCACAGCTACCCCAGCTGCCATACCTCTAAACCTACCCTGTGTGTTGACCCCAGTCACTCACGTCGGGTCACGACCTTGTTGAGAATGTTCATGAGTTCTGTTGCACTGACCTCCATGTCCTGCAGAAAAGTTTGGGAGGGATCAGAGTGACTGAAAGGGGTCTAGGTGTGTCATGAAGGAGGATAGGAACTTTGGGATTGCCGTTGTTGAGTGTGTGTGTGTGTGTGTGCAAGGGCCACCCAAGGGAAAGTATGGAAGAGTTCAGATAGGTGTGGGGACCCCAGTTTACTTACATCTCCAGCCAGCTGGGCAAAGAGCCTCCGGAACTGCCGGACCTCCTCACTCTCGTTGGCTTCAATGTTGGAGTAATGGGTTCGTGGGGGCTGCAGAGGAAGGAGATCTCAGAGAAGGTGGGGGAGGGGTGCCCTGGCTAGTGCAGACCTAAGTGGTAAGGTCAGAGTGGACTGGGTAGTTGAGTGATCAAAGGAATGAGAGGTTGTCAGTGAATAGGAAGTGCGTAATAGCTAAGTTTGAGGACATGACAAGGGGGGAACTTAATGAGAAAGATCTCATTAGATGGAGATGGGGTGGGGCTTCTCCAAAGGGACAAGGAGGTGTGCTGAAAAAGGCCTCAGAGTGAGAAGAAAGGTCCCAGGTTGTGGAGGGCAGCTTACCGGGGGTTCTGGGTTGTACTGAGCAGCCGCCTCACTGGAGGGAAACAGGGGAATTAGCACCAGGGAACAAGGCCTTCAATGGGCAGCCCTAGCCCCCATACCCGAACACCCCCAAGCCCCAGCCTGACACCCTCCCTACCTGTTCCCTCAGCCAGCCTTATCTGTCCTTGTCCTCACCTGTCCCTATTCTTGCTACCCTGGTTGCGCCCACAAGGAAACTCAGAGATCTGACCTCAAGGTAGGCTCCACTCCTACCAGAGCACACCTGCCCAATGGATCTTTTTCAATAGATCTATGCAGCCCCTTTGAAGGCTCACTTCATAAAAGCTCTGCCCCAGCTTCTCCAGGCCCTAACTCCTCAGATCCCATCCTAGGAACTTACTTCATCACTAGGGCGTCCTAACACTTGTGTCTTCCCAGGACCCCACCCAGGTCCATTAGTTCCTGCCCCTTGCAGGGATCATGGCTCAGTGGTCAAGACTATTCAGGCTCCTAATTAGGCTAATTAGGCAACCTATCCTACCTCCACCAGGACATTTTTCTATTTTGATCCAGCCAGTTCCAGGCCAGGCTGAGCCCCCTCAAGACAATTTCTCCTATCTCAGTAGGCCTCAGCCTCTTCTGGGCACATCTCCTCATTGACCCACCTAGGACAGCCCCGCCAGCCCCAGAAGACAAGCCCTGCCCCAAAGAAGTGACAACTAGCCTCACTGACTCCACCCCCTTAACGTTCATCTCCAGGTTAGCGGAAGCCAGCGACGTCCAGCCTCAGTAAGCGCCACCTCCCAAAACCCATCTACAGATCCAACAGATCTCGACCCACCAGGTGAAGCCCCGCCCCCATGAACTGCAGTCAACCTCATTGGGGCCCGCCCCCCCCAAGGCCGGCTTCCCAGCCCAGGCCCGGCCCAGCCTAATTAAGGCTCCAGGTCAGTCTCCAGGTTACCCCATTCTATCCTTGCGAGACAAATCTCCAAGGCCCCGCCCCCTCTGGCCCCCTCTGGCCCCGCCTACCTGATCGCGCTAATGACTCCGCCCAGGATGCGCATGGCAGTTCCGCCGCCGCCGCCGCCGCCGCCGCCGCCGCCGCCGCCCCCTCCGCCCCCTCCACTGATCAGGCCTCCGAGCACATTCCCCAGACCCCCGCCCAGACCCCCGCCTCCCCCGTCGCTGCCGCCTTTCAAGAACGAGTTAACCAGGAACATGGCTGCGACTCAAGATTCCTAAAGGGAAGAAAAGGGGTTAGGTGACCGCCTCACCCCGCGCCCGCCTCCTCCCCATAAAAAGAATTTCCTGCAGCTGGACTTGGGAGAAAAATATGAGGCTGGGGCTTGAAGAGTCCATTCGGGATGGGATCTGAGATACTGGGGAGGGCAGTTCTTGGGTGGATGCGATAGAGACAGAAGATCAGGTTTGAAGCCCCTTCCGGATTCAAAGGGTCCCTCCCCATCAGGTTTGAGTGGACACATAGGCATCATTATGAGTGTGCTTCTCGGGGACCCCGAAGTAGTGTAAGGCATCCTTTATGTGTTTGGGCGCTCGAATCTGAGCCCCAAAGCTCCAGAACTGGACTGTGGGTCTCGGGGGGTGGGGATCAGGAACGTGGATCAGATTCTCGGCCTAGAGACTCCCGGGACAGGGTTTTGGAAATCAGGAATGTGGGTTTGAAAGTTTAGATACTCCCAGTAGCCAGATTACCCTGTCACTGCTGGGTTTGTGGGCTCGGGCCTGAGACCTTGGGTGTAAGACTCGGGCCTGAGACAACGGGGTTCCCCACTAGATTTGGGAGCACGCATCTAGGATCGTGGTTCTGGAAATTCCCCCACCCCGGGCATAATTTACGGGGTACCTCCCAAATCCGTGGGCTCGCATTTTAGATCCTGAGACACAGGGTATATGGGGTCCAGGGCAGCATAACGGAGACAGAATAGACCTGGAGGTTCGAATCTGAGATCGTAAAGCTGGGGGGCCCCTGAAGCTTTTAGGGTTTCGTCGGGCCTGGGGCCGTAAGGGCCGGGATTAGGGAATACAAGGGTAGACTAGCCAGGGTGCTCACCACCTCTCTCACAAATCCGCGGATCCGCTCGTCTAGGCCGCTCCCGGGCCTCTGGCTGCATCCGGCTTCGCAGGGCGGGGCTGGTGACTCAAGCTGCTTGGACCAGGTTAGCCTCTGCGGGGCCGCCCAGCCGGCATCCGCGCGGTCCTATGGCCGTCCTTAACATGCGCCTGCGCGTGTGAGCTCCGCCTAGCTAATAGGTTACGGCCGCTGTGGGTGTGCTACGTCTAGCCTGCTTCCGGCGCTACGGACTGAAGCTCCGCGCTGATTTCATTGGTCCGAGGTCTTCCGAACATCTTTCTAACCCGGGTGAATACGTACCGAGACGGGAATCCCAAGGTGACCCCGTAGGTTGTAGTGTGATTTTCTTCCCCCAAGCCGGTCTCCACCCAGCTACGGATGAATTTTTAGGTCCGCTCGAGAAACAGGAGTCTTACCTCTCGGCCCTTGTACGGGCCTAGTCGCGACAGCATCTGGAGACTCCGAGTTTTAGTTGGCTCACGGCCTGGGGACAAGCGCCCGCCTTCCTGGCGGGGTCTAACGCTAGACTAGATTTCCCTGGACCTTGCAACAGCGGTGTGGCGGTCAGACTGGATAGGACTTTGCCGCCTGCGAAGGTTGACTTGTGCCTCCTCCACCCGCACTCCTTTACCCCCTGAGTCAGTATCACCAGAAGCATTTTTCCTGGACGAGCCCGAGGTGTCATCTGTCTTCTCGTCTCTAAAGAAGGTCCTGGACACAGAGTCCACTGGCCAAGGCCTGGTTTAGTGGTGGGCAGAAAATGCAGAAACTGGGAGAAAGGGCGCCTCCAGCTGCCTTTAGAGGATTTTCTCTTGCTCTCTGGTTCCAGTTGCCAACATATGCCCCCACAGTTCTTTTCCAGGCTTTTCAGATGAAGCTAAAGATAGCTTCCAAGCAGTTTGACTTCTCTGGCTCTTAGCCTCTCCCCTGGAGGCTGGCTAGGCTTGAGTTTAAATCCTGCTTGTGCCCCTTAATAACTCTGGCATACCAAAACAGTGACTTGAAATTTCTGAGCGATGATCTTTTAATTTGTAAAGTGGGAACAAAGGTTCCTATTCCTCACTAAACCCCTATTATAATTAAGTGATTGTAGCTATTATTCTCTGTATATCCATGTAGTCCCCTACTCCTGCAGCCCACGTGGATTCCTCGGATGGTTGACTCTTGCCCATTCTTACATAATACCGACAATAACTCCTAAACACTTTAGGCATATCAGCTCATATAGCTTCATAAGGGTCTATATATTATCTCCATTTTACAAATAACTAAACTGACTCTGAGGTTAAACTCCCTAGTTTGTTCTCTTAAACACCACCCTAATGCATTGATTCTTCAATAATATAATTAATATGACAATAGCTCCGATAACAAGATAAAAACAGATAAAACCCATAGTCACTACTAATGCTACCTGAGGGCTTGCTGGAACCAGGGCAAGGAACTGCTACACAAGACTTGTCTATGAAGCAGTAACTAACAGGAGAGAAAATGGAGAGACTCTGAATGCAAGATGAACTGCCTGAGGTCACAGAGGGTGTCAGGACCAGGTCTGAACCTGGGCTTGGCTATGCCAAACGTTTGGTGATGACTAATCCAGATTCCCTTCTCACCACACCCATCCCCGCCCGACTGAGCAGCTTCTGTTTGCCCTCTCCAAGGCTTGTTTCCTGCCAGGCCTTTCACATGGGCTCTGCCCTCCACCTAGAACACTGCACCTCATTTTTTGCCTGGTTTTGTAGGTACTCTGACTTTGAGGTATCAGGAGTCACTCCTGGGAAGCCCTCCCTGTCTCCACCCCTCTCTGAGACAACGTGCAGCTTCCAGATAACATGCTTATAATGTGCACATTCTCATAGCACTCTGCCAATTACAATCATATTGTCATCCGGGTCTGCCCAACCTCTAACCCTGGCCGACTCTAAGTCTTAGATCTTAGTCCATCTCTCTGACCCACTCATGCCACAGGAGATCTCCCTCATTTGCATGGCTTAAATTCCATCTTTAGGCTATCAATACCCAAATTTCTATCTTTAACCCAGACATCTTCAGGCTCCTGCATCATACCATCTCCACAGGGGTCTTAAAGGTGTCTCAAGCTTCACACATCCTAAACTGACCTACCTCCCAAACCTGCTCCCTCTCCACCTTCACCATCTAAGTTAATGGCACCTCTGCTGTTCCAGTGACTAAGATCACACACCCCAAGGTTGTCTTGACCTCTCTTTCACACCCATTCCAACCTTTCAGCAAACCTCTTTGACCCTACCTACAGAATCTAAATTCTCCCCTCCCACTGCCCCACCCTGGCCCAGGCTCCATCCTCTCCCTCCTGGACCTCACAGGAACCTCTTCCCCATCTCTTGTCTCCCATTCCCTCCCCACAGCCTGCTTGCCACATGCAGCCAGAGGGAGTCTGTGAACTCAAGTCAGATCAGGGCCCTCTGGACTCAGCCTTCTGTGGCTCCACCTTACTCCATGTAAGAGTCAAAGTTCTCATCCTAGCCTACATGGCTCACTTGGGCATCTGCCTGCAAAGCAAAAGGTTACTGGTTCAATCTCCCATCAGGACACATGCCTGGGTTGTGGCCTGGTCCCAGGTTGGGACACATGTGAGAAGCAACCAATCAGTGTTTCTCTTCCTCTCCCCTTCTCTTCCCCTCTCCAAAATAAATATTTTTTAAAAACAGTCAAAGTTCTCACCACAGGCACCAAGTCACTAGTGATCTGTCTTGTCACCTCTGTATTTCCTCCCTCTTAAAAAAGAAGCCCTACTGGCAGCTTGATCCAGATGTTGCCAGCAGGAACACAGACAAGAGCAGGAGGCTCTGCAAGCACAGCAATATCCAAGCAGCCCCTCTCCTGGCACACATGAGGGCCCTACCTTAGTGCCTCACCCTTCAGTGCCTCAAGTCTACACATCTAGTGATCTCAGGAAAGTCCTCTCAGATCTCTGATTTAACCCCCACATTCCCCATCTCACTCCCACATTGTTCTTACCAGTTATTCACCTACTAACATTTTATAGCTTACTTATTTCTCTAGTTTCTTGTCTTTCTCACCCACTAGAATGTGAGCTCCTTGAGGGCAGGGATTTTTGACTGTCTTGTTAACTGCTAGGTACCCAGTTCCTAAAACAATGCTTAGCAGATCTTAGGTACACAAATATTTATTCAATGAATGAAATGTTTTGTGTGGATTTTCTCACTGAATTTTTAGCACCATCAATGAGATAGTATAGCAAGTATTACCAAAGTCTTCCACCATCTTCCAGATTCCTTTGAACTCAGGCATGGTTGTATGACTTGCTTTGGCTAATAAAATGTGAGTGAAAATGTTGGTAGAGTCACTTTCTAGTAGTAGCATTTAAAAACCAGTGCAGGATGCTCCATGCTCTCATCCCCATGCCTAGGCAACCTTGGTAGCTATGCATGCACAGAGGTGCCACATCAGGGATGCTAGCTGGATCACTGAGCCACCAGATGGAGAACATGTGCCTGTTCTATGAGAAAGAAACTTTGAGATGTTAGTCCACTAAGATCTAGAACTCCTTTGTTACCACAGTGTAACCTAGCGTATTCTGACTGATGGAGGTAGAAGTGCCAGAATCAAGATTCAGACCCGGGAAGGCTGGTGTTATAGATCATACTTTTAATCCTCACAATTTGCTGCCTCAATTATGTCAATTTTGCAATGCTACCAATTAATAAATAGTCATAACTACCCTTGCTAATGCCTCCTAAAGACATGATGAGAACTAAGCTGAGATAACTTCTATACAGGTATGTCTGGCAAGGCCTCTCACAACCCTCTGAAAACATGAGAAGAAGTGGAGGTTCAGAGAGGTGGAGTCATTTGCCTGAGGACTTGCAGAGCCAGGTCTAAACCCAAGCATGGTTGATACTGAATAGCTATGTGATGACTCATCTGGATTACTGTCCCTCCACTGCCCTCCCTTCAGTGGTGTATTACTCAGGGTTCTGCAGAGGAAGAACCATCAGGCTATAGAGAAAGAAAGATTTATTAAAATGAATTGGCTCACATAATTATGTTGGCTGTGAAGTTGCAGGAGCTGTCTGCAAAGTGGAGGTCCAGGAAAGCCAACTGTTTAAATCCTGGTCCAAGTCTGAAGGCCCGAAAACCAGGGAGGCTAATGATATAAGTCCCAGAGTGAAGGCAGGAGAAAACCCATGTTCCAGCTCCACAGTCAGGCAAAGTACTAATTATTTCTTTCACCTCTCGTTCTGTTCAGGCCCTCAAAGGATGGGATGAGACCCACCTACATTGGGGAGGGCAATCTGCTTCACTCAGTCTACTGATTCAGATGCTAATTTCATCCAGAGATACCCTCGAAGACACACTCAAAATGATGTTTAGCTAAATATCAAGGCATAAAAGTATACTGGTCAGGTTGACACATAAAATTAGCCAGAAATTAATTAATTAAATACATTTAAAAATAATCACTCTGAGCCCTGGCTGGCATAGCTCAATGGATTGAGCGCAGGCTGCAAACCAAAGCATCGCAGGTTCAATTCCCAGCCAGGGCATATGCCTGGGTTGTAGGCCACGGCCCCCAGCAACCGCACACTGATGTTTCTCTCTCTCTTTCTCCCTCCCTTCCCTCTCTAAAAATAAATAAATAAAATTTTTTAAAAATAATAATCACCCTGTTCCCACTCCTCTCCCCAGGCTTCCTTGCTGCCAGACTCTTACACAGGCTGTGCCTCTGCAGGAACACCCTTTCCTGCCTTTTTTACTTTGGAGTCAAGCCGTTGTTTGACCTCCCCCATCACAAACTAGAACAGGTTGCCCTGTTATGAGTTCCCAAGACTCCTAGAACTTCTTCCACAAAACACTCATGACAAATAATAATCTGTAATGTTCAACAATGTCTGTCTACTGGATTGGATTAAGGGCCCTATGATAGGGGGCAGGGCTATCGTAGGAAGTGATGTGTCCCCAACATCACCCAGCTCAGGGCTGGGCATGCAACACATGGTCAAGAATTTTTCAGCCATTATCATCATCATCATCATCATCATCATCCTTTGGGGAATTATTTATATAATTCAGACTTCCTCATCAGAGTGAAAACTCTGTCAGAAGAGTGTGCTTTCATGGTTGTACAGCAAAACTTCCTTATCCTTCTAAATCACGGTTCAAATGACTCCCTTCCATAAGCCTGATCACTGATTCCTGAGTGTTCACTTCATAATGATTCCATATACTGTGCAATCTGTATTTTTTCTCTTTCTATAGTTATGCTGTATTTCACAATTAAAGATGTTTAAAATATCTGGTAGTGCTTACTCATTGTAGAAAATATATAAAATAGAGCAAAATATATTTTAATTTTTTAAATATGTGTATCGATTTTAGAGAGGAACAAGAAGAGAGAGAGAAACATTGATGTGAGAAACATCGATTGGTTGCCTTCAATACATGCCCTGACTGGGGATCATACCTGCAACCTAAGTATATGCCCTGACCTAGAATTAAACCCCCAACCTTTTGGTTCACAGGACGACGCTCCAACCAACTAAGCCATACCAGCAAGTGAAACAGTGTGCAGCTGAGAGGGGGGCCTCAAATAGGGATTGAGAATGGGGTCCAGAACTCAAGGTGTCCAGGAAATATTAGGATGTCCTCACCTCTTCCCCCACAGGTGTGAGTTGGGGGAAGGGACACATGGAGCAGGAACATACAGGGCTGTTTTGTACAGCAACAGCTTTGCAGCTAACCTGTGTATGGTCATTTAGCATATCTATAACATTTAACTGGTTGCCTAGATATGTTAAATAGCTGTGGCCTTGCTTGGAGCCAGAGGGATGGAAGGGACTTCCACCCAAGATGTAACTGGGGGGCAGGTTCCCAGTGCCTGCATGGGAGCTTGGAGGTGATTGGCTCCACACCATGTGGCCACGCCTGCCCAGACTCACGATGGCAACCCAGTAAAGCTGGAAGGATACAAGAGTGCTGGCAAGTGTAGCCAATTGTGGGAGGAATTGGAAATGGAGCTACAGAGGAAGATTGGTGCGGGGATTTGAACTCAGACACAGCAGCCATTAGAGAGAGAACCACGTGGCTTTGCCAGAGTGGGGACCCCTGCAGCTTGGGTAGAGAGAATCACCATGTGGCTTTAACAGAGAACTGCTACTCAGCTTTGGCAGAGTGATGACCCCCCCCCCATTCCCACAGCTTTGCTGAGAAGAACCATTCCATTTTGGCCAGGGTGGGGACTCCTGCAGTTTTGGTGAAAGAGGACCACACAGCTTTGGGGTGCTCCCTTTGGCCACGTGGCCTAGGAAGCAGTAGAGACTTTGCTGGAAGAAGGGTGAAAGAACTCTTGCCAGTAGGCCATGAGAAGGTGCCACATGGCTTTGGATTAATTAGAGAGCCTGCCTGGATAGCGACACAGCTGATGGTGCCCGCAGCCGGAATCACAGACATCTACTTCTTTTCCTGAGATACGGTATCCCAAATTAGGACAGGGTGAGAAGGAAGCACTGTGGGCATCTGTGGGTATCCAAAAAGGACTTTGATATTTTAATGAAGACATTAGGTCACTACTTTAAGTCTGTATAGCTTTAAATAAACATTTCCCTTCCTCTTCACAAATCTCTGGCATTGAGAGACGTCTTTCCTAAGGCGGTGGACAATCGAACCTAGTAGGGGTCCTTTCGGTAATAGTATATAATAACCCCCCTTGGCCCTATGTGTGGGTGTGTTCTGTAACAGTTTTTGGTGTCCCTGGGTGGGTCAATGCCCCCCCAAGTCTGTTCTGTAACACAAAAACTGAGCAAAATATATTTTTAAAAGAAAAATGTACCAAATTTTCAAAGACAACCTTGATTTATAATTTTTTTCTTCTGACTTTTTTCTGGGAATATTTTTATAGATTTCTGACAATATCATATATGGAAATTTATAGTCTGCCCATTTCTGCATAGAGCTTGTCTTACCCTGGAATAGCAGCTATATTCCCTTCAACTGATCACCTGTGACCTGACCTTACTGTTATACATCTGCTCTTTGCCCTAGGAAGTAACCAAGGGGACAACCCTCCCAATATGGAGGGCAGAATAAATGAGACACCAAAGCAAAGATTTTATTTCTCAGTTCACTTGCATCCTGAAGGAGAACAGTAAGTCTCCATTCCCTCTTTCCCCTTCCTACTGTCTGGAACGTGGATGTGACAGGAGCCATCTTGGGCCATGTAGACCAGGGCACTACCATCCGCAGAAGCAGTTTGGATACCTGCTACTGAGAAGTATGTGAGCTAACCCTGTATTGCTTACACTCAGGCTATTGTAGGAGAAAGTTCTATTTTACATAAGCCACTGTTATACTGAGTTCTATTACAGAGTTTATGTTCAATCCTATCTAACCAACAGTGCCTACTATACACTTCTTGAGCAATTTTCCATGTCCCTAAAGACATAATTTTGTGTGGGTTTATAATATTCTAACATCTGAAAGTTACTAGGTTTCTTTTATTCATTCATTCATTCAACACATTTATTGAGTATCTCCGATATCCTGGTTCCTGGTTGTGTGATGGGGATGTAGTGGTGAACAAAACTTGTGGAACTTATGTCCTCACAGAGGGGGACACACAATAAACAAGGAAATAAATAACCCTTCTGTATTCCCAGACATGGCACATCCCAAAATATGTGTCAGAGACTGGCTAATTGCTTACCAAAATTGCTTCCCTTTGTTCTTCCACACAGCTGAACTACATTTCCCATCATCCATCGCAACCTTGTATGGTTATGTAACTGACAGAAGGCCATGGCACTTGAGTGAATGTCTGTCCAGTCTCTAAGCCTGATGGTAAAAACCTCCCATAGGTGGTCTTTACTTTGTCAACACACACTGGCTCAACAGAGGAGACTCTAAGGACCTAGAGGTGGGTGAAACCACAAGACAGAAGAACCCTGGGTCTCTGCTAGACTCTGTGGAGCAGTGACGCCCATTGATTTACATTGGACTACAGTATGAATTTAAAAAATAGAATAATAAAGCAACTGAGTTTTAGAGGTCCTTCAGTAAAAAGCAACTAGCCTTATTTACTTTAACTAATGCACTCCATGAAGAAAGGGTTCTGTGGTACACTGACTAGAAAAACAGCCTTATTTTCTAAGTCTTCTTGTATCCTTGCTCAGCACAATTTGACTTTACAGCTTCTCACATCAAAGGGTAGAGTCTATTTCCCAGCGCTCTGAAGCTTGAAGCTTCACTAGCTTTGTCCTTAACCAATAGAACAAGGTGAAAGGATAGCATAATGCTCCCCAGCCTAGGTCTGTAGGGGCCTTATGTGCCCTGGACTGCCCTCAACTTTGGGAAACCATAATGTGAATCTTTACTGATTTGACAGACAAAAGAAAGTATCTTCAAATAGTAATAACACTGAACTTGACTTTCTATTCTTTTGTTCTTTATGTATTTCTTCTATGAACTGTCTTTCAATATTTCTTACCTGTTTTTATATATTGGCTTTTTATGTTCATTTTCTATTACTTTATTATTTAAAGTATATCTAGTTGAAAGAAAAATGGGTGCTGGTATACTGGATCAATCTGAAGGTACCCAATCTTTCTGCTATCAATGGGGGAACCACTCTTTCCGTGACATGGTCCCCTGGGATGCTCAGCAATCTTTCTGCCTGGTAGTTGATCACACCAACCCTGCGTTTGACTTCAAGTTCTGCTTGTGCGACTCTGGTGAATGACTTTCCCTCTCTGAGCCTCAGTGTCCTCCTCTGTAAAAATGGAAACACTGCTGCCTACCTCACAGAGTCCATAAGGGAGTCACATGAGATAATATAGGTAAGGCATTTCACACAGTGCTTGGTACCCTGTGATGGGGTTGTCAGGTAAAGGTGACGATTGGTTTCCTCACCGTTTGATTCAGTTCACATTTCTCTTCTTCACTGAACACTCTTGACTGATAGGACAACTGTGCTTTTTTTTAAAAATGTAGGTATCATTGACTTAGTCATTTTCAGTCAAAAAAGACTTGACCAAAAACAACATTTTATTTATTTATTTTTTAGACAGAGGGGAAGGGTGGGAGAAAGAGAGGGAGAGAAATATCAATGTGTGCTTGTCTCTCAGACACCCCCCACCAGGGACCTGGCCCACAACCCAGGCATGTGCCCTAGACTGGGTATCAAACCAGCAACCCTTGGGTTCGTAGACTGGCACTCAGTCCACTGAGCCACACCAGCCAGGGCCAAAAACAATATTTAAACTAAAGGATCAGTAAATTGCAGAACCACTTCCCTTCAGGATCTGAGCATTCAAGTCCAAGCTGTCTTCCTATTCTCAGATTTGGATGCCCATTTGGCTGTCACGTCTGTTTTCCCTCCTTTTTTCTCGTCCTGCTCTTGTGACCAACGCACAGCTCATCTTTAGGGTTAATGGCATGGTGTCAGGCATATGGACGAATTCTGAGTCTTTTCTGTCCTTCCTAGTTCCTTTTTTTTCTTGTTGGAATCCTCTTCCTGGAACTCCTGCAGCTTTCAAGCATGTCAGAAGCTTTTGACAGATAGACGCGTAGCACCTGAGCAGTTGTCATGAATGACTCATGAATTAAGTCTATAGATTTGGAAAAAACTCCTCTAATCACTGTCCACAGTTCTGGCACTTCTTCCCTGTCTAGCTACATGTCATGGCAGTATAGACAGTCCTTCCTATATACAGTAACTTTATTCTATGCTGCTTTGAAGTATAATCTCAATGAAGTTGTTTTTAAGCAATAGGGAACAACATTTCAGCCCCAAATTTAATCCTGTTACTACAAGTGACCTATCTGAAATCATGGTCTACTGAATAGATATTTTCCACCCACAGCTGAATTCCTCTGTAGGTAGCAATGACAACTCTGTCCTAATCTGTGCCTCTGTCTACCTGCCGGCACGTTTCCTTCAATAGTGACCTTACGCTATAAGGTTTCTGATTTCAAAAACCTTAAAATGTACTAAGATGGGCTTCTTAGACCCAAGAAACTATAAGGCTGCTGTTCTGTCAGTCCCCATGTCCCTGAACTGGGCCACATGAAACACAAAGTCAACATTTGGGTCCCTTTTGCCCCCACAGGTCTCCCTCTCATCCTGCCTCTGTGTCAGCCAGGAGCTCATCTTCTGTGGCTGCACCAATGGGATAGTGCGCATCTTCCAGGCCCACAACCTACACTACCTTGCCAACCTGCCCAAGCCGCACTACCTAGGAGTGGATGTGGCCCAGGGCCTGGAGCCCAGGTACTACCCGGCAAGGGGAGGGAGAGGGGCCCACCCAGAATCTGTCTGCTGCTGTGCATCCACGCTTCTAGATCCATCTACACACTGGCCAGCCCTAGGCAAGGAGCAGGATACAGCTATAATGAGACAGCAACATTTCTGCCACCGTAAAGTCTTCAGTCCAGTGAGGGAGCTTAATGATAAACAAGTACACAAATAAGATAATTCTGGATAGTCATAAATGCTCTTGCAAAATAAAACAAACTCAGGAAGGAGAGTGGCTGGGAGTTGGGGCTGTATTGTTTGGGTGGCCAGGGGAAGCCTCTAGTGAGAAAGAGCCAGCTGTGTGGACAACTGGGTCCTGACAGCCAAGTAGAAAGGCCTTAAGGGGACAGCACACTGGTCCTGTTGTGTTGCCGGAAAACCTATGGGCTGTGTGGCTAGAGCCCAGTGTGCCAGGGGAGGGGGTGGAGTTGGGGCGGGGGGAGAGTTGATGGGAGGCTGGTGGGAGGAGCTTGTAGTCTATTCTGGGGGCCATGGGCAGCTACTGGGTGTTTTAGGCATTGGCATTATGTGATTGGGCTTTGAGATTAGATCCCTCTGGCTGCCATGTTGAGAGTGAGTGGATGGGCTGCGCTGTGACATATTTTCCCTGTCATGTGAGTCATTTTTGGGGGGGGGGTGCGGGGAGCTACCTAACCAGGGGGGTGCTGGGTGCCTGGGGTGGCCTCTTTGTAGATTGCAGGACACCACCTCCTGAGTGCCTTTTCTAATAGCCTGGCAGGGTGGGGGGGCTATTGGGTGTCTCAAAGGAAAGGGAGGGTTAGGTCAGCAACCCACAGACAGTGGTTTGTTGTAGTAGCCAGGCTACCCATCTCTGCCACCTTCTGCTTTGCTATGGGGCCTCAGGCAAGTCACTGTATCAACCTGTGCTTCAACCTCTTCCTCTGTAAAACAGAGAACCTACCTCTCATGGAAGTTGTGGGGATGATTCAGTGCAGAAAGTTCTCCGCCTGGCACACAGTGGGTGCTCAGTAAACTGTAGCCTTTGTAGGGAGGGCCAGGCCAGGGGACAACTCCCCTGCTCCCTTGCACAGAGATTTTTGGTGACGTGTGGTAGAGCCTATGAGAGAGAAAGCCTGAGATATGTGCCCATTGTCCTTCCATGCTCAGAGAGAGAGGACAGAGCTTGGGTTGGATGAAATGGGGGAGAAAAATACAACAGGAGTTGAAAATTCAAATGCTCTTGGGGGCCAAGTGGAAGCTGTCACTTTACAACCTCTGTATTAGAAACAAAGCAAAGGAAGACGGAAGAAGGAAAAGTGGAGTTGGAGTGGGACAGATATGATGCAGACACTGGCCCGCAGTGTCTACGGCATTGTGGATGAGACGAGAAAAATTCACACGGACTATCCAGGCCTATGTAGAAAAAGGGACGGTGCAGCCACTCTCTCAAAAGGAGGTCGCCTTCACCCTTGCCTTGACAGGCATTTATTGGGTTCAATTTGCACATGAATACAGGGTATTTACATAAAGCTCATCAATCATTGTCAGGCAGAAATGATTAACCAACAGATAACATTCAAAGAACTCTGAGGGCTTATTCTGAGTCAGGGTCAGATAAAGGGCCATAAAACTTTGGGGAACAAACTCACTTCAAGCTTGGACCCTTATCATTTAAATTGAGGGCATTCTTAGCAAAGCAGGTTTCACAGGATTTTATGCATTCTTTCTTAGGCCTGATCACCCTGGGGAACCCGCCCTTTCCAGCACAGGGCCACACCCACCTCCAGCATTGTTTTAGGCTTAGGTCAAGCAGGGGAAGTAAGGCAACCAAGAGATTAGGAGACTTCTTGCAGACAGAATGAGGACTCAGGCTATGTCAAAGCTGAGGGGCGAGGGTCCATCACCCCCCCTTCTCCATAGCCCCCCAAGTCCTTCCCTGAGGGCCCTCTCGTGACCATGCCTGTCTTAGGTCATCCCCCCTTGAGGAATCGTACCCGTCATTGGCTCACCGGTCAGGCACCGGAGGCCAGGCAGGATGAAATAAAGTGGGCAGAGGTGGTGTTCCTGCCAGGGGGATAAGCTTTGTCTCCTTAATGGCTTCTTGTCCTAAGGTCTTTTTACTCAGCCTTAGCCACGGGGGGGGGGCGTGCTACAGCTTCTGAAACCAGGCAGGGTGGTTCCCAACACAGATGGACCACCATGGCATTGACTTGAGGTAGCTCAAGTGTCTGTTACTACCCACAGTGACACTGATGGTGACTGATGACCTGTTGTTGTCTTGTTAGCTTCCTCTTCTGCGGGAAGGCAGAAGCAGTCTACCCGGATACAGTGGCACTGACCTTTGACCCCACCCACCAGTGGCTGTCCTGCGTGTATAAGGACCACAGCATCTATATCTGGGATGTCAAAGACATCAACAAAGTAGGCAAGGTGTGGTCGGAGCTCTTCCACAGCTCCTACGTGTGGAACGTGGAGGTGAGCCCCTCTCTGCCTCCCCAGCCCTTGCTCAGCTCCCATTTGAAGAAAGCTTCTGCAGAGTTTGGGGAACCCATTGGTTAGGCCATTCCTTCAAAATGGACTGCAGCTAAGTGCCAGGTCCTGTTCTAGGTGCTGAGGACACAACTAGGAGGGAAACTGACAAAAGTCCTTCCATCTTCTTTTTTAAATATATCTTATTGACTATGCTGTTACAGCTGTCCCGTTTCCCCCCCTGCATTCCCCTCCACCCTGCACACCCTCTCCCACCCACATTCCCCCGCTTTAGTTCATGTCCATGCGTCATAAGTTCTTTAGCTTCTACATTTCCCATACTATTCTTGTCCTCCCCCTGTCTATTTTCTACCTACCGTCTATGCTACTTATTCTCCGTACCTTTCCCTCCTCTCTCCTCCTCCCACTCCCCTCTTGCTAACCCTCCATGTGATCTCCATTTCTGTGGTTTTGTTCCTGTTCTAGTTGTTTGCTTAGTTTGCTTTCGTGTTTTTTGTTTGTTTGTTTGTTTGTTTTAGGTGTGGTTGTTAATAATTGTGAGTTTCCTGTCATTCTACTATGCATGTTTTTTATCTTCTTTTTCTTAGATAAGTCCCTTTAACATTTTATATAATAAGGACTTGGTGATGATGAACTCCTCTAACTTAACCTTGCCTGAGAAGCACTTGATCTGCCCTTCCATTCTAAATGATAACTTTGCTGGATAGAGCAATGTTGGATGTAGGTCCTTGCCTTTCATGACTTGGAATACTTCTTTCCAGCCCCTTCTTGCCTGCAAGGTCTCTTTTTGAGAAATTAGCTGACAGTCTTATTGGCACTCCTTTATAGGTAATTGTCTCCTTTTCTCTTGCTGCTTTTAAGATTGTCTCTTTATCTTCAGGCTTGAGTAGTGTAATTTTGATGTTCCATGGTGTGTTCCTCCTTGGGTCCAACTTCTTTGGGACTCTCTGAGCTTCCTGGACATCCTGGAGATCTAATTCCTTTGCCAGATTGGGAAAGTTCTCCTACATTATTTGTTCAAATATGTTTTCAGTTTCTTCCTCTTCCTCTTCTCTTTCTGATACCCCTATGATTCAGATGTTGGAACGTTTAAAGATGTCCTGGAGGTTCCTAAACCTTTCCTCATTTTTTAAAAATTCTTGTTTCTTCATTTTTTTCTGGTTGAATGTTTCTTTCTTCTTTCTGGTCCACACCGTTGACTTGAGTCCCGTTTCCTTCCCATCACTGTTGGTTCCCTGTACATTTTCTTTTATGTCACTTGCATAGCCTTCACTTTTTCATCTAATTTGTGACCATATTCAACCAATTCTGTGAGCATCCTGATTACCAGTGTTTCGAACTCTGCATCTGATTGGCTGGCTATCTCTTTGTCACTTAGTTGTATTTTCTCTGGAGCTTCAAACTGTTTTTTCATTTGGGCCATTTCTCTCTCTCTCTCTTTTTTGTCTTGGCATGCCTGTTATCATAGTAAGGGGTGGAGCGTTAGGTATTGGCCAGGGAGGGGTAACCCACATCACAGCTTTGTGGTGCTATATGTGGGGGAGGGGTTTGAGAGGCAACAGTGGTGCTTGCTCCACTCTCTGCTGGTTTTCAGTCACTTCCCCCGCTACCCACAAGCAAATTGGCCCCTTCTGGTGCTGATCCCAAGGTGGGGGGGGGGTGGGGGTGGAGGGTTGTGTACATTCTAGGACCCTGTTGGTCTCTCCAGTGAAAAAGTCCCGTGAGGCTGGGAGTTTCTCCCACTGCCACCTCAACCCCCACCGAGGTTTTCAATCAGAGGTTTGAGGCTTTATTTCTCCACACTGGAACCCTGGGTTGTTTCGGTCTGCATCGCTCCCTAGTTGTTCCTCCCGGTTTAATGTAGGACCGACCCAGTCCTTTAGCCGCCGCCTTGGGGTGCAAGTCCTCTCCACCCTGCCGCCCATCTCTGCCCCTCCTACCGGTCTGGGTGAATGTTTCTTCTTTAACTCCTTGGTTATCAAACTTCCATACAGTTTGATTTTCTGGCAGTTCTAGTTATATTTTGTTTTCAAACTTGTTGTTGTCCTTCTTTTGCTTGTGTGAAGAGGCAAAGTGTATCTACCTATGCCTCCTTCCTGGCCAGAACCCTTTATCCATTTTTTAATTGAATTGTGTGTTTTTTGGTGTTGAGTTGTGTAAGTTCTTTATAAATTTGGATATTAACCCTTTATCACCTGTATCATTGGCAAATACTTTCTCCCATTTGGTGGGTTGTCTTTTTATTTTGTGGATGGTTTCCTTTGCTGTGCAAAAACTTTTTAGTTTGCTGTAGTCCCATATGTTTATATGTTTCATTTGTTTCTCTTGCCTATTTTTCACTTCTATAAATAGTTCTTTCTATTTTGTTCTTTTTCAGCCCTGCTTGGTTATTCTTGATAGTTTCTGGTTGGCTACTGACACTTTTTTTAAAAAGATTTTATTTATTTATTTTTAGAGAGAAGGGAAAGGAGAGAGAAAGAGAGGGAGAGAAACATCAATGTGTGTTTGCCTCTTGTATGCCCCCATCTGAGGACATGGCCTGCAACCCAGGCATGTACCCTGACTGGGAATGGAACTGGTGGCCCTTTGCTTCACAGCCCGGCACTCCATCCAAACCAGCCAGGGCTGGCTGCTGGCGCTTTGAATATTGTCAGTGTTTTTGTATTTCTTTAAACACATAAGCATGGTTATTTTATACTCTGCCTGATAATTCCAATATTTGAAGCTAGCCTCTATTGTTTGTGCTGCTTCCTGTTCACGGTACCTTGTTTCTTTTTGTGTTTCGTGTGCTTCCATTTTCTTTGGAAATTTATTTGTGGGGATGTTTTACAGCCTGCGTTGATGATAGGTCATGGATCATGGATGATATATGGTAGCAATCTTTTTGTCCCTTTTTGTTTATTTTTAATATAGAAAGCATTAAACTATGCTTCTTCATCTGCAATTTACATTTTTCCCACCATAATGTGACAGTATGTCATAGTGCTGTCATTGAAGTGGTCGTAATGAATTGCCCTTTGCCTTGATCTCTGGGAAATGTAGGTGTATCCTGAGCTTGAAGATCAGAGAGCTTGTCTACCATCAGGATCTTTTCTGACTTGTTCTTCAGATAACACCATTCGCTTCTGGAACATGGATAGCAACCCTGACTCTCCCTGGCAGAGAAACATCTTCAGTAATGTGAGTGCCTTCACTGTGAACCCTCTTTTAGGAACAACAAAGACCTACTTACAGCTAGAACACTGAGGCAGGAGGGAGTCTGATAGAATCTTGCTCTCAGGCTTGACTAGGGACAGGAACCAGGAACCAGTGCAAGTCACTTTCTGTTACCCTCTCTCTTGTTTCTCTCTGTCTCCCTCTGTTTCTACGTAGTGCAGGTCTCTCTACTAATCAGCAGCTGCTGTCCAGGTGTGTCTACACAGCCACTCTAGGCAACCTGACATACTCAACAGAAGAGAAGAGAAGTTCCTCCCAAGTCTTGAGCTGTAGCTCCTTGGCAGAGCTCTTTGGTTCATCAACCAAATCATGCAGAGGCTTCCCCTGTGTGGCTAGCTGCTATGGGTGGGGGTGTACTGACAGGACCCCAAAGACAGCCATAATGTGAGGCTGGGGAGGCACTATGCTGAAGAAGTGATTGGTAATGCAGGGAGTACATAGCAGGTACTCCTACTATGGTCAGGTCAGTAAAGGAGCTTCTCTGAGGAGCTGAAACCTGAATCATGCACTTATGATTCTGCAGACACTTATCAAGGTCTGTACTAGGTGGGTACATGCTGGGCACCGATCAGTGACTAAGACAGGCCCTTCTCCTGTACTTGTGGCACCCACAGGCTAGTGCAGGAGGCAGAGAGTGAACTAACAACCGCACGAGTTGTGATATAATCACAAACGTGGTAAGCGGCATGAAGGAAAATTGCAAATTGCTAGTAGGATATACAGGGCCCAGCACAAATAACACCCCTTTTTTATTACAAAATCATAGGCATGTAATTCTGTAATATAACATCACACTCAAACACCCCATGTGTTTGAGTAGGTGAAATGTTCAAATTAAAACTAAAAATTATTGCACCCATATTATTACCCTACCAACCACACTCAAGCAGGCTTTACTTCTGTGGGACCCTGTATCACAGAGTCATCTGATCTTATTTGTGGCATCAGGGGCAGCTTCCTGGAGGAAGAGACAACTAAGCTGAGAGGTGTGGAGCATTGGGAGGAGGAAAGAGGAGAGGGGAGAGTGCCCAATGCCAAAGGCACAGCTTGTGCAAAGGCCATGAGGTGGGAAAGAGCTTAGTGAGTTGGAGAACCTGAGAAGTCAGTGAGGCTGGAACAAGAAAGACCCTTAATGCAGGGAGTACATAGCAGGTACTCGTTTGCTATTCCCTTTGCACTGCCTGCCTCCACCCCTGCCCGGCCCCACCGCCAATACTGCCATCTTTTCTTCTGTACCTGTGATATACGTGTTATATTTGGCTGCATGGGAAAGAAAACCCCAAAACAAGAGGTAAAAGTTTGGCTTTCTGACTCATAAAAATCATCTAGATGTAACCAGTTCAGACTCCTGGGGCAGGTGCAGGAAGGCTCCAAGAGCCTTCTAACTCTCCACTCTGCCGTTTTGAAGGATGGTCCCTATGTCCACCATCCAAAATGGCTGTCAGAGTTCCAGTTATCACATCAGAGAGTCTCAGACCGCGGGAAGGAAGCAGAAGGGTTCCCACTTGCCTTACATGTCACTGACCAGACTTTATTCACAGATCCTCATCTAGCTGCAAGGGAGGCTGGGAAACATAGTTATTATCCTTAGTGGTGAACCTCCCAGGTCAGAATTGGAGTTCTGTTACTAACGAAGAATGGGAGACTGGCTCTTGGGATACAAAATTACAGAGGTGTTTCAGACCTTCTCACTGTACTGACTTCAGCCCTTTCCTTCCTGCAGACCCTACTGAAGGTAGTGTATGTAGAGAATGACATTCAGCATCTGCAGGATATGTCACACTTCCCAGACCGGGGGAGTGAGAATGGGGGCACCTATGGACATGAAAGCCGGAGTACGAGTCATGCAAGTCAGTCCTGATGGCCAACACTTGGCTTCAGGTGACCGAAGTGGAAATCTGAGGCAAGTGGGCTCCAGTGGGTGTCTAGTGTCCACCTCCCAGCTTGGGCTCGTGGATACTCAGGCTGGTGGGGAGGAACCCTGGCCTTTGTACCTGCAGCTACTCATTGGGAACAAGGGGCTGTGAGTAGCAATCCTGTAATCAGCCACCCCTGAGAACTTAAGCAGAGAGTCTTCCAGAAGGGCTAACTAAGGTGAGGGTGGGTGGGTACTGGGACCTCAACAGCTGAGGCATGCGAACTTTGCCTACAGAGTAGGCAGGCAAATTTGCATGACTCTAGGACAGGGTAACACTTTACCAGCCATGTGGTGCCCCTGCCAAACCATCAGAGAAGATGCCAGCTGGAGCTTGTGGAGTCCTGGTAGGCCTGGGTGAGGAGCCAGGTGGATGGGACATTTGAGAGCAGAGGTCTTTCAAGATGTTACAATAGATGCTGACAGCATATGAGCCCTGTCACAGGGACCGGGTTTAAGTGGATGAATGACAGCTGTGACCACCTGGCACTGGGGCTGTTGAGGGATGGAAAGGACCAGGGGGAACTGGAGAGCATGCCCTCAAAGTTGTCATGTGTCCTCATTGTCCAAGAAGAGCAGAAAGTGCAGGGGGTTTTTTTCCCCCGTGAAAATTCTGTGGTTTTTAAAATGCTGACAACTGTTTTGATATCAATCACTGCACAAGGCAAACCGAATGTGTCAACGGGCTGCTCCCACTGATAGCACCCTGCCTTGAATGGTGAAAGCAGCAACAAGGGCTACATGGGCATAGCACTCTTTCCCCAGGCTGGGCACTGGCCTGATACTATGTGTATCTCAACCACTTTAGTCGCCTCACTGACCCTCCGATGTAAGTGCTGCTATCAGCTCCATTTTCATGTGGGTTAATTGAGGTAAGAGGAGCTAAGTAACTAGGCACAGGCAGAGAGCAGAGAAACTGGGATGGTTCTCTCTCATTTCAACCCTGGATGACGTCTTGCTGTTTGCTTTCCCTTGGAGAGAACGAGAAAAGTCTAGATTTGAGACTAAGAATGACAGATTGGAATTAGATGTTCCCACCCTTAGGTCCTATTCTTGAGTATGCCCTCTGACCCCTGACCCCCTGACCCCTGCTCCCTCCCCCCTCCCCAGGGTTCACTTGTGAAACAGTGCTGCCCTAACCCTTGTTCTCCCCAGAGGACTGTCCTAGACCTGGCCCATGGAGCCCCTGAGGTACTCCCAGCTTTGGCACTGCTTCCTTTAAGATGGCAGGTTTCTAGATGATAACAGTGGTTCGGTATCTCTAAACTACTTCCTGATGTCACCTACCTGGCAGTGGCAGAGTGCCTGGGTGGGAGCGGGGCTGGGAGGGCCCTGCGAGAAGGGTATAGTGGGTGGTGTGTGTCTCCTAGGATCCATGAGCTGCACTTCATGGATGAGCTGGTCAAGATGGAGGCCCACGATGCTGAGGTGCTATGCCTGGAGTACTCCAAGCCTGAGACTGGTGAGCCCCTGGCAGGGCGACAGGGGGTGGGGCAGGGGAATGGCCCCCCTGACAGAGCCATAGGGAGGGGTAGTTGGTATCTGCTAGGGCTGTGAGTGACAGCTAGAAGTCCTGTGTTTAGTAAGGGCCCCTGTCTCTGGACCCTGGGACCAAGGTGACTAGGACTCCAGAAAGCAAGACACTGGCAGGCAGGACTGCACTGGACTTACCCTGGTGCCCAGTGCCCTGAACAGAGCACAGGCTAAAGAGGTGGGTGTCGAAGGAGCGAATGTATGAACGAGTTCATCCTCTGCTAGGGAAGGTAGATTGACAGTGAAACTTGTATAATGCCTACAGAAAAATTACAAGAATATTATAGTGAATACCCACATGCTCTTTACCCAGATCCCCCCACATTTTTTCTTCTTTTTAAAACCTATCTCACCCTGTGACCTGTGTAATGAGTTTATCTGCTTCTCCTCTCTCCATCTGTGTGTGCGTGCATGCGTGCATGCGTGCGTGTGTGTGTGTGTGTACATACACGCACATAAGACGATACATTCTTTTCTTTTCATTTGCTGAACTATTTGAATGTAAATTGCAGGCATGATGCCTGTTCACCCTGAAATGCTTTTGTCAGCATTTCCTCGGAATGGGGACAACTGTTTACATGACCACGGGGCTTATCAAATGTGGGAATTTTACTTTGATGCTATGCCGTCGTCTGTCTTTATGGTCCTTACACTTTGCCAGTTGTCCCAATATTGTCCCTTTAGCACCTGTGTTTTTCCAGTCCATGTTCACACTTTAGTTGTCCTGGCTCTTTTGTCACCTTTATCCTGGAACATTTCCATACACTTAATTTGTCTTTATGACTTTGGCTTTCTGCAGAGTGTAGACCAGTCATTTTATAGAATTTCCTTCAGTTTTGGTTTGTCTGTTTCTTTTCCCCATAATCTGATTTCAATGACACAGTCTCGGTAGGCACATAACAGAGGGAGAGCTATGTCCTCATATGTTAATGATCTTTCCCATGCTCTTCTTTCCTTCTTCCTTCCTCCACACCCCCTGCCCCACTAAATTTTCCTTAAATTTCTCTTCATTCAGTATGCCTTTCCTGAGTGCCCTTCCACCTCAGGTCATATGTTAGGCCTCAGAAGTACCAGGTGACGAGTGTAGGCACTGCCTGAGGGGGCAAGCAGGGAAGTCCTAGGGGTAGAAGGAAGTGGGGCAGTGGGTAGGTAATCAGCAGGGCCCAGACAAGGCCCCTGCAGCCAGAGCTCAGAGAGTGAAGGGGCAGTGTTTTCAGGAGGCGGAGAAGTTGGCAGGACTTCACATGGCATGCCAAGGAATTGGACTTGGTAGGAAGCAGTGCTGGGCTCTGCTAGGATGTCTGCTGTGGGCACGAGTGAAGGAACGTCCAGGTGTACCTGAAGATTAGTGCTCCCTGAACTGCTGGCATGGGATGTGAAATGCCAGGGTTTGGGGGGCTCTGGAGAAAGATTACACAGAGCTGAGGGAGTGCGCCCCTTCTGGGTTTGGAGCAAGCTAGCGGAAATTATGGAACCAAAGACCCCTTCTTCAAGACTTGGAAAGCTTGGCTGTGCTGCTCTCCAGGAGGCCAATGCATCATGTAGCCTCCGGGGAACCCAGGGCCACTCTCTCCACTCACAGGGTTGACCTTGCTGGCCTCGGCCAGTAGGGATCGACTGATCCATGTGCTGAACGTGGAGAAGAGCTACAACCTGGAGCAGACCCTGGATGACCATTCCTCCTCCATCACGGCCATCAAGTTTGCAGGTGAGCCCCTTCCTTTCCGCTTCCAGCACCTTCCTGGATGTGTTCCTTTGCAACAGTAAAAACTCTCTTGAGCTTAAACAAAAAAATGGGAGAAGCAAGCTCTGGATTGGGGCACAGCTGGATCCAAAGGTTGAAGTTTTTAAATTATCAGGACTCTCTCCTCTGTTAGCTGTGCCTTTCTCTGGAGGACAGGATCTTGATTGTCACTGGGCCACTGGAAAGAGATTTCCCCTTTTTCCTATTCATTTTGGCCAAAACTGGGAGCTGACTTTCCTTTTGCAGGTTTGAGGCACCTGCTCTTTCCAGAAGAGTTAGCAGTGCCAGGGCTTTGGGGTGTTCTCTTTGGCCAGGTTCTGGTGCCCAGCCACCGCCTACCTCCACTCCTGATCTAGGAGGACTGGCATTAGATGAGTGCTGGTCCCCCGAGAGAAATCAAGGTGCCGGTCTTGTGAGAGGGCAGGATCTTGTGAGAGGGCACCGGTGGCTTGGCAGAAAATAGGTGGCAGTGACCATTGCTGGAGGCCAATTCTTTGCTGGGGTATTATCCTTGTGCCATCCCAGCAGTTATCCCCTTCTTTACCCCATGTTACAGCCAGAGTCACACAGCTAGTAGGTACAGGCCTAGGATCTTACCTAAGGCTGTTCTCCAAAGTCTGCGCTCCACCAAGTCATCCAAGGGATTCCTCCAAGAATGAAAAGATTCAGTATGTAGATCCCTGGCCCTAAGGGTTCCCAAGGGGAGGCAAGGCAGGCCCTGTGGGGTGCAACTGATCAGAACCCAAGAACATGTTCAAAACTATATTTAAGAAGATTATATTCATGGGAAGAATAATACATTCGTGCATGGTAAGTTCTTGACTGTGAAGCATTTTTCACATATAGTTTTGTGACTGAGGATGTATTAATGTCTCTTGGACGTTACTCCAAGAGACTCCATGTCTCTACTCCCTGCCCGGCCTCTCGCTGGCTAAGGTGATAGGGAGCTGGGGAAAAAATAAGTTAACAGTGTTTGATGTGTCTCGATGAAGGCCTAACAAAAGTTGATCGGCTAAAACTTCTCAGACATCCTTAAAGACCTATTTGGCCCTGGCCTGTGCCCCGGTGGGTTGGAGTGTCATCCCGTGACTGAAGGGTTGCAGGTTTGATTCCCGGTTGAGACACATAGCTAGGTTGTGGGTTCCATCCCTGGTCTGGGCTCATACCTAGGGTACGAATTCAATCCCTGGTCCAGGCACGTGCAATCCTCCATTTGGGCTGTCTCACATTGATGTTTCTCTCTCTCCCTTCCTAAACAATGGAAAAGTGTCCTGGAGTGAGGATAAATAGCAATAACAATAACAATAACAATAATAATAATAACTTTTTAAAAAGCTGTTCATTCATTCCATCAGCTAGAAGGAGTTAGAGCAAATCTGGCAGTTTGGCCCCAGGGACGTCACCTTTAACGGATGGTCTAGATCCAGGAGAGGTGGTGACTGTCCCAGGGGGTGGCCCCGAAGTTGGTCCTTTAGGGCACCTTCTGAAGGGTATAGGCCTTCATTAGAGCCCCAGCCAGCCTGAGAGGATGCAGCTCCTAAATCCGGCTCCTGATTGCTTTGCTCTGCTGGGCTGGCTCACTTGGGGGTTATGCTCAAAACAGTGATAGTCAGCATAAACTGGGCACCCGTCAGTCCAAACCTATCTGAAGCTGCCCTGCTAAATAAGGACTGAGGCTTTTAACTTTTCTGTGCAGCGTATCCAGAAAGTGAATACAGAACATAGGTTACCGAATACAGTCATGCACCACGTGACGTTTTGGTCACTGACAGGCTGCCTGTACTAAGGTGGTCCCATGACATTATAGTGTAGCTGAAAATTTTCTATCACCTAGTGACGTCGTAGCCGACGTAATGTCACAGTGCAACACGGGCCATAGTACTCATGTGTTTATGGCAATGCCAATGCAAGCAAACTTGTGCTGTCAGTCATACAAAAGTATATCACGTATGATTGCATACAGTACATAATACTTGATAATAATAATAACCAAATATGTTACTGATTCATGTATTTACTATGCCTCTAATCATTATTTTAGCATGTACTCTTTCTACTTATAAAACAAAGTTTGCTATAAAACAGTGTGGTGTGTTACACTTGCAGCAACCTCATCATCTCGTATTTACTGAGTCTCTTGACCCTATCATTTGCTCTAGCGCTTGATTTCATCTTGTGTTGTCTTGTGCAGTGACGTGCCATACAGGCTCGTAGCCTAGGAGCAATGGGCTATTCCATATAACCTAGGTATGTTATATGGACGCTCTCCCGTCTAGGTTTGTGTAAGTGCGCGCTGTGACATTATCCCAACACCAAAATCGCCTCATGACACATTTCTCAGAACACGTCCCCATTGGTAAGTGGTGCCCGACTGTAACACAGTGAACACCACATCAAGGCTTACGGTCAGTAGGTATGAGCTGGAACACACACACCCATATTTGTTTATAGCCAGCAACTGTTAGAATTATTTGTGGTCCTAACATTGCTAAATGCTTGGATCTACCAGGTTAAGAAGCAAAACATTACCAGTAACTTACAGGCCCTCTCTGGGTCTCTGCCTCTCCCTCACAGGGCTCACTCCCCTCTGTGAGCCAGTGACTCCTGCTCGAGCAGCATCCTAACTTGCATGTCATGCCTGGGCTCTCTCAAACGCCTTCTCATGAAGGAGCAGCATCTGTTGTACTAAGCTTCTAAATATTTATTTTGTCTTTTCGTTTTCACCACAACTCTGTGAGGTATGTGTACTGTTATTCTTACTCTATAAAGAAAGAAGAAGAAGAAAAAGAAGAAAAGTGCTTACCAGGTAGCAGCCACTGTTTAAGGGTTTCACACAATTTCTTGAGGCAGGGGCTGTTGTAGGCCCATTATACAGGCAGGAAGCTGAGGTTCAGAGAAGAAGCTGGTTTCAGAGCACAGTGTTTAACCAGAGAATGCCTGGCTTCAGTCCTGGCCCTGTGCTGACTCTCTGTGCACCCTGGGGCAAGGACTGTGTGACTCAGCCCCTGGGTCGCATTTGTGCGATGAAGTGGCTAGTGAGCAGTCAGGAAGAGGGAGGCACAGGCAGTGCAGGGCCTGGCCTGAGGGATGTGTGGGTGTTCTGATCATGATCGCATGAGCCTCCCAGTGTCTGCCTGTCTAAGACATGCAGCCCCTTCTGTCCCCTTGGCCTTCGTTTCCCTTTCAGCCCTTGCTCTGCAGGGGCCTCCCTTGCAAGTGCTCCATCTGTACTTCCTCACACACACAGCTCACATCTTACAGACTCCTACGTGCACCCGGCATCCACCTCACCTCTGGGAAGCCCTCCCTGAACCCCAGCTGAGTTCCCTTGCAGTGGTGGCCCAGCCCTACGTAGTACACTGCTGCTTCCTCTTCCAGGCAACAGAGACATCCAGATGATCAGCTGTGGGGCTGACAAGAGCATCTACTTTCGTAGTGCCCAGCAGGTAGTGTGGGGTGGCCCTCTTGGGAGCTGGGGTAGGGGGATGCTTGTCACAGCTGTCCTTTGAGGGTCCTGCCTGCCCTGCCAGGGCTCAGATGGGCTCCACTTTGTCCGCACCCACCATGTGGCAGAGAAGACCACCTTGTATGACATGGACGTTGACATTACCCAGAAGTACGTGGCTGTGGCCTGCCAGGACCGCAATGTGAGGTGAGGAGCTGCCCTGGGCCCTTCGTCAGCCTGGCCTGGGCTGCTTTCTGAGTGGGGCCTGTATAGGACCTAGCTGAGTCTGTCTTCTCGTGCACTGTCTGCTCTCTTTCCCCGTGCTCATCTGGTCCCTGAGAGGCCGAGTGACTGGAGGGACCCAGCAGGTGTTTCTTAGGAGCTGGTTTCACCTGGGCATAGCCTCCAGATCAGCAGAGGGTTCCTTCTGTCTCTCCAGAAGCCTATGGGGGGGGGGTGACTGAGAGGCACGGATGTGGCTCATAAACTTATTCACTCGCCTACATTACCCAAGCACCTGTTTGGGATGGACAATGCAGGAGTAACAGCAGTGAGCAGGGCAGCCCCAGGCCCTGCCTTCACAGAGCCCATAGTCCAGTGGAGGAGAGATGGACACTTCACCAGAGAGTGACAACTTGGAGTGGTCAGGGCTGGGATGGGGATAGACCAAGGGGGTGGGGGGGGGGCCCTGGGGCAATACTTGACCCTACCTCTGCTTAATGGAAGGAATGTCTGAGCTGAGACTCTGAAGGCCACAGAGGATTGAGCCAATGGCGGGGGGGCGGAGTATGTAAAGGACATGGCATGTGCAAAGAGGTTCTCCACCTCCTTCAACAGCTCATTCAAATTGGGTGCCAGGCACTCAGCTCACTCTGTGGCAGGGGAGGTGGACATTAATTCCAACAGATACCCTAATGCATCATTTCCATGACCTGAGCCTGAGATGGTGTCTCATTCTCTGAGATAGGGTTTCAGTCCAGCCATCAGATGGGGGAATAAGAGGTGGCAGTGGCCTTCTAGGGGCGAGGGACGGGGGTGGGTGGGCAGCTCCATGTTGGTCATGTTCTGTAACCACCTCCCCAGAGTCTACAACACCATGAATGGAAAGCAGAAGAAGTGCTACAAGGGCTCCCAAGGCGATGAAGGGTCCCTGCTGAAGGTGAGGGCCCAGGGCCCCTGGGGTGAAAACTATACACGGACCCCACACACAAGTCTTCCCTTTGTGTCTGCTGTCCTGGTGAGCCGCCTTAGACCTGGGTCCTCCTTGGCACCTGATTAAAGGATCACATGCTGGCCAGCCACCCACTCTGGCCTCGCTGACCAAGGATGCTCAGGAGCTAGGGGTGGCCCAGACTGCTTCACCTTTATTTACTGAGTCCTCCTCTAGGTGGAGCCATTTTAAGTGGTTTCCATTCTGAGTGGCAACAGAGTATGGTGGGAAAACTCAAAGAGTCCTGGGCTCCCTTGCCAGGCTTGTCTCTTGCCTGTGTTATCCAGGCCAAGGCAGGGACCTTCTCAGAGCCTCTGGACTAACTGAGAGTTCAGGCTCCAGGGTCAGAATGCCCCCCCCACCCCCGCCCCCCCGCACAGCTCTGTCTCAGGCTGACTGTGACCCCAGGCAAGCGTCGCCTCTCCAGTCTGGTTCATCATCTGTAAAATGCAAGTACCAAGAGTTTCTGTCATAGGGTTGTCGTGTGGAGGAAACAAGTTACACACATACAGTGCTTAGCACAGGGCCTGGCTGCCATCAGTACCATTGTTGTATATGTTAGGTTTTTTTACCTGTGCGGTGGGAGGCAGGAGTTCCTACCGTACCAAGGGTGTGTTTGTGAGGGCTCTCTGGGATGAGCCCATGTACCAAGTGTCCAGCTCAAGGGTGGTCCTCAGTCAGTGGGGACTGGGAATTTTGACTTGGGCCTCACCATAGAGAAAAAGCAGGCAGCATAAAGCATCACTGGCATTCTCTCCTTGGCAGGTCCACGTGGACCCCTCAGGCACCTTCCTAGCCACAAGCTGCTCTGACAAAAGCATCTCAGTGATTGACTTTTACTCGGGCGAGTGCATTGCCAAGATGTTTGGCCATTCTGGTGGGTGTGCCTCCCTGCTTGGGACATCTCCTCACCCACCCCCACACAGCCTTCTGACTCAGAAGGTCAGCGCAGCTTCTCTGTTCTGTTTCTAGACATCGTCACCGGCATTAAGTTCACCTACGACTGTCGTCACTTGATCACAGTATCAGGAGACAGGTGGGAAAGGCCTAGAGGCTGCCCCTGGCTGGCCTCCCTCTGGGAATGCGTTTCATCTGCACTGTAGGGAGAGCAGGGGCTTAGACCCTGGCAACACCAGGCTTACAACCTGTCTGCACAGAGAGCTCTTCGGAGTGTTCCAGCTTTCTCTCTCCTTGGACAGCAAGCACCTTGGCATCACAGCCAGCCCTGAGTTCAAATCCCAGATTTGCTGCTTATTTACTTGTGACCTTGAGCAGGTCATTTCCCCTCCCTGAGCTTCAGTTTGTTCCTTTGTAAGAGGGTTGATACCATTTACCTTGAAAATTATATGGTGATAATTAAATGAGATGATTATATATGTCATCCTGATATATTTCTTTATGTAAGTTATATATGTAATAATTTATAATAAATATAATAAATAAATTCCTTAGCATGTGGTTGGTACCCGAGGAAGTCCCTTTTCTCACTCCCTTCAGTTTACTACCCTGCTTCCTCACCACCCCTTTCCTCGGTCTGGAGGCCCTCAGAGCAGGCTCTGGTTAGCTGGGGTTCCCTGGAGCCCCCCACCCAGGATTCAGACCTGACATGGCCGGGAGCCCCTGCACTAAGCTGATGGGTTGTGTTTTCTGGGAGGTGCCAAGTAATAGGGCCTTGGCTGTGATGATGGTGGTGGCCTCAGAGTCAGGCGACTTGCGTAGTCAGTGTTTCTCACCCTTCCACATCTCTCTTTGGCCTCTACAGCTGTGTGTTCATCTGGCACCTGGGCCCAGAGATCACCAACTGCATGAAGCAGCACCTGCTGGAAATTGACCATCAGGAGCAGGGGCAACAGAACACAAAGGATGGGAAGTGGAGCAGCCACCCCAGGTCCTAGCAGCCACCTGCACATCTCCTCTCTCTCCTCCCCCAGAGGAATATTTTCCTAGTGTAGGCCTCAAGAGGCATGATGCTGGGGACAGAGCCATAGCCAAGACAGCCCTGGGCCCTGCCTTTTGTACACCCTCAGGGAGGAGATGGACTTTGAATACAAAGTTATAATAACACCTATGAGAAGGGTTTTGGAGCGGAGATGCAAAGTGCTTGGAGAGCCTGTGAGTACTGTGATGCAGGAAGCCCCAGGAGGCTGTGGAGACCAGAGGAAGCCCCTGATCCAGGAGAGAGGTGGTCAGGGAAGGGTCCAGTGTCACTGAGATGCCTTCTTACTCTTTAAAGTTCTCATGCTGTGGAGACCACTTTTATTTGGCATGAATTTATTGTCTAGTTTTTAATTTGGGAATTTGGTTTGGAGGTCTCGCTTTTAGTGGGAAATTGTAGGTTTTTCCTTCCTCTCCCCTGCCCCCGGAGCTGTCCCTGTCTCTCTGTCTCGAGGCTTTGTCATTGCCTCCCCGTGGGGACAAGGCCTTGACGTGTGCCGCCTGTCCTGCAGTGGGCTTGGAGGCTTTGTAGACAGAGGCACCAAGGGAGAGAGCAGCTACCTTTGGCTCGCGGTTTTGAGTCTCACGCCCTACCCTGGGGCCGGAGCAGGGTCCTGGCTCCAGTGCCCACCTTGTGTCAAGCATGTAGTCTCCTAGACTCCAAAGGAGCTAAAACCTCATCGCTACCCCCTGCTTCCCCAAACAGGTCCCAGCAGCTCAGTACTCAAGCCCCACTATCTGTTCTGTTTTTCAAACATCCCATTGATGTGGCCTTCAGAGTTTCTTATTTTTTGAGCCCAGCCTTTCCTCTATCTCATTTAGTATGGTGGTATATTTTTAGCAGGGTGGGTGTGGCAGGTGAGACCTCCCAGCACCATAGGTTCATGTGGAACCTAGCACAGGGCTCTGGCCCTAGGCGGATCCCTCTAGGACCCCATTTACCTATTTCTCTCCTTGCCTTCCTCATTCCTGACTTCAGGCAGGAGGCATGTACATCCAGCAAGATTTGCTCCTTAAGCCCTGGAGAGCAGACAGAGGATGAGCTGGAGGAAGAGTGTGAACCTGAAGAGCTGCTGAAGACACCATCCAAAGAGAGCTTGGACCCAGGTTGGGAAACCGATCCATCCAAAGGAGTCCTCATTTGACCTCTGTCAGTGTAGGGGTCGTGGCTGGGTTGCGCCCACTACTTTGTTTTCAGTGCCTGGCACATACTGAAGCTCAGTAATCATATTGGTCAGGACTCTCTCAGTGTAATAGCAACCAGACTCTCATTGGTGTAGCTAGAAAAAATAATTTATTGGTTCATGTACCTGAAAATTTGAGAGGATGGCTTCGGGCATAGCTGGATCCAGGTAGTCAAGTGATGTTAAAGGAGTGTATTTCTTTTCTATGTTTTGGCTCTACTTTTCTCCACATTGGCTTTGCTGTCAGGCAGACTTCCTTTCCTGGGAGGGAGGGATGTAAAGAGGATGCCCCAGGAAAAAACAGAGCACGTTAACCAGAAGACAGAACAGATTTTGTTGTTCTGGCAAAAAGGGAGAGTAGTAGCTTAATGACCTTATGAAAGGCCAGACTCTCTATAAATCTCTACTCCTCTGCATAGCGCCTTGGTTGGCATAGGCCCTCATGGTTGCAAGATGGCTGCTTAAGTGCTAGGCACCAGAGGCGTGCTTGAATAGGACATTTCCTCCTAGACTGTCCTTTGGAAAGGAACATTTCCCACCCTCGCTGGTGCAGCTCGGTGGTTTGAGTGCCAGACTGCAAGCTGAAGGGTTGCTGGTTTGATTCCTGGTCAAGGCACGTGCCTGGGTTGCAGGTTCCGTCCCAGGTCATGGCACATACAGAAGGCAGCTGAACAGTGGTTCTGTCACATCGATGTTTCTCTCCTTCTTTCTCCCTCCCTTCCCCTCTCCCTAAAAAATAAATAAAATCTTCAGAAAGAGAGAGACAAAGAGAGAAAGAAAGGAATATTTTCCCACAAGCCCCTGACAGGCTTCTCTCAGGTCCCACTGGTCATGATTGCTCCAGCTGTGAGAGAGGCTGGGAACAGTGATCAGCACTAGGTGCTTTCAGTGTGGGTGGTGGGCTCCACCAACAAGGGCCACAGATGGCCGATTGCTAGGCAACAGCAAATGTGAGAGTGCAGCCTTGGAAAAAAAATCAGGATAAGTTAATGTTCTTTGTCCCCACCCTCACTCCTGGTCCAGGACCCTCTCCAGGGTGACCACTCTTTAAAAAAAAATTTTTTTTAGTATATTTTATTGATTTTGCTGTTACAGCTGTCCCAATTTTTCCCCCTTTGCCCCACACCATCCTGTACCCCACTTCCCTCCAAAAATCCCTTCCCTTAGTTCACGTCCATGGGTCACGCATATAAGTTCTTTGGCTACTCCATATCCTATACTGTTCTTAACATCCCTCCATTTATTTTGTACCTACTGAGTTGTACTTCTTAATCCCTGCACCTTTTCTCCCATTCTCCCACGCCGCCACTCCCCCGCCGCCCTCCACATGATAACCCTCCAAATGATCTCCATATCTATGATTCTGTTCCTGTTCTGCTTGTTTGCTTAATTTTTTAGATTTGGTTGTTGATACTCGTGCATTCGTTGCCACTTTAACGTTCATCGTTTTGATCTTCTTTTTCTTACATAGTTCCCTTTGGCATTTCATATAAGAATGGCTTGGTGATGATGAACTCCTTTAACTTGTCCTTATCTGGGGAGCACTTTATCTGCCGTCCCGTTCTAGATGATAACTTTGCTGTATAGAGCAACCTAAGTTGTAGGTCCTTGCTTTTCATCACTTTGAATACTTCTTGCCAGTCCCTTCTAGCCTGTAAAGTATCTTTTGAGAAATCAGCTGGCAGTCTTACAGGGACTCCTTTGTAGGTAACTGTGTGCTTTTTCTCTTGCTGCTTTTAAGATTCCCTCTTTATCTTTAACCTTTGGCATTTGAATTGTGATGTGTCTTGGTGTGGTCCTCTTTGGGCCCAACTTGTTTGGGACTCTTCATGCTTCCTGGATTTGTATGTCTGTTTCCTTTACCAAATAAGGGAAGTTTTCTTTCGTCATCTTTTCAAATAAGTTTTCAATTTCTTGCTCTTTCTGCTCTCCTTCTGGCACCCTTATGATTCAGATGTTGGTACATTTGCAGATGTCCCCTAGGCTCCTTACTCTATTCTCATTTTCTTGAATTCTTTTTTCTTCTTGCTGTTCTGATTGAACGGTTCTTTTCTTCCTTACGTTCCAAATCGTTGGTTTGAATCTCGGCTTCATCTTCTCCACTGTTGGTTCCCTGTAGATTTTTCTTTATTTCACCTAATGCAGCCTTCATTTCTGCCTGGGCCTTTTTTATGCTATTGCAGTACCCAATGATTTCTTGGAGCACCTGATCACCAGTGTTTTGAATTTTGCATCTGATAGGTTGCTTACATCCATTTCATTTAGTTATTTTCCTTTTTAGGAGGGGTTTTTTTTTTTTCCTGTTCTTTCCTTTGATCCACAATTCTTAGTCTCCTCAGTTTGGCAGCCTCCCCGTGTTTGTTTCTGTGTATTAGGTAGAGCTGCTTTGACTCCGTGTCTTAGTAGCATGGCCTCTTGTAGAAAAGGCACCCATCTGGATGAATTCGGCTCCTTTAAATGCTTGGTTGTCGGCCTTCCATACAGCTCAATTTTCTGACGAACCTGGGTGATGTTTGTTTTGTAGTTTAGTTGTAATTTTTTGCTATAGTTGTGCGAGGAGGTGAAGCGTGTTTACCTATGCCTCCATCTTGGCCGGAAGTCTCTTCATCTGCCCGCTGCTGGCCGGGTGGAGAGCTGACCGCTTTACCAGTTTCCTGTGCATCTTTATAGGACTTCTCCTGAACACTATATACATATGTATATATCCATAGGAAACACATATTTATGTCCATAAATGGTAGTATACTACACATATTGTTCTTTTTCCTCTCAATAGTATCTTATCCACCTGTACCTTGGTGGATACCAAGCAGAGGCCTCCCTCTTTTGACCAGCGGCATAGTAGGATATTTTAAGTTATTCCCTCTGGGTGGGCATTTAGGTTTTTTCCAACTTTACACGGTTGTGAAGGAGCCTAAGCACCTGGGCCTCCTCTTTGGGCATGCGTGAGAGCATTTCTCCAGGATAGAGGCCAAGGACTGGCACTGCTGGGCCCTGGGGTTAGTACACTTTTTCTTTTAAAAGAGAACCCCGGGGGCCCTCCTTACTGCCCCCTCCCCAGCAGTCAGTGTTAAGCCCGTCTTTCCCCCATATTTTTTGCCGGCATTTGATAGTATGAAGCATTTTAATTTTGTCAGATCTTAGGGGTAAAACATTATATCCCATTGTGTAAATGTGCATTTCCCTGACAATTAGTGAGGCTGAGCATCTTCTGATATGTCTGTGGATTCCTATAGTGTTTGGAAATGTTTGGAAATAGTGCCTGTTTACGTTTGTTGCCCATTTGTCTGTGGGGTTGTTTACTGTCTTTTTATGGATTCCACGTGTCTCTTCAGATCCTCCGTGCCTGCTGACCAACGGCAAGCTGCCACTCTGGGCAAAGCGGCTGGTGAGTCTGGGTGCCTGGGGGCTGGCAAGGTAAGGGTGCCATCCTCCATGATCTTGTTTCTTCTAGGAGCACTTCCCCTCCTACATCTCTCTTTTCCCTGGAGAACCCTATCACCCTTCTAGTCTCAGCTCAGATAGCCCTTCATTCGTGCAACATGCATTTACTGAACACCTACTCTCTGCTAGGCATTGTTCTGGCCATGAGACACAGCGGTAAACAAGGCAGACAAACTTTCTTCCTTCACAAGCTCATTTTCTTGTGTGGGACATGGACGATATCCACAGTAACCTAAGTGCTACGGAAGGGAAAAAAATATTGAGAAGGAAAATAAGGAGTATTGGGGGAGGGAGTGACAATTTTAGGGTAAACAGAAAAGGCTTCCCTGGGAAGATGATATTTGAGCAGAGTCAAAGTGAGAAATGCAGATCGTGGGAAAGAATTTTGCAGGCGGAGAGACCAGTTTGCAAGGGCAATGGCCACGAGGCAGGATTGTGCTTAGCGTGTTTGAGAAAGTTCAGGGGCACTGAGGTGCCTGGGTGGAGGGTGGGTAAGAGGTAGCATGAAAGAAGGGCTCAGCGGGGCAGTGGGGGCCAGATGGTGCAGGGCCACATGGGTCGTGGTGCACTTCCTCGATAATCCTTGTTGTCTTTCCCCAGTTATTTATTTTTTTTTCCCCCACTGCGCTGAGTGAGATGGAGACAAGGGAGGGCTCAGAGCCAAGGATGGCCATGATCTAACTCGTGTGTTAACAGGTCCCTGTGGCCGCTTGTTGGAAACAGTTTCTGAGAGGGAAGCAGGGGTCCTAGGGAATAGACTGCTGAGATGATCCTGGCAGGAGAGATTGGAGGCTGGACGGGGAGGAAGAAAAAAATGGTTGGATTCCAGAGGGATTTTGAAAGTCGAGCCAAATGATTGGATTGTGAGAGGAAGAGAGAGATCCAGATGATGTTAATATTGAACTAATGAACGTTTTCTTGGGAGAGAGGCAGACTAGGAGCTAGTAGGTGAGAAGCTGGTAGCAGAATTCTAAACCCTAGGTTGGAGCAATGTCAGACCTCAGATCAAAGCCTACCGGGAAATACTCCCCTGCCATCCCCTTCCCTGCAGAGCAGGTCAGGGTATGTGGACATGCTCTCTCAGTCCCCCAAGCCTCCCCTTATTAGTGCATACTACAATCGGAATTACATTCAACAAATAATCACTGTATACTTACTGTGTGGGCTTTGTTCTAAGTCTTTTCTATTTATGATCTCATTTAATTCTCACTGAGGTAGGGGCTCTTCCTGTCCCCACTTCACAGATAGAGAAACCAAGGCCCAGAGGGGTTAAGTAACTTGTCCAGGGTGACACACCTAGGAATTACAGGACATGGGATCGCCTGTAGGCAGGCTGACTCCAGAGCCTGAGTTCTCAAACACGCAGCCTTCACCGTCTCTCAAGCAACTGTCTTGGTAATAGGCAGTGGTGGGCTAGACCAGGATGGGAGGAGAAGTGGCTGTACCCTGCGTGTGTTTGAATGACAGAGCTGACAGAATTTGCTGAAGAAATACAATGGGGAATATGAGGGACAGTGTAAGAGAGGAATGAAAGATGACCTCAAGGTTTGGGACCTGAGCAGAATAGCTGAGATAGGAAAGGCTCTAGGAAAAGCAGGTTTGGGGTGTTGGAAATCACTTTTAAACATATTCACTTTGAAATATCCACTAAACATCCATATGGAGCTGTAGAGCAGTTGCACGTGTACTTCTGAAGTTTCAAGAGCAAGGTTCAGGCTGGAGATAGATGTGTGGAGGTTAGTTCTGAGTAGTGTTTAAAGCCAAGAGCCTGGGTGAGGTTCGTGCAGTGTCCCTGGCTCTCATTGGGTTGGCGATCACTTGGCTTGCTGCCTGACCTTCCTCTCACCCTCAGCTGGGAGATGACGATGTGGTGGGTGGCTCAGCGTTCCGCACCAAGCACAGCTACCAGCCACATGGTCGCTGGGCGGAGCGAGCTGACCAGGAGCCCCTCAAGACCATTCTGAATGTCCATGACTTGGATTGCTTCTTTACCCCCATGAAGTTTGACAGCCTGGGGGACTCCATTCTGGATACAGTGGAGCCGCAGAGCCTGGCAGGTCTGCTGAGTGAGGTAAGGACTTGCTGCTCTAGTGCGCTCAGGACTTGGGGGCCTCAGCACTCTCATTTAGAAAATATGGCTGACTGTCCCACTCCAGGGGTGTGAGAGGATTACCTGAGATGGCAGAGGGCAGGAGGGTGAGCCCCAGGCCTGGCGCACAGTGAGACTTCCTAGGGCGGACCAGGAATCTGGGAGGTGGGTCACTTTGGGGGTTAAGAGTTTGGGCCCAAGAGCAGGCCTGTGCCTGAATGGAGGTGTATTTGAACAAGTGGAGACTGGCCCTACCTCTGCGTGAATCAGAGCAAGGCTTGCTTCTCTGGGCTTCAGTTTTCAAAAATAAAGACATTAAGAAAAAAAAAAAAGAGAGAGGACAAAAAAGTTTCCTAAAAACGGTCATTAAGAAATAGCCCTCAGCCCTGACTGGCGTGGCTCAGTTGGATGGGCGTCACCCCACAAAGCAAAAGGTGGCTAGTTCGATTCCCAGTCAGGGCACTTGCCTGCATTCTGAGTTCAGTCCCCAGCTGGGGCACGTACAGAGGCAGCCAATCGATGTTTCTCTCTCACCTCACGTTGATGTTTCTCTCCCTCTCTTTCTCCTTCCCTTCCCCTCTCTCTAAAAATAAATAAATAAAATCTTATTTTTTAAAAAAAGCCCTCAGAGGACTTTTACAGAAATCCACTGCTAAGAACAGGGAGTGGTCCCATTTGAGGTGCTAAAGCAATTTTAGCTCTTATCTTATTATTTTCCAAATAAAATTCTTGTTTTGAAAAAAAGATTTTATTTATTTATGTTTTAGAGAGGGAGAAAGGGAGGGAGAAAGAGAGGGAGAGAAACATCGATGTGTGGTTGCCTCTCACATACCCCCTACTGGGGACCTGGCCTGCAACCCAGGCATGTGTCCTGACTGGGAATTGAACCAGGGACCCTAAGGTTCGCAGGCCTGCACTCAATCCACTGAGCCACACCAGCCAGGGTAAAATTCTTCTTCCTTTTTTTTTTTTTTTTAATCCTATATGTTTGGGGTTTTTTTATTGTGGCATAATATACATGCAGTTATGTGCACATTACCTAAGCTTAGGTAAATAGCTTGAAGAATCGTTACCTGTGTATGTGCCTATGTATATGTACCACCCAGGTCAAAATATAGAGCATTTTCTACCTCCAGGAAGACCCCTGTTCCCCTCCCAGCTAGTACTTTAACCCAAGGTAAGCAGCACTCTGACCTCTCTCAGCATGGACTGGTTTGCCTGTTCTTGAATTTCATATGAATAGACTCTTATAATGCAATTGGGCGTGGAGTGAGCTCATGGCGAACGAGGGTCTTGGCCCCCAACCCTGGTGCACAGTGAGCATCCCACAGTGGGGGCTGCCATTATCCCTGACATCTTTACTGTAACACTTAGAAGCTTGCAAGTGTCCTGGTTGCCACGGCTGCCTCAGATGGCTGTGCCTCCTTACCCCACAGTCAGAGAGTCCCCAGGAAGATGGCCATAGGAATCCCTCCTTCCTGCCCTTACAGAGGGAGTGTTCTGAAGCCAGAGAGGTCATCATCTCCCTGGAGGCAGAGGTGCCGGTCCCAGGGACGGACAGGTAAGTGTCCTTTGCACCAAGGGGCGTCTTAGTTGGAGAGCGGAAGCCTCCCCTGATAGGCATGCTCTGAAAGAACTGCTCTCCCAGTGGGCCTGTGGGAGTGGGGAGGAAGGGGCAGGGACCTAATGGAACAGGAGCCCAGCCCTGCAGCCTGCTTCCATGTTTTTAGGTGGAGGTACAAGGGACTCCTGGGGGAAGGCAGCCTTTGGAGGAGGCAGGAGAGGCAAGGTAGTGCACCCAAGAGGAGCAGGGTGCAGATGCCTCAGGGCTCTGGGTAGGGGCCAGTTGTTTACTAACTAGTATGTTATCATTCCCTCACCCTGTCCCTATTGGCTTTGCAGCAAGTGCAGCTGGAAAGTGGTGCAGGGGGGAACCTGAAGACCAGCAAGGTGACTTCTATCTCAGAGTCTCCTCCATGGGCTCAAAGGATCAGAGCAAACTTGAGGGTGAGTGAGGGCCAGGCAAGGACCCTGCCGTAGCCTATTCCTCTGGCTAGGCTCCTTTCTGGGCACTGACGATGACCTTGACCCAGCCTTCCTGAAACTCAAGAGTGTCGCAGAGGACAGATATGGTCCTTTGATATTACCACAGGACTCCGGAGCCCAACTGCCCACCAACGGGAAGCCCAGCTCTGCCACTTCCTACAAGCATAACCTTGTTTGTCCATAAAAATAGGCGGCGGGTATTATCATCCCTTTCCTCTAGATGGGGAAACTGAAGCCCTGAGAAATTGAGCCACTTACCTGACTCACCCAACAAAGGGCCTGGCTTTGGGCTTCTGGCTCCCCCATACCATCCCCTCTCTGCTCCTTTAGATTCAGGGGATTCCGAGGCCTACTTGGAATGTACCTCCGCCACCATCCATTCCTCCCCTCCACACCTGGACCCAGACCCTTGGTTTGACATGACAGTGATCCCCATACCAGGTAAATAGGGGCTAGGCACAAGGAAGGGCAGTGCGTGCGTGGGCCTGGCTTAGCGGATGGTCATGATACGTAAGCACTGGCCCCACATCAGCTGTACTCTTGGTGCCCGCTAAGGCTCACCCGGAAGGCAGAGCCGCCAGTCTTTCCTTCTCGGCCTGGTGGCAACAGGGTGTGTGCTGGGCGAGTCCAGCTTTCTCCATGGTGTCTTTGTCAGGGTGTCTGCCATGACTCACGGTGTTGAAGGCTCTCTCCTGCCTGCCCCCTTTGCCTCTCCACAGAATACCCAGGACCTGCAGAAGAGTTGTCCCAGCCTGAGGTACCAGGCATATCCAATGGCTCCCTGCCCCAGACCCCTGAGCAAGAGAAGTTTCTCCGCCACCACTTTGAGACACTTACTGACGCCCACCCCGAGGGTAGGGCCCTGTCCCTCTTGGCCCTGCCTCGGAGGATCATCCAGTGCTAGGCACAGTGTGGGCATCTCTGCTTTAGGGCTTTCCCCAGCAGGGCTGCTGAGGTTAGCGGGAGGGCATATGTCTTATCTTAAGGACTAAGCCACATGGTTTCCTCTCCCTGCTACAGTTGCTCTGTGTTGTCTGTTGATGGGGTTTTCAAGGATCTGCCCGGACCTGGAACTCATTGGCTGGAGGGATTCTGAGGTCTCTCTTGGCATCTTTTCCTAGAGCTCTTTCACGGATCCCTAAGAGATGTGACAGCCTCTGAGGATGAGGACTCTCTAAATCCCCGGCTAAGCATCTCAGCCCAGTTCCACTCACGCCTCCAGAAGACATCCAGGTAGAAGCTGGTGATCTAGTGAACCTTCCAGCTTTCTGTATTCCCCCAGGGTGGGGCTGAGTCCTCTCAGGCACCCCCAGGGCAGGCACAACTGCCTGGTTTCCTCCCACAGGCTCAACCACACCTTCCCTTTCCGGCTGCCCTTGAACCTTCTGAAGTCCCCAGAGGTCAAAGTCATAGACCTCGGGGAGAACCAGCCCAGAGCAGAGCCTCTGAGAGCAGGTACTGGCTATGCCTTCCCGGACAGGACCAACGTGAGTACCTGAGCCACCTCCTCAGGATGTAGGACTGGGAGCCGGGAGGCCTTGTCCTCACCTCATGGCCGTGCTTGCAGGTCCTCTCTGAGGGGAAGGCTAAGGAGCCCCTTGACACCCTGGAGGCCTGGTACCCACGGAGTGAGTATCACCATCCCCAGTAAATAGCCTTGAGCTTCTCAGCAAATGGCCCGGGTGCCCAGCTGGTGGGCATGGGCATGGTCCACTGAGACCCTGCAGCCACCCTGGGGTGGGGCCCTGTCTATCATTTCTGTGGCTTGGGTGTGAGAGTGAACCAGCTGCTTCCTTTACAGCCTCTTGCCTCACAGGACTGGCTTCCTGCGTCCCCTCTTTCTCATTGCTGCCCACAGACAGGAAGCCTCTGACGCCCACAGCCCTACCCACTCCAGGCCTCCACAGCCCCTCTACCTGCTCCTACATGGAGGCTGCTGCCAGCTCCTGTGCCAAGAAGTCACACAGCATCTCCCTTGAGGACAGTGAAGACCCTGTCCTGGCTGAATTGACTAGACCCCTCTGCAGGCCCTCGTCCATGGGGGAGCTGGCCTCCCTGGACCAGGAGCTTCAGGCCATCACCACCACTACGGCAGCACCCAATTCTGGCAGCAAGGGCCAAGAGCCTGCCCTGACGTCCCAGGGCAACCATGAAGCCCGGGCCAGCCTCAGACAGACCCTGTCGGGTGTCTGTGACAGGCTCTTACTGCCCCCACCCCCACAGGAGTCACCTACTACTTGTGTTGGGTCCCAGGAACCGGTGGCCACGCAGCCTGATGCCACGGTTACAACAGCTAGCTTCCCAGCTCCCATAGATGTGAGCTCCCTGAGGCTCCACAGCTCCACCTTTCTCCCAAGGCTTCTGGCCCCTGGGCCCCTCAACAGCCCTGCCCACCCTGATGGCCTCTCACTTCCAGAGGCCATGCCAGGGGGCCCTGGTGGCATCACCCCCCTCCTGGAGCTCACCCCTGGTGAGTGTCACCCTTGGGATAAGGCGTTGCCTCCTAAGCTCATCCCATGTAACAGCTAGCTCGGCTCCAAAGGTGGGCGCTTGACCTGGCCACGGGTGCTGTGTGCCATTCAGCTCAGTTACTGAGCTATTTAGTGAGCGCTTTGTATGTGTTGGGCCTTTTGTTCTAGGCCCCGAGGGCATGGATGGGCTGTGGTGGTAAACAAGAGTACGGAGAATTGACACCTTAATTGGGGAAGATGCCTAAACTAAATGTGTGAGGAAAGTGTTAAGTGTATCATGAAGTGCTTATGTGCTCAGGAGAGAAATAAGAGAAAGGTTTTAGGGAGTGAGAAGTCGGGGCAGTGGTTACAGTTTTAAACAGGATGGTGAGAAAAGGCTTCGGACAGAAGGTGGTATTTGAGCAGAGACCGGCAGGAGGGGAGGGAAGGGAGCCTTGGGGACTGAGGGAAGTATTCCAGGCAGAGGGACAACAGTTGGGATCAGCCCAGCCACCCTGGTCTCTCTCAGACCAGCTATAAAGTAGAGGTATCTTTCTCATTCCCTCCTCTCTACGCCTAGATGTGCTCAGTGTGGTCCGGGACAGCCCCGAACACTGCGGGGAGCCTGGGGTGCCAGCTGCAGTCCTTTCCCCAGCTCCCCTTGAGCTGAGCAGTGTGGGGACCATCGTGCACAAACTGAAGGCAGCCTTCCAAGAAGCCCTGGACCTTTACCACCTGGTGAGCCCCCAGGGTCAGGGGAAAAGGCTAAAGGGGTGTGCCCTGGGACTACCTGGCCTGAGAGGTCCCTAACAAGGTTAGCACTCCTTGCAGATGGTCTCCAGTGGCCAGCTGAGTACTGAGCAGCAGCAGGCACGGACTGAGCTGGCCTCCGCCTTCCTTTGGATCCACAGCCAGTTAGAGGCCAACGACTGGCTGGTTGGGAGTGACGCGGCCCCAGCCCAGGCCCTGCCCAGCCCAGGTCCTCTCTCCCCACCTACCTTGTGCCCTCTGGCTAGCCCAGATTTGCGTGCCCTGCTGGAACACTACTCGGAGCTGCTGGTGCAGGCTGTGCAGAGGAAAGCACAGGGGGACTGAGGGCCAGCAGCCCTGCTATTTTCTGACGAAATAGGTATTTTAAGCAAATAAATGGACAACTTGGAGGAATGGTTCCTGGTGCCTATCCTGGCACATCCACAAAGCCCCTCTTCAGGTGGGTGTAGGGTGGGAGGGTAGAGGGCATTGCCTCTGGTGGACCAGCCCAGGAAACTCTCGTAAGCCCTGATGCCAGGCCCTGTCCTCAGAATCTGTCCATGAGAACATGGGACCAACATCCCCAGGAAGTTTGGGAACTGCAGTCATGATGATCCCAGCACCTGGTTCCCATGTCGCTTATCCCCAGCCCACTGACCTGTTGAGGGATCACATGTAGTCCTTGCCCAGTGGGGCCCAGCTGTACCCCAGGAAAGGGCCAGTCCTTCCCTACCCTTCCTGATGCCCAAGAACCCAGTGGAGCTGCTGAGATCACCATGTACCAGACCCTGGCCACACCACTGGCCCCTGGGCAAGGCCCATGCAAGATCCTCCAAGGTCCAGGCTTTCGTCCCTATCTGCAGCAGGGGAAATTGAGGAGAGATAAACAGGCTTATCCACTGGACGATCCGGGCAGCATGCCCGGGCCACCCAGCAGCTGGAACAGTAATTTCTTCCCCAGCAAGAGGATTGTGTCCAACTTCAAGGTCCGATGAGCTCCCAGCACTGATACCAGCTTCCCCTGGCAGCAGGCATCTAGCCACATGGCATGTCTGCTAAGAGGGCCACGCTCTCGTGACCGCAGAAGCCCCCACTGTCCCAAGTGTATAAAAAGGGAGCCAGCAGGGGGTGGGGCTCTCTCCTAAAGCACAGTTCTACCATGCGGACTCTTGTGGACTGAACCCCCACTTGCCTGTTCCTCCCTGCTCTGTTTGCTGGTCATGGTCCACCAGAAATGTTCAGAGAGAATCCAGTGTCTTGCCCAGGGTGCCACAGAGCTGAGACTCAAACCTAGGCATGCCTGGTGGAAGTGCCGGGCCTTTGAACATGAGGACATGGCCCACTGCTGCCTCCATAAACATTGACTCACCTCAGAACCAATCATGCAGTTAAAAAAAAAAAAAAAAATCCTGCTGGTGCCCAGGTGCCTGTCACTCCTCTGCGTATTAAGGGTACAGTGAGGACCAGGACCAGCAAAGCATCTGCCCTTGTGGCGTTCACGTTCTAGAGAGCAAAGCACACAGCAATTACAACAATAACTAACGGAATTCACTGTGCTGGTTGAAGTGTAATGGAAGGCCTTCCTGAGGCGACATTTGAGCTGAGGCTTGATAGAGGACACAGGCCATATGTACATCTCAGAAAAGTATACAGGCAGACAGAATAGCCAGTGCAAAGGCCCCATGAGGGGACCAAACGTATATGTAAGGAACAGCAACAAAGCCAGGACAGCTGGAATAGAAGAGGGGAGAGACGGTGGGAGAAAGATTGAGATCACACCAGGCAGGGCCTTGCTGCTTCATGACTTTCAAATCCAAGAAACATTCATGACACGATTTCCGCCCCTAAATAAAGTCCCTAATATTGGTGTTTTGAGGAGACGCCCCGTTCTGTTTATTTTTCAAAGCTCCCTCTCTCTGCCTTAGTGAGCCCACGTGGTCCAGGGCTCGTAGTTGGGCTGCACCGCTGCCGGGAGATTCCTTGCCCAGGCCTGTGGCCCACAGGCCACCCCTGAAAGACCAGAGATGCACTCTCCTGGCCTAGCTTGGTCACTGTCACCTAAGACCCTTGAGGCAAGGTTTAGGATCCAGGCCCCTGGACATCCAGGAGACCAACTTGAGGCTCTATCCCTCGTGAAATTTACCCCTTCTCCCACCCTGTATTATAGTTAAGCCTTCAATTCCAAGTAGCCAACGCCTGGCTTATGGGAACACATGCTGTAGGGACATTTGTTACTCTTGATTATGCCTCTGCTCTGTCACCCCCTGAGCCCGAGTTCCACCCTCCAGTTTAGGCCCTCACAATTGCAACATGTCTGCCACACACTCAGCAGTACACCCCCACCCAACCAGTAGGAGAGGCACAGAGCAGGGCAGCCGTCAGGGTAGTGGGGAAGAAATTGCGGATTTCTTCGTGGAGGCCTTCCCCTTCAGAGCAGTCATGGGCAATGAGAATAGAGATTGCTTTGATTTGCTTGGACCAGCCGTCTCTCCTGTGCTGGACAAAACAAAATTGGGTTCTCGGTATAAAGGGAGGTGGGCAGGTAGTTCAAGAGAATCCAGTGTATCTGCTACTCACTGTCCACTTCCTAATGCCAAGCTCTTCAGCCCCAGGGAGACCAGACTTTCTGTTGGACAAACGAGCTGCTTAAGAAACCACTGCTCATGAACATGTGTGCAGGTGGTTTATGGACCAATGGGATCTCAGTGGGAAGAGGACAGCATGTTCACGTGGGACATTTCAGAGGGTTTAGTGGAGGAATAATTTGCAAAGGAGTGGGCAGGGAAGAATGAAACCTCAGTACCTTGGACCTGGTACCAGAAGAGAGCTGTCACACAACCCCTCCCGCCACCCCCCCACCCCCCACCCCGGCGCCATAAGCACAAGGGAGTGAAGTGAAACCCAGAAGAGCGAACCCTGGAGAGAGGGCTGCCCTGAGGGGTCCTGTGTCTCTGGCAACCTGACAGGGAGCGAGTTGAGGGGATCCTTTCCCACATCTGCATGGCCCCCCATTGTTTGTACCCAACCGGAAGCCAGGGGGCATGGGAGCTCAGATGCTGCTGCCCACCCAGGTCAGCCTCCCACACAGAGCAGGGTAGAAAGGGAGCCTGGGGGCAAATAAAGACACCCAACTCCAGATCTCCTCTCTAATATGTTTTCAGCAACCACACAGGAGTCAATTCCCCCATGAAACATATGTTGGGCATGGAGAACTGGGCACCTGAGCAGGAACAGAATGGCTCCCCCCTTCGCCAGCTCATTCTTTAGTGTGACCTGGCCCCTGCACTCCACATTGGACAGCTCCTAGACGCTGGCCTGCCAGACCTGTGCCAGGCAAAGCAGTCATGGCTGCATGGACACTTAAAACCCCATTTTGCAGATGGGTCCATTGAAACACAGATACTCACCTAGCCACATCACCCCATGAGACTTCCTAACAACCCCTCTGTTTATATGTCTGCCACATGCCAGATCCCATGCTCAGCATTCTCCCCACATGATCTGCATGGGTCTTCAACACAAGCCGGAAATAGGGAGACTCGTTAGTTCCATTTTCCAGATGGAGAAACAGGCTCACTGATAAATGACTTGTCCCAGCTCCTGCAGAAATAAAGTGGTAAAGCTCTGGGCTAGCAGACTCTCAGGGCTGCCTCCCTCGCTTCCCCAAATGAGTCAGCAGGACTAACTCTAGGGAATGTGAATAAAGGGATAAATATTGCTTCTTTCATCACCAAGCCTTTGTATAGACTGTTCCCTCTGCCTAGAACATTCTCCCCTTTCATCCTAGCCCTCTTCTTTCTCCAGGGCTCATGCCCAGGAAGTTGTCTCTCAACCCTTAGGCTGGATCAAGAACCTCTTCCTCCCTCCCTCAGTCCTCCTGCACTCTCCCCTGATGTGGACCCCGGCTCATGGAGTTTGCCACATTGTGGATGGGAGAGAGACATTCACACGGACTACCGGACTACCGAGTCCTGTGGAGGAAAAGGGGTGAGCATGGCGCTTTCTCTCAAGGGGGACCCAAAAGCTGCGGCATCCGCCATGACAGGCCTTTATTTCTTTTTTTGGCACATTACATGATGGTCCTCATTTACTATGCACAGGCTCACTTTAGGTGGTTACCTTTTACAGAAAACAAAGGAGCCGATGCCGCACATCACAGAAGAGGGATATTTGCAAATGAAAAGGGAAAAGCAGTTACACTAGTCCTAGGAAGGTTTAGCATGGATTTTAGGAAGTTACTTTGTAGTAAACGTTTGCTGCCTCAAATTCAGGGTGAGGGAGTTTTAACAAAAACAAGTCTCAAAGTGGCCTAGGTACATTGCAGGCCTGATTCCCCACAGGGGAACCTATCCGTGGGCGTGCGTCCTGTGCATCTCCGAGTGGGAGCTGGGCCCACGCCACGCAGAACGCTCTCCTACACTCCCCATCACAGCTTGGATTGCTCTGCCTGTGCTATCACCATCAGGTCTTGGTCATTCTGGGTAGTCACTTGTGTGTCTCCCCCATGGGCTAAGCTATGTGCTTGTTTTCAGTGCTGAGCTATACTTGGTCTATAGTTGGAGCTCAGAGAATTGTTGGGTGAATAAATGAGAGTAACTGTATGAGGAGGAGTGTTCAAAATCCTTAACCCCTGGTTAAGAGGCCACTGACCAATCTGGAACACAGCCTGGCCAGAATGCTGAGGTAAGGTCTTCAGAGCCTCCAGCTGTTTCGGGCACGTGGGAGTGGGGGAGAGGTGTCCCAGGCAGTCACCAGGAGCTGGACTATCCACAAACTAGTGTCTTAATGCCTGCTACACCTGAACAGTGTGCTTCTGGCTGAACATCAGTTCTGGGAATCCGAGGGTCAGAGAGGCGGTGCTTCCTGCTGGAAGATGCACAGCCTGGATCCTTACTCTGCCCTCAACTATTAGACCCTGCTGTCCCCCCATCCTCTGGAGCAAGCAATCAGTCATCCCCTCCCCTGCTTCCTCGGACAGCTGCTGTGATTTGAATAACCAAGCAGGCTGCTGGATGTCCAGTACTGACTGATTTGCCTGGCAAACACACCTTTAGATCCTTGGCCCTGCCAGTACTATGAGAAGACATTCAAAACCCCTGGAGTCTCTGTTTCCTCTACCCACCCCACAAGAGCTGCCTAGGCTGCCTGGTGCCCTTGCTGGACCTCCTGGGGGGGGTGGGGGGCGGCGGGTCCTAGTGCTTACCTGCCCCCGGGAGTCTGGAGAATAGCCTCAGGAATCTTTCATAGAAGGGGGGGAGGAATGGTGGGCCCCAAGACAGAGGTAATTGGAGCCAAGTGAGTCTGCCCCCTGGGCCTGTCATGAAATTTGCATTGAGAGAATGAGGCTCCTTTATGGCTGCCCCCTCCTTTTCCCCTTGGGATGGTCATCCCGGGGCTGAGGTCTCACAGGAGGTGGAGGAGGCAGCCCAGTGGGCGTGTGCGTGTAACCATCTTACCATTTCTGGAGGTGATGCCTCGTGCCTTCCTGGTAAGGAGTAGGCGCCTGCAACCACCCAACTGGAGCCACCTGCCCGACCAGCTCCGGGGAGACGCCTATGTCCCAGGTGGGGGCCCTCACTAGGCCTGGAGGTGAGGGGGCAGGGGAAACACAAAGCATCACTGTTAGGCTTCTCTTCTCAGCCTGCAGAAGCCTGGAGGGGCCACCGGCACACCACTCTTCCAGCCTTGGGGACTCTTGGGCAGCGGTGAGTCTGCAGGTAGCCCCCAAGACCCTGCTCAATTTCACCCCTGCCCACTCTCAGCCTCAACAGACCCTGACCCTCCCTTACTTCCTATGCCCATTGCATGCCCTTCCAGCCTCAGGACCTTCCCACCCTTTGTTCTCTCCATTGAGAATGCCTTTCAGTGAGCTGTTAGGCCTCATCCCAAACACTGTTTCCCCAGAGTGGGCAGCCACAGTTCCTACCCTTAGGGATCTCTCCAGTCTGTGGGGGCAGAGGATCAGACAAGGTGACAGGAGCAGGATGGGGATGAGGATGAGATTGGGGGCCTTAGAAGAGCTTTTCTGTGCATGCACTGGACGGACAGCACTAGCCAAATGTAAATATGCTTGACTAGTTCAGTATTTCTTGAGAGCCAGGAACTGTTTGAAGCAATGGGTATTAGGCAGGAGTGACAAAAATTCCTTCCTCCCTGGAGTTTATAATCTGGAGGGGGCTGCAGGTATAGACAATAAAATTAAGAAAGTACATATTATGTTGGTAAATAGTGTGTGCTATGGAAAAAATAAAGTAAGGTAAGGGCAATGGGGCATGGTCAGGGAAGATGTTGGAGAAAGGATGGCATTTGCCCACAAATAGTCTCTGGCCTTCCTGGACCCCCATGGTTCCTAGTTCTAGGTACTCAGTTTGCTCCAGTGTGTGTGTGTGTGTGTGTGTGTGTGTGTGTGTGTGTGTGTGTAACTCCCATGTCCCTCCCACAGCCCATGCAGGGCACTTTGGTCACCACTCCCAAGGACCCTGGGATGCTTGGCTGCCCGTTCTGCCCCAAGGCCTTTCCGTTGCAGCGCATGCTGACAAGGCACCTCAAGTGCCACAGCCCCGCGCGCCGCCATGTGTGCAGCTGTTGTAGCAAGGGCTTTCACGATGCCTTTGACCTCAAGCGCCACATGAGGACTCACACGGGTGAGCAGTGGCAAGAGCATGGAGGGGCTGCTGGGCCCTGGGTGGGGGTGGGACAAAATGGAGGGAGGTGTCCTGGATGTGGAGTTTTCGTTTATGTTTTGTGGGGCAGAGATCCAGCCATCAGGTAAGGTAGTGCCAAGTAGGGGCCTGCTGAGGGGTGTGAAGACAGGCACTGGTTACAGGATTCAGGTCCCAGGCTGAAGGGTGGGAGGGAAGGCCACCCACTGCCCTCCTGGACCTTGGGGAAGGAACCACCTGGTGAGGATGAAGACGCAGATGCCTGGTCCATGTTTACACTGAGGTTGGAGATAGTGGGATGTAGGTGAAGTCAGCAGAACCTGGAGCAGGAATGGAGGAATGCTCACAGAGGGCAAGGTGGGTTGGCTTTGGTCTGAGGTCATTGTCCTGTCCTCTCCCGCTCTGCCTATCTGTGCAGGGATCCGCCCATTCCGCTGCGGAGCTTGCTGGAAAGCATTTACACAGCGCTGCTCGCTTGAAACTCATCTCGCCAAGGTGCACGGGCAGCCGGCCAGCTACGCCTACCGTGAGCGCCGTGAGAAGTTGCACGTGTGCGAGGACTGTGGCTTCACCAGCCCAAGACCCGACGCTTATGAGCAGCACTGCGCCCTACACCGTGCTGCTTGAGACCGCACCCTGTGTCCAACCCATGAGAGGCAAATAAACACAGGACACGAACACAGAACGGAGCATTTTTTACTGAGGGAAGGTGGTTCACTCCGTCCAGCGGTGGCCACAGTGTGGGGCTGTGCACACGTAGTACAAGCGCATAGCGTCCTGGCAAAAAGGATGCCCAGTTAGGAAGTGTGCGGACCCTCGGGAGGGCGCAATATGGAACTTGCATCCAGCTAGCCTCACCCCTCAAAAACAGACAAGGAGGCCTTCCTCATTGGTAAGGGTCCAGCTCAGGACGCCAGAAGGGCAGCCTCCCCTCACTATTGGTATTCCCTCCTCCCAGGAAGGACCAAGCCCAGGATATTTAGAAAGCCTTCTTCATGCCACTCACCTCGGCACGGGCACTATGTGACTGGAAGAACACCGCCTCCTTGTGACCGCACCTGTGCGGACAGACAGCCACCCATTGCCACTAGCGTACCCTTCCCTCCTTCCTCCTCCACTCTCCGCCTGGTGAGGACCAGCCTCTCTCGGTCCCGAATATCAGCTGCATACTCACTTTTGGCATGGGTGGTCCTCGGTCCGCGGCAACGTAGGGTCCTGGGACACGTCAGCGATGATCTGGGTCAGTTCACTAAGGGAGAAAGTGAATAACGGTGCTCTGATAGGGGCCCCCAAGCCAACCCCGTCCCTAAACTCCAGCCTTGCCACTCACTCCACTTCGTGCGTGATTTTGTTCACGTAGATGCAGCTGTTGTCAGCTTCCTGCTGGTAGTCACAATTCCGGCACTGCGGGAGGGCGAGTGTGGCAGGAAGGGGGTCACGGAGAGCTCCCCATGGGATTGGGAGAGAGGGCAAGGTTTTCCCTGGAGAAGTTGATTAGGGAGGGGATGGAGTCTCGAGGTTGGGATAATGGGGCGTATCGAGCATCAATACCCCTCGAGGGTGGGAAAGACTGGGAAGAAGAGTTCCTTTCGGGACAGAGGAGACTAGGGTCAGTCCGGGCGGAACAGGGAGCGAGGGGTCACGTGAGTAAGGCGGGGCCAGGAAGAGAACGGGCTCACCCCTGGGGGAAGACCGGGGAACCCGCGGTCTCGCGCTCACCGCGTAGAGCAGAATGCGGTTCTCTTTGTCCTCCTTGGGGTAAAGCATGTTGTTACTGTGGGGAGGGGGAAGTCAGAGGTCAGTCCCGGGACCATTACTTGATCTCCTTCCACACCTGCTGCCCCCGCCTCACCATTCCTGGCAGAATCGAATACCCACGAAGCCCGGCTCATAGGTCCCGTCGGGTTCCATGGCGCAGCGCTGCCCACCAAGCCTTCCGCGCTCGCTCTGCCTCACGACGGGTCGCGGGAAGGGTCAGGCCAGGTTGCTTCGCCTTTTGAAGAGGGGCGGAGCTGCGCACAGGTACTGGCTGCCAGCACCTTTGTATTTGGCCTCTGCGCTGAGATTTGGTTAATTACTTGCTCCAATCTTTTGTTAAAGTAACTGCTTCCAACCTCTGGGCCTCGCTTCCCCAGTTTATAGAATAGTGTCGTACGGGAGCCGGGAATATGACGCCTCACGGAACTCGCAAAGCACTAAGCACAGGCGCGAGTTTACCCTCCACGGCGGCATGGGTAACCCCCGCCAGTCCTTCCTCTCGTCTTCAGTCTGCGCCCGCCGGATCCGTTTTGGAAGAATGGGACCACGGCAGGCCTCTCGGGATTGGCTGGACATACCTAACAATATCGGAGAGCTTCCGGCGGTGAGGACCCCGCGACTATAGGCGGACCCTCCCTGCGAGAGAGCGCGGATTGGCCAAGTCGGTAGCAGGGGGAGGGGCTGGTAACCCAGAGGAGGCGGCGGCGGCTGTGCCGCGGTAGGTGAGGCGTCTGACCCGGCTGTGGGCCCCGGCAGGGCGCGGCGAGATGGAGGTGACCGGGTTGTCTGCGCCCACAGTGACCGTTTTCATCAGCAGCTCTCTGAACAGCTTTCGCTCTGAGAAGCGGTACAGTCGCAGCCTCACAATAGCTGAATTCAAGGTGTGGCCGTGCGGCACGGTCGGGGGGGGGGCGTTGCTGGTCAAAGGAGAAATGGAGGGGCTGCCGGGTCGCTGGGAGGGGCCAAAAATAAACCGAGGTTGCAGAGATTGGGCACCAGGCCTCAGCAGGGCGGGGCCAGAAGGAACCGAAGGTTTTGGAGGAGGGCACAGGACCTGGGAAAACGAGAGGTTTCAGAGGGCGGGGGCAAGAGCAGAGTGGGCAGGGCCAGGGATAACCAGTCGGGTCCTGAAATGATGGGTCTCTTGGAGGAGCAAAGATGAGGTACCAGGGGCGGACAGTCAGGGCAGAGGGTGGGGCCACTGACCTCTCCCCATACGCTACTCCTCGCAGTGTAAGCTAGAGCTGGTGGTGGGCAGCCCTGCGTCTTGCATGGAACTGGAGCTGTATGGAGCTGACGAGAAGTTCTGCTGCAAACTGGATCAGGAGGATGCGCTGCTGGGCTCGTACCCCGTAGATAACGGCTGCCGCATCCATGTGAGACCTCCCTACCTGGGATCCCCTCTCTCCCTTCATGCTTGCCATACTTTGCCCTGTGTAATAACCCAGATAGACACCCATGCAGCCCGTAGTCCATTATGGAAAGAGAGAGACCCATCACCAGACAGTGACAGCCAGAGTGGTTTGGGCTGGAGCAAGCCCAGGAGACTCAGGACACCCAGGAGAGTTGTCTGACTCCATGAGGAAAGGAGGACTTAGTAGAAGAGGTGGGAAGGCCATGCCAACTGGAGGGAGCAGAGTGTACAGAGGCCTAGAGTGTGAGGTGCATCAGGGTGAACGATGAGATGTTTTGGGTGGAGCTGGAACACAGCTGCCTAGGGAAGCTGGTGGGCCAAGCATGGGCCGTGACATCCTCAAACAGGAGGTTTTCACACATTGATTCAGGTATGGACAGACCTCTGACTGCTTGAGGCCACTCTAGGAAGGTTTCTCAGTGGTGGAGTCTCTGGGGAATTTTTTTCCCCAAAACTTTCTCTGTTTTACACTGGCTGGCGTGGCACAGTTGGTTGGGCGTCCTCCTGTGAAGCAAAAGGTTGCCGGTTCGATTCCTGGTCAGGGCATATACCTGGGTTATGGGCCTGGTCCCTTGTTGGGACACGTGCATGAGGCAACCTGTCTGATGTTTCTCTCCCTCTCTCCCTACCTTCCCTTCTCTCTAGACAAATACATAAACTCTTTTTTAAAAAGCTTTTCTGTTTATAAATATTACCTGTATTCGTTGCTTAAAACAACAGCAACCTCAAATTTAGAAAAATCCCTAATATAGAAAGTAGCAATACTTAGTGATCCTTGACCAGAAATAAGAGCCATTTCTCTTTTGGTGTGTTGGCCCAGTGGTTCAGGCTGAACACCGCAGAGTGTTTTCTGATCCCTGTATTCCGCTCCAACCCACATCTATCTAGTCTGTCTGCAAATCCTGTGGAGTCCACCTACAAAATGTACCCAGAATCTAAACTCTTCTGCCCTTTCACTGCCCCACCCAGGCCTAGCCCCCATCCTCTCCCTCCTGGACATCACAGCAGCCTCTGTCTCCTATGCCTGTTCCCTCCGCCACAGTCTGTTCTCCACATGTAGCCAGAGACAGCTTGTGAATCCGAGTCAGGTCAGAGCCCTCCTGGCTCAGAGCCTCCCTCGCTGCACCTCATTCCAGATAAAAGCCCAGTCTACAGTGATCTGTGGTGTCTCCCACTCTCCACGCTGGCTTACTCCTGGCTTACTCCACACCAGCCATGCTGGCCTCCCTGCAGTTTCTCAAAGGGCTGAGGACAATTCTGTGTCCAGGACTTTGTGCCAATTGTTCCTTCTCATCCTTCAGTCCTTGGCCTAGACATCCCCTCCTTTTGGAAGCCTTCCCTGACTACCTTCCCAGTCTCCTTAAGCCTCTTTGTGGTATTTCTAGATCGAACCTTGTTATCTTCTGGTGCTTAATACATGTACCTGTGTATTTGTTTATGATCAGTCTCCCAGCAGAATGAATACTTCTTCTTTTTAAAGATTTTATGACCCCTGGCTGGAGTAGCTCAGTGGATTGAGCGTGGGCTGGGAACCAAAGTGTCCCAGGTTCGATTCCCAGCCAGGGTACATGCCTGGGTTGCAGGCCATAACCCCCAGCAACTGCACATTGATGTTTCTCTCTCTCTCTCTCTCTCTCTCTCTCTCTCTCTCTCTCTCTGTCTCTCTCTCTCCCTCCCTTCCCTCTCTAAAAAATAAGTAAATAAAATCTTAAAAAAAATGGAATCTGAAATAAGAAAAAATCTGTAGATTTAAAAAAAAAAGAAAAATACAGTAAATTAAAAACAAAAGATTTTATGTATTTATTTTTAGAGAGAGGAAGGGAGAAAGAGAGGGAAGGAAACATCGACATGGGAGAGGAGAGAAACATCTGTCAGCTGCCCCTCGTGTGCTCACAAATGGGGACCCGGCCCACAACCTAGGCACGTGCCCTGACCCGACCGGGAGTCAAACCTGGTTGCTGGGGGCCATCAGTGATGTTGATGCCATCATGTGGGGACCATATGGGGCAGAGCTAGCCTTGAGGGTTTGGACAGGGGTGGGGAGAGGGAGAAGACTAGTGTAGATACCTGCTTTCATTCCTTCTGCTGGGCTCGAGATGAGAGAAGGCTGGGGTAAAGTGAAGGTAGCATATGGTTTTCCCTAGACAGGAGAGACTTAAGTCTATGAAACGCTCCAGTGTGCTGCTGCATCTTCCTCCCCCCACCCCCACCCCCGCATCCCAAGCCTCCCTGACCAGACCCTCCCCACTGACCTCCCCTGTCACTACAGGTCATTGACCACAGCGGTGCTCGCCTTGGGGAGTATGAGGATGTGTCCAAGGTGGAGAAATACAGGATCTCACAAGAAGCCTACGACCAGAGGCAAGGTATTGGGGCACATGGGGATAAAAGGGGGTGGGGTATGTGGAGGCCAAAAGGAGTGTATGCAGGTGGGTGGTGGTGTTTGGGGGGCAGGGTGGGCAGAAAGAACAGACAGGGACATTTTGGGGAAAATTGATGGTGGGGGCAGATAGGCAGGGGAGAGTGGAGGGAGTGTGGTGAGGTTGGTATGAGGACAGATGAGGGCATGGGAGAGCAGTGGCGGTGGAAAAGGCATAGGGTATTAATGGGGACTGGGAGGTGTGAGGGATTGTGGGCAGGCAGACAGGTGCAGGGATCCGGTGTGGGGAGAGTGGTCAGGGTCACGTGGGGCAGATGGTGTGCGGAGCAGAGCATGGTAGAACATGTGGGTTGGATGGGGCAGTGTGGTGATCAGTACAGACATAGGGAAGGTGAGGAGGGATTCGGGGGATGGATGGAGGCGAATGTGATACTGAACGGGTGTAGAAAGATGAGGAGAAGTGAAAGACTGGAGACATAAATTGTTAGTTTATGAATTGTGGGGAGGCCCCTGGGATCCTAGGGAGAGGCCAGGGCTGTGGTGGGAGACTTAGGAGGCTTGGATGACAGCCCTGTGACACCCAGAACAGAACAGTTTCTCTCTGAATGTTAGCCCTGTGTGAGTGGAAGGTTATCATCTCATTAGGCCAGAGGCTGCACCCATGAGGCCATGTCTGACCCCAATCTTCTACCCCACCGACAGACTCGGTCCGCTCCTTCCTGAAGCGTAGCAAGCTGGGCCGATACAACGAAGAGGAGCAGGCACAGCGAGAGGCTGAGACCACCCAGCGCCTCAGGGAGGAGCAGGAACAGGCCAGTGCCATCCCTGTGGGCAGCCGCTGTGAGGTGCGGGTACCCGGGCAGCCTCCTCGCCGGGGCACTGTCATGTATGTAGGTACGTGGTCTCCTGAGGCCTTATGCCCTGCCTGGTGTGGACGATGCTGGGGACCCCAATTTAGTTGGAGACACAGACACAGCAGTCGACAGGGACAGCCCAGAGTATTCATGGAAGGGAATTGGGAAGCAGAGGCACGATGATGTGGGTTGTGATAGAGAAAGAGGAGGCCAGAGGGATTAGTTCTGAGGCAAACCTGGCCAGAGCTAAGGTGAGGGAAACCCTGGCAGAATTTTTAGGGCTGTGATGGGGAAAGTTCAGGCTGAAGTGATCCGGGCAGGGATGAGGGAAGCTTAGGGGAAGATGTGTGAGCTGAGAGGAAGTACCGGACCTCTCCTTGAAAGTGATTGAGAGTGCTTCAGAGGGGAGTGGACCATCTAATGGAAAGGGAGAAGTGAGCCAGGTGAAAAGAGGGGATGAGTGTTCCAGCCAGAGGGAGTAGTCAGTGCAGACAAGCAGGAACAAGCTTGATTTGTTTGGGGCAGAGAAAGGAAGTCAGCATGGCTAGCGGGGAGTGAGTGAGGGGACAAGGTAGGAAGGACGGTCAGGAGCATGGGCAGGGCTGGACCATGAGTGGCCTTGGAGAAAGGAGAGAGGGGTGTGGATTTTATTGTATCGTTTATTTTTTAAAGATTTTATTTACTTATTTATTTATTTATTTATTTATTTATTTATTTGAGTTGGGGAAGGAAGGAGAGAGGAGAGAATCAATGTGTGGTTGCCTCTCATGCGCCCCCTACTGGGGACCTGGCCTGACACTCAGGCATGTGCCCTGACTGGGATCAAACCTGTGACCCTTTGGTTTGTAGTCCGGCACTCAATTCACTGAGCCACGCCAGCCAGGGCTTATTTTATTTTTATTTTTTTTAATTTTTTGTTCAATTACAGTTGTTCCCATTTTTCCCTCAGTGGGTTTTAATTTTTTATAATGGCTTTATTGAGATATAATTGACATATCATAAAACTCCCCCCATTTCAAGTGTACATTATTCATTCATTGGTTTTTAGTATGGCCATGGAATTGTGTAACCAACACCACAATCAATTTTAGAACATTTTCATCACTCCAAAACGAAACCCCATAAGCATTAGCTTGCCAGTCCACATTTCTGAAATGCGCTCTCCTGCAGTCCTAGGCAGCCACTCTAAATTTACCTGTTCTGGGTGTTTCATATAAATGGAATCATATAGTATTATGTGGTCTTTTGTGACTGCCTCTTCTCACCTAGCATCATGTCTTCAAGGTTCATCCATGTCGTAGCACCTAGCAGTACTTCATTTCTATTTTTCTTGTTAATTTGTATTTTTTATTTTTTAAATATATTTCATTTATTATGCTTTTACAGTTGTCCTATCCCCCCCCCCCCTTATTCCCCTCTGCCCTGCACTCCCCTCCCACCAGTATTCCTCACCTGCCCCACTTAGTTCATGTCCATGGGTCATGCATATTAAGTTCTTTGGCTTCTCCATTTCCTGTACTATTCTTAACCTCCCCCTATCTGTTTTGTACCTACTATTTTTGCTTTTTATTCCCTGTACCTTTTCCTCACTTTTCCCCCTCCCTGCTGATAACCCTCCATGTGATCTCCTTTTCTGTGATTCTGTTCTGTTTGTTTGCTTAGTTTGTTTTTTTGTTTTTTTAGGTTCAGTTGTTGATAGTTGTCAGTTTATTGTTATTTTACAGTTCACATTTTAGATTATCTTCTTTTTCTTAGATAAGTCCCTTTAACATTTCATATAATAAGAGCTTGGTGATGATGAACTCATTTAATTTGACCTTGTCTGGGAGGCACTTTATGTGCCCTTCCATTCTAAATGATAGCTTTGCTGGATTGAGTAATTTTGAATATAGGTCCTTGTCTTTCATGACTTTGAATACTTCTTTCCAGCCCCTTATTGCCTGTAAGGTCTCTTTTGAGAAATCAGCTGATGGTCTCATGGGAACTCCTTTGGAGGTAACTGTTTCCTTTTCTCTTGCTGCTTTTAAGATTCTCTCCTTATCTTTAATCTTGGGTAGTGTAATTATGATATGCCTTGGTGTGTGTTTCTTTGAGACTCTGAACTTCCTGGACTTCCTAGAAGTCTATTTCCTTTGCCAGACCAAGGAAGTTCTTTTTTTTTTTTTTTTTTAAAGATTTATTTATTTATTTTTAGAGAGGGAAGGGAGGGAGAGAGAGAGAGAGAGAGAGAAACATCAATGTGGGGTTGCTGGGGGCCGTGGCCTGCAACCCAGGTATGTGCCCTGGTTGGGAATCGAACCTGCAACACTGTGGTTTGCAGCCTGCGCTTAATCCACTGAGCTATGCCAGCCAGGCAAAATAGAAATTCTTTTTTTTTAATATATTTTATTGATTATGCTATTACAGTTGTCCCATTTCCCCCCTTCTCCCCTCCACCCTGTACACCCTCTCCCACCCACATTCCCCCCTCTTTAGTTCATGTCCATGTGTCATACTTATGAATTCTTTAGCTTCTACATTTCCCGTACTATTCTTGCCCTCCCCCTATCTATTTTCAACCTACATTCTATGCTACTTATTCTCTATACCTTTCCTCCTCTCTCCTCCTCCCACCCCCTTGTTCCTAACCCTCCATGTGACCTCCATTTCTGTGGTTCTGTTCCTGTTCTAGTTGTTTACTTAGTTTCTTTTGGTGTTGCTTTAGGTGTGGTTGTTAATAATTGTGAGTTTGCTGTCCTTTTACTATACATGTCTTTTTCTTTATCTTCTTTTCTTAGATAAGTCCCTTTTAGCATTTCATAAAATAAGGGCTTGGTGATGATGAACTCCTTTAACTTGACCTTATCTGAGAAGCACTTTATCTGCCCTTCCATTCTAAATGAGAGCTTTGCTGGATAGAGCAATCTGGGATGTAGGTCCTTGTCTTTCATGACTTGGAATATTTCTTTCCAGCCCCTTCTTGCCTGTAAGGTCTCTTTGGAGAAATCAGCTGACAGTCTGATGGGAACTCCTTTGTAGGTTACTGTCCCCTTATCTCTTGCTGCTTCTAGGATTCTCTCCTTCGTTTTTACCTTGGCTAATGTAACTATGATGTGCCTTGGTGTGTTTCTGCTTGGGTCCAGCTTCTTTGGGGCTCTCTGAGCTTCTTGGATTTCTTGGAAGACTACTTCCTTTGCCAGATTGGGGAAGTTCTCCTTTATTATTTGTTCAAATACGTTTTCAATCTGTTGCTCTACCTTTTCCCCTTCTGGTACCCCTATAATTCGGATATTGGAATGTTTAAAGATGTCCTGGATGCTCTTAAGCTTTCCTCGATTTTTTGAATTCTTATTTCATCATGCTTTCCTGCTTGGTTGATTCTATCTTCCTTCTGGTCCACTGTATTGTTTTGAGACCCAGTTTCCTTCCCTTCACTATTGGCTCTTCTCCGCGTATCTTCCTGCATCTCTTTTATGGTAACCTGCATCTTTTCATCTAATTTGCGCCCAAAATCAACCAATTCCATGAGCTTTCTGATCACCAGTGTTTTGAACTGTGCATCTGATAGATTGGCTGTTTCTTGGTCGTTCAAAAGGATGAGTCCTGGGGGACTGATCTGTTCTGTTGGAAACCTGTCTCTCCTTTTTCTTTTTCTTTTTTTTTTCTGATCTGGTCACTCTTGTTACGGTGGGGGGCGGAGCCTTAGGTGTTCACCAGGGCTGGGCACCCCAGTCACTAGATTGTGACGTTATATGTGGGGGTGGGGGCGGGGGCTGGGACGGGAGGGAACAGTGGCGGTAGTTCCATTTTCCTGGGATCTCAGTCCCTTCTTTGGGATCCTGGGCTGCGAGCTCTGCCCTGGTCCACAATTGCCGCCTCACTGGGTCCGCCAGCCGCAGCTTGCGTACTCAGGGTCCACCGCTGCATTCTTGTGCGCTGGATGGCTGATGGCTGTCGCGCCGATTTCGTGCCAAGTTTTCCCTAACCTCTGCGCGCCGCCGACCCGTGCCCACCCGCCTGCCGACCAGCGCCCACCCCGCTCGTCCTTGCGGCCCCGCCTACCAGTCTGGATGTACGGGTCTACTTCAACTTCTTGGCTGTCCGACTTCCGTTCAGATAAATCCTCTGTCAGTTCTGGGTGTTATTCTGTCTGTAAATTATTGTTCTAATCTTGGTTGTGCAAGGAGGTACGGTGCGTCCACCTATTCCTCCATCTTGCCGGAAGTCCCAGAAGTTCTGCTTTATTATGTTTTCAAATAAGTTTTCAATTTCTTGCTCTTCTTCCTCTGGCACCCCTATGATTTGGATGTTGGAACACTTAAATCAAGTTGTCCCAGAGGTTCATAAGCCTCTCCTCATTTTTTTGAATGCTTGTTTCTTCATTCTGTTCTGGTTGAATGATTATTTCTTCCTTCTGGTCCAAACCATCAATTTGAGTCCCAGTTTCCTTCCCTTCATAGTTGGTTCCCTGTCTTTTTTCTCTATTTCACTTTGCATAACCTTCACTTGTTCCTCTATTTTCCAGCCATTTTTGTGAACATCCTGATTACCAGTGTTTTGAACTCTGCATCTAATAGTTTGGCTATCTCTTCATTGTTTAGTTCTATTTTTGGAGCTTTGATCTGTTGTGCATTGGGTCATAATTTTTTTGTCTTGGTGCACTTGTTACATTGTAAGGGTCGGAGCCTTAGGTATTTGCTAGGCTGGGGGTAACCCACATCACTGTGTTCTGGCACTGCATATTGGGGAGGGGTCAGAGAGGGAACAAAGACACTTGCCCAGCTCTGGACTGGCTTTCAGTCACTTCCCCCACTACCCAGAAGCAAATTGGGCCCTTCCGGTGCTGATTCCCACGTGGGTGTGTTTGTGTACATTCTAGGACCCTGTAGATCTCTCCAGTGAACTCTCCTTGAGGCTGGGAGTTCCTCCTGTTGCTGCAACCGCCACAGATTTTACAGCTAGAGGTTTTGAGGCATTATTTCCCCACGCTGGAACCCTGGGTTGCATGGTCTGTGTCACTCCCCAGTTGTTCCTCCCAGTTTATCTGCAGGGAAATGTGGGACTGCCAGGTCTGCCAGCCGCTGCCTTGCCACAAGTCCTCTCCACTCTGGCTGCCCATCTCTGCCAGTCTGGCAGAATGTTTCTTCTTTAACTCCTTGTTTGTCACACTTCTATACAGTTTGATTTTCTGGCAATTCTGGTCATTTTGTTTTTAAATTTGTTGTTGCCCTTCCTTTGGATGTGAGAGGGGGCAAAGTGTATCTACCTATACCTCCATCTTGGCTGGAACCACATTACTTTATTAACATCTTTGTTTATTAAGAAATTTTCTGTCACTTTTGTTGCAAATATACTTCTCTAATGGGTATTCAATTTTGGCAATGCCCTTTCAGGACATATAAAAGATTCTGCTTTTTGTACAGCCAAATTCATCAATCTTTTTGTTGGTGGTTTGTTCCCCCACTACATGGAAGTCTTTCCAGAAAGTCTTTCCCCCTACAGAGGTCATTCAATAGTTGCTGGTGAAAACCTTAACTTTTCATTGTGCAACCCCTCCCCACCACACATACATATCATTTCTAACAAAACTGCTGTTTATTTTGGCATATGATATAAGATGAGGTTCCAAATTGATATTTTCCCCCAAATAGGTGAAAGATCAATCCAACTGACATGGTACAACTATTATAGTTTTTTACATTCTCTAGTCTGGCCAACTGTTCTGTTACATTATCCAGTAGACTGTTCTTACACTAGAACCATTCTTTATGTAAGCTCCATGAAAAGCTTTATGTAAGCACTAGGATTTTATCTGTTTTGGTCACAGCTGTAGCCACAATACCTAGAAAGGTGTCTGGTATGTGGCAGGATCTCAGTAAATACGTTGAATCAGTGAATGAATGAATGAGTGGATGGATGGGTGAATGAATACAATGTGCCAGGCCCTATGCTGTCATTATGATTATTTACATTGTGAGAATCATGTAGTCCATTCTTCTGCAAAGCCTGTAGATAGCCAGAAACATTGCCGTAATCCTGTATCAGTCACAAGAATAGATCAGAGGAGAATCTGTAGCATTGATGAGAGAAAACTACCCAAGCTAGTGCCTTAAGGGAATGTTCTGTACAGCAAGGTGGGACTCTTTTTAAAACTTGACCATCAAGGCTTTGACATTCCTTGCATCAAGAATAGGGATTTATATGGCCTCCTCTTGAATTGGGGTGGATTTGTGATCACTTTGATCAACAGACAGCAGCAAAAGTGATACTGTATGACCTCCCACACTGAGTCAGAAAAGGCTATGCGGCTTTTGCCTGGTACTCCTAGAACCTCACTATGGAGAAAGCCAGCTATCACATAAAATGTCTAACTCCCCTGAGACCCTGAGACTGCCATGCTGGAAAGCCATGTGGAGGTGCTCTAGTTAGAGTCCTCACTGAGCTCCCAGCTAATAGCCAGCCAAGTTACTGAGTCACTTTAGACATCTGGCCTAGTCAAGCCTTGCAGTGTCTCCAGCCCCAGCAAACTATTTGCTCAAACACATGAGAGATCCCAAGCCAAGCCCTTCCCAAACACTTGATCTACAAAAATGCAGGAAAAGTCAAATGGCTGTTTAACTTGCTGAGGTTTAGATAACATTCAGCGCAGCAACAGATAATTACCATAGAGGTGCATTAGGTATCATTTCATTCAAAAGAGGTTTCATTTGCTAACAAATGAAAACCAAAATTTAACAGCTTAAAATAATACTTATCCCATATTTTCTATGCCTTGGGAATTCAAAAATGGCCTAACTGGGTGGTTCTGGCTCAGGATCTCTCATGGAGATGCAGTTTCTTGGCCAGGATGCAGGCATCTCATGGATTGACTAGGGTTAGAGAATCAGTCTTTAATGTGGCCCATTCACAGGGCTTTTGGCAGGAGGCCTTGCTGACTCTTGGTAGGCCTCAGTTTCTCATCTTGTGGACTTCTCTATAGGGCTGCCTGAGTGTAACCACAGCATGGCAAGCTGCCTTTTCTCAGAGGAAGTTATCCAAGAGAATTATGAAGCATAGGGATACAATTCCTTTTTTTTTTTCAGTATATTTTACTGATTATGCTATTACAGTTTTCCCCATTTCTTCCCCTTTATCCTCCCTCTGCCCTGCACCCCCCAGCCCTCCAGCATTCCCCCACTTTAGTTCATGTCCATGGGTTGTACATATAAGTTCTTTGACTTCTCTGTTTCCTATACCATTTTTTATCTCTCCCCATCTATTTTATGCCTACCAATTATGCTTCTTCCCTGCATCTTTCCCCTCTCTATTCCTTCCCCCTCCCCACTGAAATCTCCATTGATGTCCATTTCTCTGATTCTGTTCCTGTTCTAGTTTGCTTAGTTTTTGTTTTCATTGTTTGTCTTTTCTTTTAGGTTCATTTGTTGATAGTTGTGAGTTTGTTGTCATCTTACTGTTCATATTTTTTATCTTAGATAAGTCCCGTTAACATTTCATATAATAAGGGCTTGGTGGAGATGAACTCCTTTAACTTGACCTTATCTGGGAATCACTTTATTTGCCCTTCCATTCTAAATTAAAGCTTTGCTGGATAGAGCAATCTTGGATGTAGGTCCTTGCCTTTCATGACTTGGAATACTTCTTTCCAGCCCCTTCTTGCCTGCAAGGTTTCTTTTGAGAAATCAGCTAATAGTCTTATGGGCACTTCTTTGTAGGTAACTCTCTCCTTTCCTCTTGCTGCTTTTAAGAGTCTTTATCAACTTCTTTTAAAAATATATATTTTATTGGTTATGCTATTAGTTATCCCATTTTTCTCTTCCCTTTATTCCCCTCTGCCCTGCACCACGCTCCCAGCCACATTCCCTCCTACACCCCCCCACCGCCCCAGTTCATGTCCATGGGTCGTACATATAAGTTATTTGGCTTCTCCATTTCCTGTACTATTCTTAATCTCCCCCTGTGTATTTTGTTCCTGCCATTTATGCTTCTTATTCCCTGTACCTTTTCCCCCATTCTCCTCCCTCCTCCCTGCTGATAACCCTCTATGTGATCTCCATTTCTATGATTCTGTTCTTGTTCTAGTTGTTTGCTTAGTTTTGGGGGTTTTTTTTAGATTCAGTTATTGATAGTTGTGAGTTTGTTGTCATTTTACTGTTCGTATTGTAAGATACAATTCCTTTTATCATCTGATCTTACAAATCACACACTACTTTTGCTACATTCTATTTGTTAGAAGCAAGGCACTAAGTCCAGCCCACATTCAAGGGGAGAGCTCTTAGAGATGTGTTAATGAATTTGTGGACATACTGGAACTCTGGTGAACTGGGGGACCCATGCTGTGCTGCTGTGGGCTGTATTTATGCCCAGATCTGTTCTATACCATCCCCTTTCTGCCTGCATCCTAGCCCAGTTCCCAGTCTCTCCCTTCATCTATATTCACCTGGGGTTCAGCCAGTGGGAAACTGAGCAGGAGACTAGAGGCTGGGTGGTAGAAGTCAGAGTAACCCTCCCCTTTCTCCCTTTGGTTGTGGCTTCTCTATGGTTACACTTCCTCCTAGCCAGACAATCCCATTGTGTTTCTAGCTTCTTCCAGGTGATCCCATCTCTGGATTCTGGTGACAGGACCTCTGACCTTTGTTCCTCCAGCCCAGAATGGCAACAACTTCCCACTGCTAATTTCCAGTTGCTTTACCCGCTCCTGTTTGGCCCCTCAGCTCCTCCATGTGTTATTGCCTCTCTATTCTAATATGAGTGGTTTCTGCATCCCACTTAGGGCCTACCAGGTACAACAGATCCAGCCCACTGGGCCCAAGTGAAAAAGTGGGCTCTGTATTGTCATATGGCCTAATATAGCAGAAACCAGAAATTAAGATTGCCATGGGGAATGTTTGTGTATGCAAACACTGGGGACATCTGGGAGTCCTTGCGACCTTTCAGGGTACCTCTGAAGTTAAAACTATTTTCATAGCACCAGTAAGACAGACTTGTTTTCCTTTTCTACTCTCATTCTTTCACAAGAGTGCAGAGTTTTCCAGAAGCTACATGGTAATATTCAATAGTTTACATGCAGAAGCAGATGTGAGAATTCAGCTATCTTAAGGCAGGCATTACATTTTCAAAATGTGAAAAAATATGCCACTCTTCTCACTATTTTTCAAGTTATTCTTGATAAAAAGTTGATGTTAACATGTAATGCTTTATTTTTTATTTTTAATTTCTAATGTGGTAAATATCTACAGATACAGCCCTGACATACAAGAGCTCTGTGAGGTCCTCAATCATTTTTAAATGTAAAGAGGTCCTGAGACACCAAAGTTTGAGAATGACTAGTCTCAATGTGCACTGTCATTTCAGGACCAGTAAGCTGAGGTGAAGAATTTCCTCTTGAGTTTAGCAAAAGAAAAAAAAAAAGAAAATTTGAGGCTTGGTGGGTGTGGCTGAGTTGGTTGGAGTGTCATCCCATAAACCGAAAGGTCACAGGTTCCATTCCTGGTCAGGGCACAGATGTAGGTTCCAGGTTCAGTCAGGTCAGAGAGGCAACCGATCCATGTTTCTCACTCACATAGATGTGTCCCTCCTTCTCCCTCTATTTCCCCTCTCTGCAGAGTGAATGATTGAGATGCAGGGAAGCAGGAGGGCCAGCTTCTTCTACTGGGGCCAGAAAAGTCAGCTCTGGAGCCTCAGCCGGGACCCCCGTTCCCACTCTGATTAAACTGGTGGGGTCATTGGCTGACAGCACCTGTGTAGCACCACCCCCACTCCCCCGCCTGAGGTGCACAGGAATCAAATCCCTTCATCCCGCAGTTCTCAGAGCCTCAGGGAGGGAGGTGAGACCTGTACTTCTAGACTTGAATGAAGTGAGGCTGAGGTTGTTGCATGGTTTTCTAGAAAATTCAGTTCCTGTGCCAAGCTGGGGCCACCGTTCCACGTCAGACAATGCACCTGACAATATGCCAGCACAAGGAGTGCTGCTGCCCCACATGGTGGCTGAGATAGTGAAGAGGCTAGGAACATCAAGGTTGCATGGGCTTGGGAGGCTAGAGGGAGTTCCTTTCCAAGAGGGTAACCCCAGACTTGGGTCAGGACGGGTGAGTTGGGGCCAGGAAAACGGTGAAGTAATTGGGTTTGGTAATCCCGCTGTGGGGATTAAATGAAAGCCAGCAGAGTATTTTTAATACTTTTTATACATTTTTATACCTATAGCTAATACTGGATAAGCATTGATCTATGTGCCTGGCTCTGAATTTAAGTGCTTTACATTTATTAGCTAATTTAATGCTCACAACAGTCATTTGGGGTGGATATTATTATCAGCCCCAATTTATAGTAATGAAGCTGAAACCCAAAAAGAAGGAACTTGCTGGGTTTGCCAGCTGGTGAGTGCCAGAGCTGGGGTTTGACCTGAATATGCTGTCCAATTTCAGAGTCTGTGCTCTTCTTCACTAAGGTCGTAACACCTGTTAACCTACGGAAATATCCCAAGTGTGTAACTGGTACAAGAATCAACTTAAGTGGACCATTAGCTTGTTTGAATTAGTGATTTAGCCCAGCTCCAGGGCAAAGGTTGCATTCAGCCAGTCTGTGTTTAGCACCAGGATCAAGTTTGTGATCAGCATGAATCACAGGATTACTTCAGACTTACAAAACCCTTTTGTTCATGTGATTCCTATTCAAATACAGGGTTGGTCACAAATAACACCCCTTTTTTATTAAATCATAAGCATGTAGTTCTATAACATAATATCACACTCAAGCACACCATATGAAATTTTAGGTAAAATGTTCAAATTAAAACTAAATTATTACACCCATAATATTACCCTACCAACCACACTCAAGCAGGCATTATTTCTGCTGGACCCTGTATATCCCACACCTATGCCTTCCTTAGTACCAGCACCATCCAGCAGATTTAGTGGATTTGTTCTCCCTTCCCCACTGCCAGCAGTTTTACTCATAATGAAATATGACAGCCAAAGATAAATGAATAAATAAAGAGGCAATGTTTGGTAAGTATTCTTGTCTGCCTTCACCTCTCAAACAAGGACTGTGTCCAATTCATGAATGTGTTCCCAGCATCAGGCCTGACATACAACTGGAGGACTTAATGGGTCTGGAAGGAAATTCCACCTTTTCCTGCTGCTTTCTCTTAAGTTATGGATCTGGTGTTAGGTAGAGGGTGTCCAAATGCTCAGCACAATATGTTCCAAAGCCCACTTTGCATCTAGGGTAGCTGCACAATATGAGCAGAAGTGAAATGTGTACAACACATTTATTAAAGAATATGGTGAACTTTCCCCACACTAACCTCTCCTGTTTGCCACCTTGAAGCAGATGATTTTGAGCACATGAAAATGATGGGGCCGCAGGGTGGAGTCTGGGTGTGTGAATCACTGAATAGAGGTTAATGCCAATCAACCAGATCCTTGCATCAAACTGTGCTTGTGGGACGGGGTGGTGGGGTGGTGTGTGTATTTGTCATAGCGGTTGGTATTACCATAATACACTGACCACTGTATGTTAAAGCTTAAGTACCAGGTCATTCTATAAAATGAGTCTCTAATCCCTAACTGTGGTCAGCTTTGACATAACAGCTGTAGGTTTCCTATATAGAAATTACCAGCATGATCCCTTCCATAGTCATTGTGGGGTCGATGCTGACATGGCTCTCCCACCACCCATGACGAGTGATGGCCAAGGGGGTCCCTTGCCAGAAGGAATGTGTATTGCTTTGGGAATGGTTGTAACTCCCTTCTTATCTCCTTTTGGGAGCAGCTTGTCCTCTGAGTACTTTTGGACCTTTTCTTTCTGCATGTACACACGGAACTAATGTAGTTTAGAATCATGCACAGGACACGTGCCTCCTTTGTCTGGAACCCCTTATAATGATCCTCAGACTGGAGGAGGTGTGGTCTCTCTCAAATCAGTCTGTGGCCATCAGTGCACTCCCTTGTAATGTGAATAATAAACAGCACGTCCACATCTGCTAGTGTTCTGGGTGGTATTTTTTGGAATATCACGGACACTTAAGCAGCTGTCTGGTTTGGAGCTCCTGCGTTATAATTGACAATTTAAATGTTTCCCCATATTCTTCAAAGGAAAATGTCCATGTTGACACGTGGAAGGCATTAAATCACACCCTTGACAGATCCTCACTCGGAGCTCAAAGGTATCATTTTTGGGTGATCATTCTCCTGCCCCTGTCCTTTGCCCTCTACAAATGCAGGTGCTTTCTGGGGCCAGATCAAGTGAGTCTCATGTCCTCAGTACTGATCCATTAGCTGGACTAATTTTGCTAGACTCTAGCTGAACTTCAGTTGGTAGATGCTGGTTGGGAAGTTGGAAATACCCCTGTAACACTCCCCACTCTGACAACTCCTTGATATGAAAGGGGTCAAAGCCTTGGGTCTGGAGGAAGGAAATCCAACTCCTTCTTATTGCTTCCCCTGAAGTTATTAATTTGGTGATAGGTTGAGGGTGGTTACTGCTGGGCCCACCAAAATCCATGGTCCTTTTTCATAGTGGCTGGGAGGGAGCTCCTTTTCTAAACCATTAGTTTTGGATTTTTAGTAGATTGACAACTCAATGTGTGTGTGTGTGTAGATGTATATCTATTCTTGGTGGGTGTTTAATGTGAATTTCTAAGTATATTCTGTGTGTTTGTGTGGCTCCTCACTGTGTGTGAGAGAATTTGTGTGCCAACTGTGTTTCTGCATGTGACCTCCCATGTCTGTTTTGAGTGTTTCTCCAATGACGGACTGTGAGCCAGGTGTGTGTTCTGTGTATCTACATGTGTCTGTATGTTACGGTGGGCACCAGAGTACATATGTACAGAACATGGGATCCCTTCAACTTTCAGACATTTCAGCCTCATTCTGCTTACATGGTTGCTCCCCACTGACAACTTCTCTGGTAGTTATAATTAATTGCAATGAATAAATAGAATATTACAAATAGCCATCTCATCAGGAATCCCTTTAAGAAGCTAATGAGGGATTATTGCACATGCAGACACATGCATGGTGTGATCTGTGATTTGGACTGCCTAGAATGCATGGGATACAAGTGCACATATCACATACTTGAGGGCACAATATTCTTTGCTATGAAGGACTTCATGCTACTTTTATAAAGACTTTAGATTTCTTTCAAATACACTTGACCCTTGATTAACATGCGTGTTAGGACTGCCCATCCCTGGTGCAGTCAAAAATCCACATGTAACTTTTAACTCCCCACAAACTTCACTATTAATAGCCTACCATTGACCAGAGACTTACCGAGAACATAAACAGTTGATTAGCATGTTTTATGTTATATGTATTATACACTATATTCTTTTTCTTAAGATTTTGTTTATTTATTTTTAGACAGAAGGGAAGGGAGGGAGAAAAAGGGTGAGAAATATCAGTGTGTGGTTGCCTCTCGTGCACCCCCTACTGGGGACCTGGCCCAGGACCCAGGCATGTGTCCTGACTGGGAATCGACCCAGTAATTCTTTGGTTTGCAGGCCAGCACTCAATCCACTGAACCACATCAGCCAGGACTATATACTATATTCTTAAAATAAAGTAAACTAGAAAAAGGAAAATGTTAATAGTAAGGAAGAAGAAATACATTTACAGTATTTTAAAAAACTGTGTATAAGTGGACCTGCACAGGTCAAACCTGTGTTGTTCAAAGGTGAACTGTATTGAACAGGTAAAGATCCCCCACTCACAGGGACTATGGTAGAATTACTTGTTTACCCCCAATATCCCTTTTTCCCAGCTTCAATCGTATAGGAACTTCTGATATTTAGCCAGGAACATGGCTGCGCAGAATAAAAATGATACTTCCCAGCCTCTTCTGCAGTTACAAGTAGCCATGAGACAAAGCTCTGACCAATGAAACAATAAGTTTTAGGTTGTACATACACATTCCTAAAGATAAGGGGTAACCCCACCTCCTCCCTGACCCTAGTGCCTGGAGCAGACGAGGTGGGAATCAGGAGGAGACAGGAGAGCAATAAGATATATGGAGAAGACCAGCCTCTGACACAGAAGGATCACCACATTAGCTCTTAGGATTACATTGAAACTTTACATGGAGAAAAATAAACTTCAATCTTGTGAAAGCCACTATTAATTTTGGACCTATCTGTCATAGCAGCAGAATATTTTATTAACTCTTGGGCCTCCAGCTACCAGCTAAGTAATAAAGCCTCACCCTCCACTTTACTCAGCCCCCTGTTACACCTTCACCTACCCAGTTGCCCCTAGCCCTTCCTATAATCACTGAGTCTTACAAGTGTTACCCAGTTCCAGTGAATTTAATACACAAGTCTCAAAAATCAATGACAAGAACAAAGTGAATAAAATAAAAACAGGAACAGCAAGAGAGCCATTGGCAAACATAGGGAGGCAAATTAGCTGGAGCAGGAGGATGCCCTTCCTTAGGTGTCACATCTCATCCAACCCGTAGTCCTCCTCAGGGAAATCCCCCACTGTCACAACTGATGGCTTGACGAAGGCACCATACTTGGCCGGGCATTCGAAGTAGTGTTTCCCATTCACACTGCCGAGCATGATGGAGAAGTCAGTGGTCAGAAAGCTCCCAACATGGCTCCCTCCCCAGATGCTAGGATGGATAGGCTCACCCAGTCGTACGTACATGCACTTAACACATATGTGCACACATATTCAAGGACAGACACAGGTACAGACACACACACCTGACACCTCAGTGGGAATACATATTACCTGCCATCGTTTTTCCCTAGTGGCTCATCATAGCGGACGCCAATCCAGTGGCCAGGCTTGAAATCTGTGAGTCCTGCCCAGGGGAGAAATCCCAGTGAAACCTCCAGGCGCAGCTCACCCCAGATTCATGCCCACCCACTGAGTGTAAAGACTGTCTTGGTGAAAACCACTCCTTACTAGGACCACTGCTATTTCCTGCCCAAGACTAATATGGTAGGTAGCCCCTTCACTGGTCTCCCTGATCCTACTGCTGACCCTTATTCCTTTAACAGCCCCAGCCAAAGGAGTCTTTATAAAAATCAGGGAAATAGCACCACTGCCTTTACCCAAATTGCTCAAAGGCCACCCATTCCACTCAGCATAAAATCCATACTACTTATGGTCAAATGATTTCTGATGAGGGTACCAAGACAAATCAATGAGAAAATAATAGTCTTTTCAATAAATAATGCTGGGACAACTAGATATCCACATGCAAGAGAATGAAGCTGAACTCTTACCTCACACTACACATAAAAACACAAAATGGGTCATTAAAGACCTAAATGTAAGATGTAATAGTATAAAACTCTTAGATTAGGACACACAAAGAGACACCATGCACAGTGACGGGCATGCACATAGAGGAAAGACCATGTTAGGATACAGTGAAGAGCTGGCCTCAGAAGAAACCAAACGTGCCAAGGCCTTGATCTTGGACTTCCAGGCTCCAGAATTGTGAAAAACAAATTTCTGCTGTTTAAGCCATACAATGTGGGACACTGTTATAGTGTCCCTAGCAAATTAATATAAGACAACAAAAAGACGACCCAATGTAAAAATGCACAAAAAGGATCTCAGTAGACACGTCTCTAAAGAAGATACACAGACTGCCATAAAGTACATGAAAAGATGCTCAACATAATTATCATCAAAGAATCACAAATCAAAACCATAATGCTTTATGACTTCACACCCATTAGAATAATTTTCATCAAAAAGACAAGAGCATGTGTTGGAGAGGGTGTGGAGAAATTGGAACCCTCCTACATTCTGAAGGGAATACATAATGGGCAGCCACTGTAGAGAACACTGCAGCCAGGTTGAACAGGTTGCACAAGTGTCACCACATAACCCAGCAATTCCACTCTTAGGCATAGAAAAAGGAAAATATATGTCCACACAAAATTTATACAAGAGCCACAGAGTGGAAAGGACCCAAATGTCCATCAACTGTGACAGATTAAAAAAATGGTCTTGCAATGCAATACCACAATGCAGTATTATTTGGTAATAAAAATAAATGAAGTACTGCTAGGTGCTACGACATGGATGAACCTTGAAGACATGATGCTAGGTGAGAAGAGGCAGTCACAAAAGACCACATAATACTATATGATTCCATTTATATGAAACACCCAGAACAGGTAAATTTAGAGTGGCTGCCTAGGACTGCAGGAGAGCGCATTTCAGAAATGTGGACTGGCAAGCTAATGCTTATGGGGTTTCGTTTTGGAGTGATGAAAATGTTCTAAAATTGATTGTGGTGTTGGTTACACAATTCCATGGCCATACTAAAAACCAATGAATGAATAATGTACACTTGAAATGGGGGAGTTTTATGATATGTCAATTATATCTCAATAAAGCCATTATAAAAATTAAAACCCACTGAGGGAAAAATGGGAACAACTGTAATTGAACAAAAATTAAAAAAATAAAAATAAAATAAGCCCTGGCTGGCGTGGCTCAGTGAATTGAGTGCCGGACTACAAACCAAAGGGTCACAGGTTTGATCCCAGTCAGGGCACATGCCTGAGTGTCAGGCCAGGTCCCCAGTAGGGGGCGCATGAGAGGCAACCACACATTGATTCTCTCCTCTCTCCTTCCTTCCCCAACTCAAATAAATAAATAAATAAATAAATAAATAAATAAGTAAATAAAATCTTTAAAAAATAAACGATACAATAAAATCCACACCCCTCTCTCCTTTCTCCAAGGCCACTCATGGTCCAGCCCTGCCCATGCTCCTGACCGTCCTTCCTACCTTGTCCCCTCACTCACTCCCCCGCTAGCCATGCTGACTTCCTTTCTCTGCCCCCAAACAAATCAAGCTTGTTCCTGCTTGTCTGCACTGACTACTCCCTCTGGCTGGAACACTCATCCCCTCTTTTCACCTGGCTCACTTCTCCCTTTCCATTAGATGGTCCACTCCCTCTGAAGCACTCTCAATCACTTTCAAGGAGAGGTCCGGTACTTCCTCTCAGCTCACACATCTTCCCCTAAGCTTCCCTCATCCCTGCCCGGATCACTTCAGCCTGAACTTTCCCCATCACAGCCCTAAAAATTCTGCCAGGGTTTCCCTCACCTTAGCTCTGGCCAGGTTTGCCTCAGAACTAATCCCTCTGGCCTCCTCTTTCTCTATCACAACCCACATCATCGTGCCTCTGCTTCCCAATTCCCTTCCATGAATACTCTGGGCTGTCCCTGTCGACTGCTGTGTCTGTGTCTCCAACTAAATTGGGGTCCCCAGCATCGTCCACACCAGGCAGGGCATAAGGCCTCAGGAGACCACGTACCTACATACATGACAGTGCCCCGGCGAGGAGGCTGCCCGGGTACCCGCACCTCACAGCGGCTGCCCACAGGGATGGCACTGGCCTGTTCCTGCTCCTCCCTGAGGCGCTGGGTGGTCTCAGCCTCTCGCTGTGCCTGCTCCTCTTCGTTGTATCGGCCCAGCTTGCTACGCTTCAGGAAGGAGCGGACCGAGTCTGTCGGGTGGGGTAGAAGATTGGGGGTCAGACATGGCCTCATGGGTGCAGCCTCTGGCCTAATGAGATGATAACCTTCCACTCACACAGGGCTAACATTCAGAGAGAAACTGTTCTGTTCTGGGTGTCACAGGGCTGTCATCCAAGCCTCCTAAGTCTCCCACCACAGCCCTGGCCTCTCCCTAGGATCCCAGGGGCCTCCCCACAATTCATAAACTAACAATTTATGTCTCCAGTCTTTCACTTCTCCTCATCTTTCTACACCCGCTCAGTATCACATTCGCCTCCATCCATCCCCCCGAATCCCTCCTCACCTTCCCTATGTCTGTACTGATCACCACACTGCCCCCATCCAACCCACATGTTCTACCATGCTCTGCTCCGCACACCATCTGCCCCACGTGACCCTGACCACTCTCCCCACACCGGATCCCTGCACCTGTCTGCCTGCCCACAATCCCTCACACCTCCCAGTCCCCATTAATACCCTATGCCTTTTCCACCGCCACTGCTCTCCCATGCCCTCATCTGTCCTCATACCAACCTCACCACACTCCCTCCACTCTCCCCTGCCTATCTGCCCCCACCATCAATTTTCCCCAAAATGTCCCTGTCTGTTCTTTCTGCCCACCCTGCCCCCCAAACACCACCACCCACCTGCATACACTCCTTTTGGCCTCCACATACCCCCACCCCCCTTTTATCCCCATGTGCCCCCAATACCTTGCCTCTGGTCGTAGGCTTCTTGTGAGATCCTGTATTTCTCCACCTTGGACACATCCTCATACTCCCCAAGGCGAGCACCGCTGTGGTCAATGACCTGTAGTGACAGGGGAGGTCAGTGGGGAGGGTCTGGTCAGGGAGGCTTGGGATGCGGGGGTGGGGGGGGGGGGGGGGGGAGGAAGATGCAGCAGCACACTGGAGCGTTTCATAGACTTAAGTCTCTCCTGTCTAGGGAAAACCATATGCTACCTTCACTTTACCCCAGCCTTCTCTCATCTCGAGCCCAGCAGAAGGAATGAAAGCAGGTATCTACACTAGTCTTCTCCCTCTCCCCACCCCTGTCCAAACCCTCAAGGCTAGCTCTGCCCCATATGGTCCCCACATGATGGCATCAACATCACTGATGGCCCCCAGCAACCAGGTTTGACTCCCGGTCGGGTCAGGGCACGTGCCTAGGTTGTGGGCCGGGTCCCCATTTGTGAGCACACGAGGGGCAGCTGACAGATGTTTCTCTCCTCTCCCATGTCGATGTTTCCTTCCCTCTCTTTCTCCCTTCCTCTCTCTAAAAATAAATACATAAAATCTTTTGTTTTTAATTTACTGTATTTTTCTTTTTTTTTTAAATCTACAGATTTTTTCTTATTTCAGATTCCATTTTTTTTAAGATTTTATTTACTTATTTTTTAGAGAGGGAAGGGAGGGAGAGAGAGAGACAGAGAGAGAGAGAGAGAGAGAGAGAGAGAGAGAGAGAGAAACATCAATGTGCAGTTGCTGGGGGTTATGGCCTGCAACCCAGGCATGTACCCTGGCTGGGAATCGAACCTGGGACACTTTGGTTCCCAGCCCACGCTCAATCCACTGAGCTACTCCAGCCAGGGGTCATAAAATCTTTAAAAAAAAAAAAAAAAAAAAAAAGAAGAAGTATTCATTCTGCTGGGAGACTGATCATAAACAAATACACAGGTACATGTATTAAGCACCAGAAGATAACAAGGTTCGATCTAGAAATACCACAAAGAGGCTTAAGGAGACTGGGAAGGTAGTCAGGGAAGGCTTCCAAAAGGAGGGGATGTCTAGGCCAAGGACTGAAGGATGAGAAGGAACAATTGGCACAAAGTCCTGGACACAGAATTGTCCTCAGCCCTTTGAGAAACTGCAGGGAGGCCAGCATGGCTGGTGTGGAGTAAGCCAGGAGTAAGCCAGCGTGGAGAGTGGGAGACACCACAGATCACTGTAGACTGGGCTTTTATCTGGAATGAGGTGCAGCGAGGGAGGCTCTGAGCCAGGAGGGCTCTGACCTGACTCGGATTCACAAGCTGTCTCTGGCTACATGTGGAGAACAGACTGTGGCGGAGGGAACAGGCATAGGAGACAGAGGCTGCTGTGATGTCCAGGAGGGAGAGGATGGGGGCTAGGCCTGGGTGGGGCAGTGAAAGGGCAGAAGAGTTTAGATTCTGGGTACATTTTGTAGGTGGACTCCACAGGATTTGCAGACAGACTAGATAGATGTGGGTTGGAGCGGAATACAGGGATCAGAAAACACTCTGCGGTGTTCAGCCTGAACCACTGGGCCAACACACCAAAAGAGAAATGGCTCTTATTTCTGGTCAAGGATCACTAAGTATTGCTACTTTCTATATTAGGGATTTTTCTAAATTTGAGGTTGCTGTTGTTTTAAGCAACGAATACAGGTAATATTTATAAACAGAAAAGCTTTTTAAAAAAGAGTTTATGTATTTGTCTAGAGAGAAGGGAAGGTAGGGAGAGAGGGAGAGAAACATCAGACAGGTTGCCTCATGCACGTGTCCCAACAAGGGACCAGGCCCATAACCCAGGTATATGCCCTGACCAGGAATCGAACCGGCAACCTTTTGCTTCACAGGAGGACGCCCAACCAACTGTGCCACGCCAGCCAGTGTAAAACAGAGAAAGTTTTGGGGAAAAAAAATTCCCCAGAGACTCCACCACTGAGAAACCTTCCTAGAGTGGCCTCAAGCAGTCAGAGGTCTGTCCATACCTGAATCAATGTGTGAAAACCTCCTGTTTGAGGATGTCACGGCCCATGCTTGGCCCACCAGCTTCCCTAGGCAGCTGTGTTCCAGCTCCACCCAAAACATCTCATCGTTCACCCTGATGCACCTCACACTCTAGGCCTCTGTACACTCTGCTCCCTCCAGTTGGCATGGCCTTCCCACCTCTTCTACTAAGTCCTCCTTTCCTCATGGAGTCAGACAACTCTCCTGGGTGTCCTGAGTCTCCTGGGCTTGCTCCAGCCCAAACCACTCTGGCTGTCACTGTCTGGTGATGGGTCTCTCTCTTTCCATAATGGACTACGGGCTGCATGGGTGTCTATCTGGGTTATTACACAGGGCAAAGTATGGCAAGCATGAAGGGAGAGAGGGGATCCCAGGTAGGGAGGTCTCACATGGATGCGGCAGCCGTTATCTACGGGGTACGAGCCCAGCAGCGCATCCTCCTGATCCAGTTTGCAGCAGAACTTCTCGTCAGCTCCATACAGCTCCAGTTCCATGCAAGACGCAGGGCTGCCCACCACCAGCTCTAGCTTACACTGCGAGGAGTAGCGTATGGGGAGAGGTCAGTGGCCCCACCCTCTGCCCTGACTGTCCGCCCCTGGTACCTCATCTTTGCTCCTCCAAGAGACCCATCATTTCAGGACCCGACTGGTTATCCCTGGCCCTGCCCACTCTGCTCTTGCCCCCCGCCCTCTGAAACCTCTCGTTTTCCCAGGTCCTGTGCTCCTCCTCCAAAACCTTCGGTTCCTTCTGGCCCCCGCCCTGCTGAGGCCTGGTGCCCAATCTCTGCAACCTCGGTTTATTTTTGGCCCCTCCCAGCGACCCGGCAGCCCCTCCATTTCTCCTTTGACCAGCAACGCCCCCCCCGACCGTGCCGCACGGCCACACCTTGAATTCAGCTATTGTGAGGCTGCGACTGTACCGCTTCTCAGAGCGAAAGCTGTTCAGAGAGCTGCTGATGAAAACGGTCACTGTGGGCGCAGACAACCCGGTCACCTCCATCTCGCCGCGCCCTGCCGGGGCCCACAGCCGGGTCAGACGCCTCACCTACCGCGGCACAGCCGCCGCCGCCTCCTCTGGGTTACCAGCCCCTCCCCCTGCTACCGACTTGGCCAATCCGCGCTCTCTCGCAGGGAGGGTCCGCCTATAGTCGCGGGGTCCTCACCGCCGGAAGCTCTCCGATATTGTTAGGTATGTCCAGCCAATCCCGAGAGGCCTGCCGTGGTCCCATTCTTCCAAAACGGATCCGGCGGGCGCAGACTGAAGACGAGAGGAAGGACTGGCGGGGGGTTACCCATGCCGCCGTGGAGGGTAAACTCGCGCCTGTGCTTAGTGCTTTGCGAGTTCCGTGAGGCGTCATATTCCCGGCTCCCGTACGACACTATTCTATAAACTGGGGAAGCGAGGCCCAGAGGTTGGAAGCAGTTACTTTAACAAAAGATTGGAGCAAGTAATTAACCAAATCTCAGCGCAGAGGCCAAATACAAAGGTGCTGGCAGCCAGTACCTGTGCGCAGCTCCGCCCCTCTTCAAAAGGCGAAGCAACCTGGCCTGACCCTTCCCGCGACCCGTCGTGAGGCAGAGCGAGCGCGGAAGGCTTGGTGGGCAGCGCTGCGCCATGGAACCCGACGGGACCTATGAGCCGGGCTTCGTGGGTATTCGATTCTGCCAGGAATGGTGAGGCGGGGGCAGCAGGTGTGGAAGGAGATCAAGTAATGGTCCCGGGACTGACCTCTGACTTCCCCCTCCCCACAGTAACAACATGCTTTACCCCAAGGAGGACAAAGAGAACCGCATTCTGCTCTACGCGGTGAGCGCGAGACCGCGGGTTCCCCGGTCTTCCCCCAGGGGTGAGCCCGTTCTCTTCCTGGCCCCGCCTTACTCACGTGACCCCTCGCTCCCTGTTCCGCCCGGACTGACCCTAGTCTCCTCTGTCCCGAAAGGAACTCTTCTTCCCAGTCTTTCCCACCCTCGAGGGGTATTGATGCTCGATACGCCCCATTATCCCAACCTCGAGACTCCATCCCCTCCCTAATCAACTTCTCCAGGGAAAACCTTGCCCTCTCTCCCAATCCCATGGGGAGCTCTCCGTGACCCCCTTCCTGCCACACTCGCCCTCCCGCAGTGCCGGAATTGTGACTACCAGCAGGAAGCTGACAACAGCTGCATCTACGTGAACAAAATCACGCACGAAGTGGAGTGAGTGGCAAGGCTGGAGTTTAGGGACGGGGTTGGCTTGGGGGGCCCCTATCAGAGCACCGTTATTCACTTTCTCCCTTAGTGAACTGACCCAGATCATCGCTGACGTGTCCCAGGACCCTACGTTGCCGCGGACCGAGGACCACCCATGCCAAAAGTGAGTATGCAGCTGATATTCGGGACCGAGAGAGGCTGGTCCTCACCAGGCGGAGAGTGGAGGAGGAAGGAGGGAAGGGTACGCTAGTGGCAATGGGTGGCTGTCTGTCCGCACAGGTGCGGTCACAAGGAGGCGGTGTTCTTCCAGTCACATAGTGCCCGTGCCGAGGTGAGTGGCATGAAGAAGGCTTTCTAAATATCCTGGGCTTGGTCCTTCCTGGGAGGAGGGAATACCAATAGTGAGGGGAGGCTGCCCTTCTGGCGTCCTGAGCTGGACCCTTACCAATGAGGAAGGCCTCCTTGTCTGTTTTTGAGGGGTGAGGCTAGCTGGATGCAAGTTCCATATTGCGCCCTCCCGAGGGTCCGCACACTTCCTAACTGGGCATCCTTTTTGCCAGGACGCTATGCGCTTGTACTACGTGTGCACAGCCCCACACTGTGGCCACCGCTGGACGGAGTGAACCACCTTCCCTCAGTAAAAAATGCTCCGTTCTGTGTTCGTGTCCTGTGTTTATTTGCCTCTCATGGGTTGGACACAGGGTGCGGTCTCAAGCAGCACGGTGTAGGGCGCAGTGCTGCTCATAAGCGTCGGGTCTTGGGCTGGTGAAGCCACAGTCCTCGCACACGTGCAACTTCTCACGGCGCTCACGGTAGGCGTAGCTGGCCGGCTGCCCGTGCACCTTGGCGAGATGAGTTTCAAGCGAGCAGCGCTGTGTAAATGCTTTCCAGCAAGCTCCGCAGCGGAATGGGCGGATCCCTGCACAGATAGGCAGAGCGGGAGAGGACAGGACAATGACCTCAGACCAAAGCCAACCCACCTTGCCCTCTGTGAGCATTCCTCCATTCCTGCTCCAGGTTCTGCTGACTTCACCTACATCCCACTATCTCCAACCTCAGTGTAAACATGGACCAGGCATCTGCGTCTTCATCCTCACCAGGTGGTTCCTTCCCCAAGGTCCAGGAGGGCAGTGGGTGGCCTTCCCTCCCACCCTTCAGCCTGGGACCTGAATCCTGTAACCAGTGCCTGTCTTCACACCCCCTCAGCAGGCCCCTACTTGGCACTACCTTACCTGATGGCTGGATCTCTGCCCCACAAAACATAAACGAAAACTCCACATCCAGGACACCTCCCTCCATTTTGTCCCACCCCCACCCAGGGCCCAGCAGCCCCTCCATGCTCTTGCCACTGCTCACCCGTGTGAGTCCTCATGTGGCGCTTGAGGTCAAAGGCATCGTGAAAGCCCTTGCTACAACAGCTGCACACATGGCGGCGCGCGGGGCTGTGGCACTTGAGGTGCCTTGTCAGCATGCGCTGCAACGGAAAGGCCTTGGGGGCAGAACGGGCAGCCAAGCATCCCAGGGTCCTTGGGAGTGGTGACCAAAGTGCCCTGCATGGGCTGTGGGAGGGACATGGGAGTTACACACACACACACACACACACACACACACACACACACACACACTGGAGCAAACTGAGTACCTAGAACTAGGAACCATGGGGGTCCAGGAAGGCCAGAGACTATTTGTGGGCAAATGCCATCCTTTCTCCAACATCTTCCCTGACCATGCCCCCATTGCCCTTACCTTACTTTATTTTTTTTCCATAGCACACACTATTTACCAACATAATATGTACTTTCTTAATTTTATTGTCTATACCTGCAGCCCCCTCCAGATTATAAACTCCAGGGAGGAAGGAATTTTTGTCACTCCTGCCTAATACCCATTGCTTCAAACAGTTCCTGGCTCTCAAGAAATACTGAACTAGTCAAGCATATTTACATTTGGCTAGTGCTGTCCGTCCAGTGCATGCACAGAAAAGCTCTTCTAAGGCCCCCAATCTCATCCTCATCCCCATCCTGCTCCTGTCACCTTGTCTGATCCTCTGCCCCACAGACTGGAGAGATCCCTAAGGGTAGGAACTGTGGCTGCCCACTCTGGGGAAACAGTGTTTGGGATGAGGCCTAACAGCTCACTGAAAGGCATTCTCAATGGAGAGAACAAAGGGTGGGAAGGTCCTGAGGCTGGAAGGGCATGCAATGGGCATAGGAAGTAAGGGAGGGTCAGGGTCTGTTGAGGCTGAGAGTGGGCAGGGGGTGAAATTGAGCAGGGTCTTGGGGGCTACCTGCAGACTCACCGCTGCCCAAGAGTCCCCAAGGCTGGAAGAGTGGTGTGCCGGTGGCCCCTCCAGGCTTCTGCAGGCTGAGAAGAGAAGCCTAACAGTGATGCTTTGTGTTTCCCCTGCCCCTCACCTCCAGGCCTAGTGAGGGCCCCACCTGGGACATAGGCGTCTCCCCGGAGCTGGTCGGGCAGGTGGCTCCAGTTGGGTGGTTGCAGGCGCCTACTCCTTACCAGGAAGGCACGAGGCATCACCTCCAGAAATGGTAAGATGGTTACACGCACACGCCCACTGGGCTGCCTCCTCCACCTCCTGTGAGACCTCAGCCCCGGGATGACCATCCCAAGGGGAAAAGGAGGGGGCAGCCATAAAGGAGCCTCATTCTCTCAATGCAAATTTCATGACAGGCCCAGGGGGCAGACTCACTTGGCTCCAATTACCTCTGTCTTGGGGCCCACCATTCCTCCCCCTTCTATGAAAGATTCCTGAGGCTATTCTCCAGACTCCCGGGGGCAGGTAAGCACTAGGACCCGCCGCCCCCCACCCCCCAGGAGGTCCAGCAAGGGCACCAGGCAGCCTAGGCAGCTCTTGTGGGGTGGGTAGAGGAAACAGAGACTCCAGGGGTTTTGAATGTCTTCTCATAGTACTGGCAGGGCCAAGGATCTAAAGGTGTGTTTGCCAGGCAAATCAGTCAGTACTGGACATCCAGCAGCCTGCTTGGTTATTCAAATCACAGCAGCTGTCCGAGGAAGCAGGGGAGGGGATGACTGATTGCTTGCTCCAGAGGATGGGGGGGGGGACAGCAGGGTCTAATAGTTGAGGGCAGAGTAAGGATCCAGGCTGTGCATCTTCCAGCAGGAAGCACCGCCTCTCTGACCCTCGGATTCCCAGAACTGATGTTCAGCCAGAAGCACACTGTTCAGGTGTAGCAGGCATTAAGACACTAGTTTGTGGATAGTCCAGCTCCTGGTGACTGCCTGGGACACCTCTCCCCCACTCCCACGTGCCCGAAACAGCTGGAGGCTCTGAAGACCTTACCTCAGCATTCTGGCCAGGCTGTGTTCCAGATTGGTCAGTGGCCTCTTAACCAGGGGTTAAGGATTTTGAACACTCCTCCTCATACAGTTACTCTCATTTATTCACCCAACAATTCTCTGAGCTCCAACTATAGACCAAGTATAGCTCAGCACTGAAAACAAGCACATAGCTTAGCCCATGGGGGAGACACACAAGTGACTACCCAGAATGACCAAGACCTGATGGTGATAGCACAGGCAGAGCAATCCAAGCTGTGATGGGGGAGTGTAGGAGAGCGTTCTGCGTGGCGTGGGCCCAGCTCCCACTCGGAGATGCACAGGACGCACGCCCACGGATAGGTTCCCCTGTGGGGAATCAGGCCTGCAATGTACCTAGGCCACTTTGAGACTTGTTTTTGTTAAAACTCCCTCACCCTGAATTTGAGGCAGCAAACGTTTACTACAAAGTAACTTCCTAAAATCCATGCTAAACCTTCCTAGGACTAGTGTAACTGCTTTTCCCTTTTCATTTGCAAATATCCCTCTTCTGTGATGTGCGGCATCGGCTCCTTTGTTTTCTGTAAAAGGTAACCACCTAAAGTGAGCCTGTGCATAGTAAATGAGGACCATCATGTAATGTGCCAAAAAAAGAAATAAAGGCCTGTCATGGCGGATGCCGCAGCTTTTGGGTCCCCTTGAGAGAAAGCGCCATGCTCACCCTTTTCCTCCACAGGACTCGGTAGTCCGGTAGTCCGTGTGAATGTCTCTCTCCCATCCACAATGTGGCAAACTCCATGAGCCGGGGTCCACATCAGGGGAGAGTGCAGGAGGACTGAGGGAGGGAGGAAGAGGTTCTTGATCCAGCCTAAGGGTTGAGAGACAACTTCCTGGGCATGAGCCCTGGAGAAAGAAGAGGGCTAGGATGAAAGGGGAGAATGTTCTAGGCAGAGGGAACAGTCTATACAAAGGCTTGGTGATGAAAGAAGCAATATTTATCCCTTTATTCACATTCCCTAGAGTTAGTCCTGCTGACTCATTTGGGGAAGCGAGGGAGGCAGCCCTGAGAGTCTGCTAGCCCAGAGCTTTACCACTTTATTTCTGCAGGAGCTGGGACAAGTCATTTATCAGTGAGCCTGTTTCTCCATCTGGAAAATGGAACTAACGAGTCTCCCTATTTCCGGCTTGTGTTGAAGACCCATGCAGATCATGTGGGGAGAATGCTGAGCATGGGATCTGGCATGTGGCAGACATATAAACAGAGGGGTTGTTAGGAAGTCTCATGGGGTGATGTGGCTAGGTGAGTATCTGTGTTTCAATGGACCCATCTGCAAAATGGGGTTTTAAGTGTCCATGCAGCCATGACTGCTTTGCCTGGCACAGGTCTGGCAGGCCAGCGTCTAGGAGCTGTCCAATGTGGAGTGCAGGGGCCAGGTCACACTAAAGAATGAGCTGGCGAAGGGGGAGCCATTCTGTTCCTGCTCAGGTGCCCAGTTCTCCATGCCCAACATATGTTTCATGGGGGAATTGACTCCTGTGTGGTTGCTGAAAACATATTAGAGAGGAGATCTGGAGTTGGGTGTCTTTATTTGCCCCCAGGCTCCCTTTCTACCCTGCTCTGTGTGGGAGGCTGACCTGGGTGGGCAGCAGCATCTGAGCTCCCATGCCCCCTGGCTTCCGGTTGGGTACAAACAATGGGGGGGGGGCCATGCAGATGTGGGAAAGGATCCCCTCAACTCGCTCCCTGTCAGGTTGCCAGAGACACAGGACCCCTCAGGGCAGCCCTCTCTCCAGGGTTCGCTCTTCTGGGTTTCACTTCACTCCCTTGTGCTTATGGCGCCGGGGGTGGGGGGGGGGTGGGGGGGGGGTGGCGGGAGGGGTTGTGTGACAGCTCTCTTCTGGTACCAGGTCCAAGGTACTGAGGTTTCATTCTTCCCTGCCCACTCCTTTGCAAATTATTCCTCCACTAAACCCTCTGAAATGTCCCACGTGAACATGCTGTCCTCTTCCCACTGAGATCCCATTGGTCCATAAACCACCTGCACACATGTTCATGAGCAGTGGTTTCTTAAGCAGCTCGTTTGTCCAACAGAAAGTCTGGTCTCCCTGGGGCTGAAGAGCTTGGCATTAGGAAGTGGACAGTGAGTAGCAGATACACTGGATTCTCTTGAACTACCTGCCCACCTCCCTTTATACCGAGAACCCAATTTTGTTTTGTCCAGCACAGGAGAGACGGCTGGTCCAAGCAAATCAAAGCAATCTCTATTCTCATTGCCCATGACTGCTCTGAAGGGGAAGGCCTCCACGAAGAAATCCGCAATTTCTTCCCCACTACCCTGACGGCTGCCCTGCTCTGTGCCTCTCCTACTGGTTGGGTGGGGGTGTACTGCTGAGTGTGTGGCAGACATGTTGCAATTGTGAGGGCCTAAACTGGAGGGTGGAACTCGGGCTCAGGGGGTGACAGAGCAGAGGCATAATCAAGAGTAACAAATGTCCCTACAGCATGTGTTCCCATAAGCCAGGCGTTGGCTACTTGGAATTGAAGGCTTAACTATAATACAGGGTGGGAGAAGGGGTAAATTTCACGAGGGATAGAGCCTCAAGTTGGTCTCCTGGATGTCCAGGGGCCTGGATCCTAAACCTTGCCTCAAGGGTCTTAGGTGACAGTGACCAAGCTAGGCCAGGAGAGTGCATCTCTGGTCTTTCAGGGGTGGCCTGTGGGCCACAGGCCTGGGCAAGGAATCTCCCGGCAGCGGTGCAGCCCAACTACGAGCCCTGGACCACGTGGGCTCACTAAGGCAGAGAGAGGGAGCTTTGAAAAATAAACAGAACGGGGCGTCTCCTCAAAACACCAATATTAGGGACTTTATTTAGGGGCGGAAATCGTGTCATGAATGTTTCTTGGATTTGAAAGTCATGAAGCAGCAAGGCCCTGCCTGGTGTGATCTCAATCTTTCTCCCACCGTCTCTCCCCTCTTCTATTCCAGCTGTCCTGGCTTTGTTGCTGTTCCTTACATATACGTTTGGTCCCCTCATGGGGCCTTTGCACTGGCTATTCTGTCTGCCTGTATACTTTTCTGAGATGTACATATGGCCTGTGTCCTCTATCAAGCCTCAGCTCAAATGTCGCCTCAGGAAGGCCTTCCATTACACTTCAACCAGCACAGTGAATTCCGTTAGTTATTGTTGTAATTGCTGTGTGCTTTGCTCTCTAGAACGTGAACGCCACAAGGGCAGATGCTTTGCTGGTCCTGGTCCTCACTGTACCCTTAATACGCAGAGGAGTGACAGGCACCTGGGCACCAGCAGGATTAACTGCATGATTGGTTCTGAGGTGAGTCAATGTTTATGGAGGCAGCAGTGGGCCATGTCCTCATGTTCAAAGGCCCGGCACTTCCACCAGGCATGCCTAGGTTTGAGTCTCAGCTCTGTGGCACCCTGGGCAAGACACTGGATTCTCTCTGAACATTTCTGGTGGACCATGACCAGCAAACAGAGCAGGGAGGAACAGGCAAGTGGGGGTTCAGTCCACAAGAGTCCGCATGGTAGAACTGTGCTTTAGGAGAGAGCCCCACCCCTGCTGGCTCCCTTTTTATACACTTGGGACAGTGGGGGCTTCTGCGGTCACGAGAGCGTGGCCCTCTTAGCAGACATGCCATGTGGCTAGATGCCTGCTGCCAGGGGAAGCTGGTATCAGTGCTGGGAGCTCATCGGACCTTGAAGTTGGACACAATCCTCTTGCTGGGGAAGAAATTACTGTTCCAGCTGCTGGGTGGCCCGGGCATGCTGCCCGGATCGTCCAGTGGATAAGCCTGTTTATCTCTCCTCAATTTCCCCTGCTGCAGATAGGGACGAAAGCCTGGACCTTGGAGGATCTTGCATGGGCCTTGCCCAGGGGCCAGTGGTGTGGCCAGGGTCTGGTACATGGTGATCTCAGCAGCTCCACTGGGTTCTTGGGCATCAGGAAGGGTAGGGAAGGACTGGCCCTTTCCTGGGGTACAGCTGGGCCCCACTGGGCAAGGACTACATGTGATCCCTCAACAGGTCAGTGGGCTGGGGATAAGCGACATGGGAACCAGGTGCTGGGATCATCATGACTGCAGTTCCCAAACTTCCTGGGGATGTTGGTCCCATGTTCTCATGGACAGATTCTGAGGACAGGGCCTGGCATCAGGGCTTACGAGAGTTTCCTGGGCTGGTCCACCAGAGGCAATGCCCTCTACCCTCCCACCCTACACCCACCTGAAGAGGGGCTTTGTGGATGTGCCAGGATAGGCACCAGGAACCATTCCTCCAAGTTGTCCATTTATTTGCTTAAAATACCTATTTCGTCAGAAAATAGCAGGGCTGCTGGCCCTCAGTCCCCCTGTGCTTTCCTCTGCACAGCCTGCACCAGCAGCTCCGAGTAGTGTTCCAGCAGGGCACGCAAATCTGGGCTAGCCAGAGGGCACAAGGTAGGTGGGGAGAGAGGACCTGGGCTGGGCAGGGCCTGGGCTGGGGCCGCGTCACTCCCAACCAGCCAGTCGTTGGCCTCTAACTGGCTGTGGATCCAAAGGAAGGCGGAGGCCAGCTCAGTCCGTGCCTGCTGCTGCTCAGTACTCAGCTGGCCACTGGAGACCATCTGCAAGGAGTGCTAACCTTGTTAGGGACCTCTCAGGCCAGGTAGTCCCAGGGCACACCCCTTTAGCCTTTTCCCCTGACCCTGGGGCTCACCAGGTGGTAAAGGTCCAGGGCTTCTTGGAAGGCTGCCTTCAGTTTGTGCACGATGGTCCCCACACTGCTCAGCTCAAGGGGAGCTGGGGAAAGGACTGCAGCTGGCACCCCAGGCTCCCCGCAGTGTTCGGGGCTGTCCCGGACCACACTGAGCACATCTAGGCGTAGAGAGGAGGGAATGAGAAAGATACCTCTACTTTATAGCTGGTCTGAGAGAGACCAGGGTGGCTGGGCTGATCCCAACTGTTGTCCCTCTGCCTGGAATACTTCCCTCAGTCCCCAAGGCTCCCTTCCCTCCCCTCCTGCCGGTCTCTGCTCAAATACCACCTTCTGTCCGAAGCCTTTTCTCACCATCCTGTTTAAAACTGTAACCACTGCCCCGACTTCTCACTCCCTAAAACCTTTCTCTTATTTCTCTCCTGAGCACATAAGCACTTCATGATACACTTAACACTTTCCTCACACATTTAGTTTAGGCATCTTCCCCAATTAAGGTGTCAATTCTCCGTACTCTTGTTTACCACCACAGCCCATCCATGCCCTCGGGGCCTAGAACAAAAGGCCCAACACATACAAAGCGCTCACTAAATAGCTCAGTAACTGAGCTGAATGGCACACAGCACCCGTGGCCAGGTCAAGCGCCCACCTTTGGAGCCGAGCTAGCTGTTACATGGGATGAGCTTAGGAGGCAACGCCTTATCCCAAGGGTGACACTCACCAGGGGTGAGCTCCAGGAGGGGGGTGATGCCACCAGGGCCCCCTGGCATGGCCTCTGGAAGTGAGAGGCCATCAGGGTGGGCAGGGCTGTTGAGGGGCCCAGGGGCCAGAAGCCTTGGGAGAAAGGTGGAGCTGTGGAGCCTCAGGGAGCTCACATCTATGGGAGCTGGGAAGCTAGCTGTTGTAACCGTGGCATCAGGCTGCGTGGCCACCGGTTCCTGGGACCCAACACAAGTAGTAGGTGACTCCTGTGGGGGTGGGGGCAGTAAGAGCCTGTCACAGACACCCGACAGGGTCTGTCTGAGGCTGGCCCGGGCTTCATGGTTGCCCTGGGACGTCAGGGCAGGCTCTTGGCCCTTGCTGCCAGAATTGGGTGCTGCCGTAGTGGTGGTGATGGCCTGAAGCTCCTGGTCCAGGGAGGCCAGCTCCCCCATGGACGAGGGCCTGCAGAGGGGTCTAGTCAATTCAGCCAGGACAGGGTCTTCACTGTCCTCAAGGGAGATGCTGTGTGACTTCTTGGCACAGGAGCTGGCAGCAGCCTCCATGTAGGAGCAGGTAGAGGGGCTGTGGAGGCCTGGAGTGGGTAGGGCTGTGGGCGTCAGAGGCTTCCTGTCTGTGGGCAGCAATGAGAAAGAGGGGACGCAGGAAGCCAGTCCTGTGAGGCAAGAGGCTGTAAAGGAAGCAGCTGGTTCACTCTCACACCCAAGCCACAGAAATGATAGACAGGGCCCCACCCCAGGGTGGCTGCAGGGTCTCAGTGGACCATGCCCATGCCCACCAGCTGGGCACCCGGGCCATTTGCTGAGAAGCTCAAGGCTATTTACTGGGGATGGTGATACTCACTCCGTGGGTACCAGGCCTCCAGGGTGTCAAGGGGCTCCTTAGCCTTCCCCTCAGAGAGGACCTGCAAGCACGGCCATGAGGTGAGGACAAGGCCTCCCGGCTCCCAGTCCTACATCCTGAGGAGGTGGCTCAGGTACTCACGTTGGTCCTGTCCGGGAAGGCATAGCCAGTACCTGCTCTCAGAGGCTCTGCTCTGGGCTGGTTCTCCCCGAGGTCTATGACTTTGACCTCTGGGGACTTCAGAAGGTTCAAGGGCAGCCGGAAAGGGAAGGTGTGGTTGAGCCTGTGGGAGGAAACCAGGCAGTTGTGCCTGCCCTGGGGGTGCCTGAGAGGACTCAGCCCCACCCTGGGGGAATACAGAAAGCTGGAAGGTTCACTAGATCACCAGCTTCTACCTGGATGTCTTCTGGAGGCGTGAGTGGAACTGGGCTGAGATGCTTAGCCGGGATTTAGAGAGTCCTCATCCTCAGAGGCTGTCACATCTCTTAGGGATCCGTGAAAGAGCTCTAGGAAAAGATGCCAAGAGAGACCTCAGAATCCCTCCAGCCAATGAGTTCCAGGTCCGGGCAGATCCTTGAAAACCCCATCAACAGACAACACAGAGCAACTGTAGCAGGGAGAGGAAACCATGTGGCTTAGTCCTTAAGATAAGACATATGCCCTCCCGCTAACCTCAGCAGCCCTGCTGGGGAAAGCCCTAAAGCAGAGATGCCCACACTGTGCCTAGCACTGGATGATCCTCCGAGGCAGGGCCAAGAGGGACAGGGCCCTACCCTCGGGGTGGGCGTCAGTAAGTGTCTCAAAGTGGTGGCGGAGAAACTTCTCTTGCTCAGGGGTCTGGGGCAGGGAGCCATTGGATATGCCTGGTACCTCAGGCTGGGACAACTCTTCTGCAGGTCCTGGGTATTCTGTGGAGAGGCAAAGGGGGCAGGCAGGAGAGAGCCTTCAACACCGTGAGTCATGGCAGACACCCTGACAAAGACACCATGGAGAAAGCTGGACTCGCCCAGCACACACCCTGTTGCCACCAGGCCGAGAAGGAAAGACTGGCGGCTCTGCCTTCCGGGTGAGCCTTAGCGGGCACCAAGAGTACAGCTGATGTGGGGCCAGTGCTTACGTATCATGACCATCCGCTAAGCCAGGCCCACGCACGCACTGCCCTTCCTTGTGCCTAGCCCCTATTTACCTGGTATGGGGATCACTGTCATGTCAAACCGAGGGTCTGGGTCCAGGTGTGGAGGGGAGGAATGGATGGTGGCGGAGGTACATTCCAAGTAGGCCTCGGAATCCCCTGAATCTAAAGGAGCAGAGAGGGGATGGTATGGGGGAGCCAGAAGCCCAAAGCCAGGCCCTTTGTTGGGTGAGTCAGGTAAGTGGCTCAATTTCTCAGGGCTTCAGTTTCCCCATCTAGAGGAAAGGGATGATAATACCCGCCGCCTATTTTTATGGACAAACAAGGTTATGCTTGTAGGAAGTGGCAGAGCTGGGCTTCCCGTTGGTGGGCAGTTGGGCTCCGGAGTCCTGTGGTAATATCAAAGGACCATATCTGTCCTCTGCGACACTCTTGAGTTTCAGGAAGGCTGGGTCAAGGTCATCGTCAGTGCCCAGAAAGGAGCCTAGCCAGAGGAATAGGCTACGGCAGGGTCCTTGCCTGGCCCTCACTCACCCTCAAGTTTGCTCTGATCCTTTGAGCCCATGGAGGAGACTCTGAGATAGAAGTCACCTTGCTGGTCTTCAGGTTCCCCCTGCACCACTTTCCAGCTGCACTTGCTGCAAAGCCAATAGGGACAGGGTGAGGGAATGATAACATACTAGTTAGTAAACAACTGGCCCCTACCCAGAGCCCTGAGGCATCTGCACCCTGCTCCTCTTGGGTGCACTACCTTGCCTCTCCTGCCTCCTCCAAAGGCTGCCTTCCCCCAGGAGTCCCTTGTACCTCCACCTAAAAACATGGAA